AAACAAGGTTTAGGGCAAACAAACAGGCACTTGTCTGGGCCCACCACATCTTGAACATTCTTACTCTTGAACATTCTTATCATTCTTACAGCTCCACCCAAATGCTTTGCCCTTCCCTACGCCACCCACCCAGGATCTTTCTCCTCACTTGGCTCTCTTGCGCCCTGCTGGCTCCGGCTGCCATCTCCCCTACACCCATGGCAGTCTCATGTGCCCCAGCATCATCATAGATACAGATACATGATGCATGCATACATGCATACATGCAAACATAATACATTACATACATGGCATGACATGACATGACATGACATTACATTATGCATACATACATACCTACATACATACATACCTACCTACACATACATACATACCTACATACCTACATACATACATACATACATACCTACATGCATAGATAGGTAGATAGATAAATGATAGATAGATAGATAGGTAGATAGATAGATAGATAGACAGACAGATAGACATACATACAGTCTCGACATTTTAACAGCATTGCATTGAAATTTGACATTAAAAAACAGAGACACCACCAGAAATCAACGAACAAAACAACAAACCAAGCCACGCAAACCTAGAACGTGCAAAAGAAAAAGCAACTACAACCATGGAAAAATGAAGATACCCAACGACTAGTAGTTATGCAAATCCAAACAACAAAATAAGAGAAATATGCACAAATAAAAAAAACATTGCACATAAAAATACCAGAAAGCAACACAAAATATAGCAAAGAACACAGGAGCAAAGAACATAATTTATCATAGCAGTAAGCCTAAGGATGAGAGAAAACAATCCAGAATACAAACAACATATATAGTGTGTTTTTATGTATATATATAATTAATATTATATATATACACATAATATACACTCAACCCTAGAAAAAAATCAGAATGAAACAGAATGAGGTAAGAGAAGAAATGAAAAATACAACAGATTCGAAACCAAGAAATAAAGAGGAGATACAGATAGGGCAAAATAATGCTGAAAACAAGTAAACCAAAGATAAAGAAACAAATAGAACAAAACCATAGCATACCACTAAGTCAAATATCCCCAAATTGAAATCCCATTTTTTTTGGAACCTTTGCATTAACAGAAGCCCCCTATACAAAAAAATCTTCTTATAAACTTGTCTCTGCCTCATGCTTTTTCTCCAAACCCTAGCACGCGCGCAGTGCGCTCGGCCAAAACAAACAACGCGCGCTCGGCGCGCTCGACCACAAACCCTAAACCCAAAAAACCCTTAAGCTTGCTTGTGACATTTTTTGCATACAGAAAATGTTCCAGGGATCCTTTGAAGGACGGTTAGAATGTGACTTGCTGTTGATCTTGTGCTTTTCACAAATTCCAACGCGCGCTCGGCGCGCTCGTCCACAAACCTCAAACTGCCACGAGCGCGCGCAGAGCGCGCGCCGAGCGCGCGTTAGAGTTTCACGAAAAGCAAACAAGCCCAAAAGCAAGTCTTGACTTCTAAGGATCATTGGAACAGTCCAAACTTGTCTCTGCCTCATGTTTTCTTTGCAAACCCTAGCACGCGCTCAGATCTGCCGTGCTTTGCAGCGTCAAGGTTGCTTCGTAGGATCGTTATGTACCTTTCCATTGTGCTTTGCAGCTGTAGGATCGTTCCCGCAGAGTAAATGGCTGCGTCAAGGTTGCTTCGTGCTGTGGCTGCATTCGTAATACTAGTGTCTTTTGCAGCTGGACTTCGTAAATCGTATTGGAGTGGCTGCATGAAGGCTGCCACAGCGATTTGTCAGCAGATTTTCTCCATTTTGGCGCCAGTGATTTTCCTCCTAAAAATCCTTTTTTTAAGTGCTTCAAAATCGTCTTTTTTTCGCTCTGGCGTCGAGATCCGGTTTTGGAGCTACAATTTCCGACGCCGTTGCGCGTAGTTCTATTGCGTTTTGCAACTCAGTCTCTGCAGATCGCATTGTAATGCCTGCGTCAAGGTTGCTTCGTGCTGTGGCTGCATTGGTAATACTATTGTCTTTTGCAGCTGGATCTCGTAAATCGTCTTGGAGTGGCTGCATGAAGGCTGCGAAATGGATTTGTTAGCAGATTTTCTCCATTTTGGCACTAGTGTTTTTTTTGTTGCACTTAGGTTTAGAGCAGTGTGAAGTGTGGGGCGTCAAGAGTGCAGTGTGAAGTGTGAAGTGTGAAGGAAGCAGTAGAAGTGTGGAGTGTGAAGTTTAAGTTTGGAGTGCGAAGCGCGCAGTGTGAAGTGTGAAGTGTGAAGTGTGAGGTTTGGAGTGTGAAGGAAGCAGTGGGAAGTGTGGAAGTGTGAAGTGTGGACTGTGAAGTGCGAAGTGTGAAGTGTGGAGTGTGAGTGCGAAAGTGACAGCAACGCCTAATAACCAACAATAATGGGATATAACCATTAATAATAGGGATATCATGGATGATAAATAGGGGCACCCCCAAACCAATGGTTTCTGATAGTGAATTACCAACAATAATGGGATATAACCGCTAATAATAGGGGTATCATGGATGATAAATAGGGGCACCCGCAACCATAGTGGTTGATATAACCAACAATAATGGTTACTACAACCAGTAATAGGGATATAATATAATAGAATGATGGGTCCATGCCGAGCATCCGATGAATATGATACCAGCTTTTTTAAGGCGACATAAGGCGACTTTTTCCCAACAATAAATGGTACATTGCGGTGAGAAAAAGTCACCCAACACGAGTAGATCTTATGGGGTTGAGTCAACTGTCAGGAACCACTGCTTCCAAATCAATCAGTTTGCAACGGCCCACCATGGTCGTTTTTTTTTTTTTACGACTGCGCCGCTGAAAAATCAACATGTATCCCAAAATGGCTAGCTAAAGGAAACACAGCTGGAGGTATGCATTTTCAGGTCCATGCAAGTTTCCAGTGAGGAGGCTTTACTTTGACCGTTCATCAACGGGTAATCCATTACGAAGAACCATTGATCAAGATCAACAGCCATGAACAAGAATCAACCATCCATCATCACCAAAACAGCATCAACAAGCATCATAGACTGTTGATACAATTTGATGACGCAACCATTCAAATCACCTCCTTTGCCAGGGCGTAACCTTCCACACCTAACCTCTGATCATCCCTGGACTTCGTGCAAGGTGCTTCATAGCCCGCATATGCCCGCATTAGCGCCTCCAACAGGCGGGTTGCTAGGCATCTCTTGGAGTACAGCGGTTCAAATTTAAAGTGGATTCTGGAAGAATGAGCCTGTGCCTGGTGTAATGGCTGACAGCACGGACACAAAACTAGGGCAATCAAGTATAATCACGTAATGGATACTTGGATATGACCATCATGAAAATGTATATATATATATATTTATTTATTTATTTATTTACATATATTGATTGATATTTAATGAAGACTAACGAAGGATTATACGATGATGGATCATATGATGGATCACCTTTTGGATTGTACCATGGATCATCTCACGATTGCTTGATGGTATAATTATGATGTTTGAACTTCCCAATCTAAATCGAATCTGAGCGCGCTGCGCTGGTTTCTCAAGTTTATCATACATGAAAGCATGATGATACTAGAAATTACCAAATCTGCAGTTCCCTAGGGGCTCTTGGCTTGTCGTCAGCCAAGGTGTTAGACCAGCCTCAGTGCTATCACGCCAGTGAGGGCTGTGAAAGACTTGTGGTTCAATGTCAAGTCAAGTCGGTTTGAGTGCATGTTGCATCATGTTATTACCCATACATATACCCCACATCTCTATGTGAAAGATTGTGAAACTGGTCAGGATATCAGCCTGCAATGCCTTGCATAAGGCCTACACTTCAGACATCTTCAGACTTTTGGGGGTTTTAGGATTTTTTTAGGTGATTTTAGTATGTTTGAGTATTGTTCTTGTTTTATAGTCAGTGCATTCGAACCGTCCATGCCTTGATGTGCTGGATAGGTTAATAGCCATTGACAGCCATTGGAATACTTCGCTGTAGAGGGTGAGGCTTCGAATCCTCCTTGACCCAATTGGGTTTGCTTGAGATATCTTGAGATCAGCTTGCAGAATTAGATGCAACGATTCCGGGTTTCACAGTCCGCCTGAAATTCTCAGGAGCAACGGAGCAACATGTTTTGACGGCTGCTTTTCAAATATGGTATGGATATGCCTGTGCCTGGTGTAATGGCTGACAGCACGGACACAAAACTAGGGCAATCAAGTATAATCACGTAATGGATACTTGGATATGACCATCATGAAAATGTATATGTATATATTTATTTATTTATTTACATATATTGATTGATATTTAATGAAGACTAACGAAGGATTATACGATGATGGATCATATGATGGATCACCTTTTGGATTGTACCATGGATCATCTCACGATTGCTTGATGGTATAATTATGATGTTTGAACTTCCCAATCTAAATCGAATCTGAGCGCGCTGCGCTGGTTTCTCAAGTTTATCATATCCTTATTGCTGGTTGGTTATATCCCTACTATTGGTTAGTTGACAAAGCATCGGTGTGACCATGGTCCACAAAGATTATCAGTGAAACTGTAAATGAAATCAAGGACCCCCCCCGTCCATAATTGAAATTGGCTCTGGCCCCCCTCCATGCCACTTAAACCCGTGCCCATATATATATATACAACCATGTATTTCATGTATACATAGAAATGTTTATATATACAGATAGAACATGACTATAGTCACTATATTCATTCCTCATTGGGGGATGTTTGGGATGTTCACCAGCCGATTCAGTCGGATGGACGAAGGAACCACGGCAGGTTTTTTACTCTTCAGTGGTGACATCTATTGTGGCTTCCTCCATGCATCCCGGTGGCGCTGGTGTAGGTGGACGTGTTTAACGAAGGAATTATACAAGAAACACGGGATATTTATGGATATTTATGGAGATATCATGGGAAAATGATAAGCTAGAGCGTCAGGAAGAGAGTCATGATGTTTTAGGCACATGTGGTGCAGATGATTGGAGTCAATGACGCTCCAAGGTCAGGTAGAAGAAGTGTAACGCTTCAAGGAACATGAAACAGCACTCGTGCCGATCGCAATGCCACTGCTACCCCATGGATCCAAGATGATCCAGTGGTATCGTTTAAGTGGGGCATGATTTAGTTGGGTTTTTATGTGTACTTTCTCATCATTCAAAGGCCCCCTGGCCCTACTCAAAGGGATGCTATTCAGCTTTGCAAAGGTCAGAGGCAGCTTGGCTACAAACAAGCAACAAAATGCACTGAGGTAGCCTAAAATGGAAAATATTGGTCAGAAAAAAACAAACATTTTTTTTTTGCTGAGTTTTTGCTTCCAATACTACCTTTAGAAGGGGGCAGGGTACCCTTCTGCTCAACGACCTCGTCCCACACCCCACAACGCAGATTTTTTTTCACAGATTATTTTTCATAAATTGTGTGGGCCCAATTCCATCAATTTTACAATACCGTAAAAAAAATACTTTAGCAGAAAGACTCTGATTAGAAGCCTTTTGAATAGATGCCCAGAGATGGAGAAAGATCTCAGGAGCTGTTTAGATATATATATATTATCTACATGTATAATTTATATTATATATATATATGTACAGGATATGATTATATATATATATGATTTATATACATAATGATATATATGTGTGATATATATATATGATATATATATATATGTGATATATATATATATATGATATATATATATGTATATGATATATATATATGTATATGATATATATATATGTATATGATATATATATATATGATATATATATGATATATATATATGATATATATATATATATATATGATATATATATATGATATATATATATATATATGATATATATATATATGTGATATATATATATGTGATATATATATATATACATATATTCACAGGCATATTTTTTCCTGTCTTCCTGTCATGACGACCTGTCCGAGCAAGGTATAATCCAAATTTGGTAACAATGGTGGACGCGCTCATGGAGGCACCGATGCTGATGCTGGAAGTTCCAAAGGCAGGGGACGCCGACGGGACATGTCCTGGAAAAATATCCGTTGTTCAACGTTGTTTCATGGGTAAATCATAGATTGTATCATAGATCTATATAAATATGGGATTGTCTGTAGCTATCTCAAATAACCAGAGGCTAAGTGAAGTGGATCCAGGTGAAAGCACAGTGAAAGTGTCAGCAGATATTTGCTATCTCTGAGACAAGTTCTGCAAGGTCTTCTATCAGGCGCGCTATTCGGACTTCGCCATATGGCTCTTGAGGCACAGAAAGCCCAGGGCGGTTTTTTTGGGACATTCCCCGGCAAATGGTTGAGACCCGCGCAACACGTATTGTTTTGTGATCAAGAACCACCAATAGAGAACCATCCATCAATTCGTGCGGAATGGGACCAGAAAATCAACTTTGTCCATCTCTGAAGGCTACGGCATGGGTCGAACGCAAACAAGAAAGCGAAGTAGATGAGGGAACTTCCATCTATCACCTCTTGTGTCCATTTTTTTTGAGCACCGATGGGTCTGGGTCTCATGAAATCTTCTCATCCCCAAAGACGCCAGCGTTGCAGGGAACGTGGACTGATGGTCTTAGCGCTCTATCGAAGTGCCGAGGCATCACAGGTGCGGATCATTGGATCACCAGATCCGAAGCAACGAATGTAGGACTGGTGTTCATCCCAGTCCTTCTTAGTGGTGAAATCAGGTTATTATACAGTTTTTCTGCTTATGGAGATTTGCAAAAATCGGGTACCCCCGAATCATCCAAGTCAGTAGAGCACTTTAGTATGAAAACCCAGTGTTTTTGGAATCCCCCCATGACTTAAGAAAGCCCCTATTCTGCCCACAGTCCGCTCACACCGGGGGCTTCCTGGATATGGCGACGCCCACACACGACTTCGCAGGGGTTGCTCAGCAGCGGCGGTTGAGCTGGACCCTATACTTCATTTCTTGGTAGATGCAAACCATCAAAACAGAGGACGCCTTGTTCCATGCAACTCAATGCACGTCCATGTTGTTTGATTTTTTGTCATATCATATCATAACTATAGATATATCATAATATATTGCCCCACACTTTGGCTATCTTTGGGATACATGATGATACATGATGATAGACCGACCATACCTGGCAGCTGGGATGTATCAGGAAGTGTGAATTTCAGCCCTCAACGAGGTCTATACGTGTCCACCAGGTACCAAGACCTTGCTGTGCGGCACCCAAGGGAAATTGCATGCTTGCCCTCAACGCAGTCGCGGCTCGACCGGGCCGGCCTCGTGGTGTGAAGAAATTGTCCGAATGGTACCATCGGCAACGCTGTCACTGACGCTGTCACAGGTTGAGCATTATCCTTCCAAAGGATGTGGACAAATTGATGATCTCACAGCAGAGACAATTTGTCTCCGCCGACTTCCGGTCGAGAGTGCTCTGATTTCAGTGGCACCAGGATGGCGTCGAACTATCGACTGCCGCGTTGGGATATGTTTCGTCGGCGACCGTGTTACTGTCCTCCCGATGACTATCCCTTGACCTTGTGGGATTTGATGAAATCACATAGATTTTCCATCGTGTGGCCCTGCACAGACAGCGTTTCTTTCGCCTCGCCGCTGCCGAGCGGACCAATGTCTCACGCGCTTGGGGAAGTCCCAGGAGCGCTCGACGCTGGTCAAGGCGGCGGCCGAGAAGTGCTCACCGGCACCTTGAAGAACTTCGGCATCTCGGAAAGCAAAAGTCATTTTGGCGAAGCCAATGGACTTTCTGAGCATGAAGAGACGAAGGGATTCGGCATTACTAAGTTACTAAGTGCCCGAATCCCTTCGTGTTTTCATGCTCCGTTGTTGACAGGCGCACTGCCAAGACACGAGAAGTACCTAAGTCATGTCGAAACGCGTGTGCAAAGATGAGTGTGAAGAGATCGTCAACGAGACCCTGAAGAACATCCACGGGATTCTGAAAGATGTTTGGGAGAATACCCTGCCTGTTGAAGAGAGTTGCGCTGACAGGGTCGTCCGCAAGGTGGCAGAAATCCTTGGAACAAGTCACATCGAAGTTTCTGGAGAAGAAGAAAGGCCCCACATCTCCCAGACCGGGGCCAGCACCCCTGAAACTTTGAAGTTTGATCAGTGCACACCGGAAAACAAATGACAGATTGTGAAGACCTGCCTTCGCGGAAGAGCAGGATGGCAATATCTCGACGATCTTGATGCCTGAATCGCAGCAAAGGCACACCGGTTCCCACACTGGATGCTTGTCTGCAGTTCAACTTCGGAGTTTCTCCGCGCCACATCAAACGCAGGTTCTTGCTATACCAGAACACAGCTCCCTCACAGGGCGCGGTTGAAGTCATCATCCCAGACAAGCCCATCCTATCTTTGATCCACAGCCAGCATCAGCCAGCCAGGAGACGAAGGGGTGTGAATTCGGAAGGAACCCCCTTAGGTTGAGTAGTTCAATTCCTTTGAAGACCATATCTGGATTGAGGAGAAGGCTGCTGCAGATCGTAGGGAGCAGATCCACAAGGAGCAGATTCTCAAGACATAGTTCAAGTCAATTGACCCAGCCATCGCATTTGGGAAAAAGAGTTTTTGCCTTTCACTTGGCTTGACACGCATCTCGTGGTGAAATTCAGAGAGACCCAAATAGTTTTGGTAGGTCATATACTTGATTCTATCCCTATTGATTACACCCCATTTAAATACTTAAATCACTCTTTCTGATGCTTTCAATTTCTATTTCAATAGCTGATATAGCTGTAGACCTGGTTAGTTTGCACATGTTTGCACTAAGGGTGAAGAGCGACCGTGTCATTGTGACCGCCAGCGGCGGAGCTGACACCGTACCCACAGAAGTCGGGTCCGGGTGCTCGATTCAAGACAGCTAGGTGAGATGTAGTGAATGGCAATTCACTATTTCTACCCATTTATACCTGGTTGGTGGTTTGGAATACTGTTCATTTTCCCCAATACTTGGGATGATGATCCAATCTGACTAATATTTTTCAGAGGGGTTGAAACCACCAGCCAGATACTATCTAAAAAAAGGCAGGTGTGTTTGGAATGCCCCCGAGATCTTTAAAAATAATTATAGCATATTATAGCTGTTCAAAAACTTTTAATGGAAAAAATGATGATAAACAACTGAGTTTGATGATGTGTAGCCTGGGGTAAGCTAATATTATCATATATTAGCTAACATTGTGGGCAACCCAATGCCATAAACAACATGAAAAACAACTACCATGACTGGGGTGATTTTCTTGGAATCCCAGCAATTTTATGGAGATTTGTTGGGGATGGTTTATGCCATAAGGGGTTTACCACATTTTTTTCGGAAGACCTTTGGGTTTTTGCTGTTCCGAAAATGATCTACACGACCCAGGGTTTGCCACGAATCTATGTTGGTTTAGCGTTCAGCGTATGTTGATGGTGCTGTTGTTTGATGATTTTGATCATGATGTTGGCCATGTTGGCCATGTTGGCCATGTTGGCCACGACCATGATTGCTGCGTATATCATAATTAATCATGTCTAATCTATCATCCTTGATGATGAGTTTGGTTGTTCAATTATGATTGTTGTTCCGATATTCATAATGAAAAAATTGAATAGTTAATAATGATATGCCTATTAGACATAGTGATTTACCATGATTTCCAATATTCATAATGATTATCCTTTGGTGATCTAACATATCTATGGAATATCACCATGTCTGGTAAATCATGGTAAATGCTCGGACTAAATGGATCCTGGCTTCCATAGCCACGAAACAAATCACCGGGGGGGGGCTAGTATCATCCCATTATATTCCCATCATTATATCATATTCCCACCATATTCCCATTGTATTCCCATTGTATTCCCATTGTATTCTCAATAAATCAATCCCATATAAATCCCATCAAATCCTACAAACACCGCATTGAATCCCATATAAATCCCATAAAATCCCATGGTTCCAGGCTTTCACGAGCTCGCCATAGCCTCTTGCCAGGACCAGCGGCATGCGGGCCAGGATGAAGAAGGCCGCTGGAGAAGCGAAAACCCGCCTGAGTTTCAAAACCAGCAAAGGGGTGTAGTATGGTGTAGTATATATAATATATCGACATATAACTAAATATATAATGTTTAAATTGGTTGAAATTATGTAACTATGTATATATGTGTATTAATTATATATTATATATACATATTGTATATATATATATACATATTATATATATATACATATTATATATATATATATGAATTCATCCTGTAATTTATTATATACATTATATATACATATACATGTTGAAACATTGATTCTGATTTATATACGTAAATAATATGAATGATGTGAACTATTCATGAATATATACGTATGTATATGTATATATATAGTACTATTCTGTAAAACATACACATCATGTCTACTGTGTGTATTGTATGTATCCATTTTGCTTTGGTTTCTTGGATTTCCCCCTCTCACTGAAACAGCGCGGAAGGCCATGGAGCACGTCTATGGAAATGCCGTTGCCTCGGCCGGTGGCTTTTCAGCGTTGCTGTTTCCATCCAATGGAGAGAGTACCAAGGACCTGACAGCCAGTGGATGACATGGATGACCGATGCAAGGAGGTGAAGCCTTTTGCTGTGACAAATCAGAGAATGATTACCCTCAATTTTGTGGTGATGATTTTATTGCCAAGAGGGGAACAATGGTGCTTTTCTATCCTACTTGGAGATACTTGGAGAACAGCATTGGCGTTCCTGTTTCACTGGTGTCTTGCGAAGCAACGACCATGTACATAACTTCCGGAATGCATTCGGATGATGTTGTTCGAGATTGTCAGTTGATGTGAAATCGTGAGATAAAATGACTTCAATTGGGTCAGATCAAGGAGGAGCTGTACTCGATTATAGTGAATTCACCCAGCCCGATCCAAAATCTTGCGTTTAGTAGGCGTTTGTTTAAAACGCAATCCGCATGCAGTCCGAGGTAGTTGGTGTCGCGGAAAATTGGGGGGTTTGTTGCTACCCGGATGCCATTCAGCGGTGTAACAAGCACCTTTTGAAAGAAAGAATCTTGGAGTTCTTGGAGTGATTCATGTGAAGCATGGTGCTAGAAGGAACTCAAGGAACTCAAGGAACTCACCGCCTAAAGAACATGGTGTTTTTTTTGGCCATTTCAAGTTGATCCATGACAAGACTCAACCTGAGAATGGTCCGTATCCACGCTTTAAACCACTGTATGGTGGAGAAATGTAGGGTTGACTGTTTCGGATTTCACATGGCTGTGGGGATGCTGTGACTATCAGTTGTGAATCCACAAAATCTCAACAACAACTGAAACCACAGATTCCATTGGCCACTCGAAATCGCCTTTTTCTTTCTTCACGCAACGAGCCGTGCACGGGTCAGATTCCGTGTCGATGGTGCCATGGTTGAGCCTTGTGAAGAAACACCGTCTTACGACTGCTTAGAGGCTCACCTTTGTGACAAACGCACGCAGGTGGCGTAGCTTTGGCAAACTCATCTAGAAATGGAGGTTTATAGCTGGGAAAATCATCTAAGGTTTGAAGGCTGATGGCAGCAGTTTTTTGAACATTTTGGGTGGGTTTCTCGTTCGTCAATGTCAGGTCCGGTTGAAGGTCGATGAGAGTCTCACTCTCTCCCACATTTGTTCAGATGTGGGTTTATGGTGGCCCAGTGGGATCCCCTAGCATATCCTAGTCAAAGGGCCTTCTCTGAGCATAGGCTACTGTACCCCTAAATTTCTGGGTTCATCGTTTTCACTATTGAAGTTGCTATATTTGACCCCATTTTCAGACAAACACAATTAGTTGTGGTTGGTCATATATATTGATATATGTATGCATGATTCTATATGTGTATACCCGCTTTCTATCCTCATTGAATCCCATTCATTGAATCCCATTAAGGTCTCACCATTACAATAGCAACATCTGCAACTGACGGTGCACAGGATGCCGACGCATTGACTTGGCCACTCAGTGCAAGGGGAGTGTTGCCAAAATTTCGAGGGAATTCTGAGAGAAATTGGGCAGTTTGGGACTCAAAGGCCCATGAATTATTTGGGTGTGTCTGAAAATGTTGTGTACCCCTTTTTACCCAATGGTTTTGCTGATCATTATCCCTATTAAATGGCTATTGGGAATATACCCTATTTTCAGACAAACCCATTTATACTCCCCTTGACCAATCTAAGACTGTGCTGAGACATTTGCCACTGACGTACCAGAAGATTCTTGAAAATGCTGTTTGACGGATGGTGCATTGTATATGAAAGATACGTACGATGCATCCCAGTTAGCAAGTGGTTAATGAACTATATATGAATACCGTAAGACATTGTATAACATTTGAAAACATTATATAACATATGTATCATATATAATATTATATAACATATATAACATTATATAACATTATATAACATCGTATCACTAACTATAGGTATATCCCACATATATAGCTGGGTTAGTGGAGCCGGCTTCTGTTACTTATTCCTCTACGATTCCCCACGGCACCAAGGCTCTGGCTTCATGGAAAGCCATGGAAAATCTTCAGCTTCTCTGCAACCCAAGCAGAACGTCAGGATGCACGGTGTTTATGTGGTGCCAGTTTGCTGGAATCCTTTCAAGGATTTTCAAGGGTATTATTATGGTATATTGATTATGTAACATTATTTTACATATGTAACTTTACGTAACGATATGTGACATAATGTAACATGCTATGCAAGCTTTTTTCTTGGTTGGGTCAAAGTGTTGTAGCCCAAGATTGGATTCTTTGGTGCTAAACGTGAGCGACCAACATCTACCAAAATAGTGACTCCTCCGGCCTGAAAGTATCAGACTCACCTTCAACCGTCCGTAGTTTGGGAATAGCCCAGAGAATGCAAAGTGAAAGTGATAAAATAAACTTTCGATCAGGCTGAAACTGGCACTTTCCATGTGCTTCTTGGCGTGGAATTGGTCGTTTTCGGTTTCAGTTTCCAGTTTTTTAATTGAGGCCGTCACAGCTACGCGGTGTTTGAGGTGCCTGTTTGTGATGCAGGAGGATTGGTGACGTGTTGTTGGTATATGTTGGGATATCATATTGGCATCTGAATCATTATGCAATGGGCTGCCATATCAATATTAATCAATAGGGTTGCATATGATATTTATCAATATTAGCAACCCTAATATTAGCATCTGAATCATTATGCCATATTATATGTGCAATATTGGCAACCCTAAAATCATGAATATTAGGGTTGCCAATATTGCACATGTCAAACAAGCGGTCGGTCGATTGATTTAATGATTTTTCCGTGCATATTTGGGGCACGGGCGTCATGTCTTTTTGTTTGATGATGTTTTTGCTAGGCTTAAAGGTACTGGGTTGCAGACAGACCTGTACCATGAGCAATATAGTTTGGAGAAACATTGTTTTAAAGCTGTACAATGTGCAAATGATAGACATTTGATAAGCATTGACAAGCTATATATGCAGAGAGAGGGAGACTGAAACAGCAATCTTAAAGCGATCGACTTGATCAATCCGCCAATCATATATATAATTATATCTATATGTATATATATAATATATATTATAGCGTATGTGTAGATATTCCGAAGACTTTGAGATGATACAAGCAGTGTGGACACAGTCCCAAATCGCAAGACCCACGGCATGAAGCAGCTTCCCTGCAAACTTGCTCAGAATCTTGCAGCAAAGCGGGAGAATTGCCACGAGGCCAAATTTGGTGGCTCGTCTCGTGAATGCTATGATTTAACAGTTCCAGCTTTGGCATCATGGTTTCGTCTAACTGACGTCATTTGTCAAGATTTGTCAAGCAACTTGAGGTTTTTCCATTGGAGACAATCATAAATATCATAAATATCATAAATATCATAAATGTCATAAATGTCATAAATATCATAAATATCATAAATGTCATAAATATCACAAATATCAGAAATGTCATAAATATCATACATGTCATAAATGTCATAAATATCATACATGTCATAAATATCATAAATATCATAAATATCATAAATATCATAAATATCACAAATACCATAAATATCATAAATATCATAAAGATCATAAATGTCATAAATATCATAAATATCATAAATATCATAAATATCATAAATGTCAAAAATATCATAAATATCATAAATATCATACATGTCATACATGTCATAAATATCATAAATATCATAAATATCCTAAATATCATAAATATCATAAATATCATACATGTCATAAATGTCATAAATATCATAAATCCGCCCGCACCGAAGGTGCTGGGGCGTGATCGTCCGGATGGCACTCGTAAAAGGTTACAGGTTTACCTGGGGGGGGGAGCATTTTTCGGCCAAAACCTCCTGTTTTTGATAGGTCGTGACGCTCGCCTTCAAAAAACACTGTAAAAAACAGTACGGAAGACACCTGTTCGTGAACGCGCCCGTCCAAAATCGGCAAGCGAAAAGTGAAAAAAAACCGTGTTTTTCAACTTTTTGACCTCAATTTTTTGGTTTGCAACATCTTTTTTTGCGGTTCCGCAGGTGGCCTGGCCCGGAGGCGGATTTTTGAGTTTTTGGACCCGTTTTCGGACTGATTTTCGTCGTTTTGTGATAGCAGAAACACTGGTTTTTACAGTGTTTTTCTGTTTTCTGCATGCTTGACGGCTAGCTTCAAAACTTCCAAAAACCTCGTAAATTACGCTGTTTTATGTTACGGTGTGAATGAAAACATCGTAAATACCAGTGTTTTTTGACGTTGGTTAAAAACACACTGTAAATTACAGTGTTTTTGGCCACCTGACCCTCAAAAACCATGGTATTTGCAGTGGTTTCTGCTCCTCACCGCGCAAAAACACTGTAAATAACAGCAATTTCGCCGTTTTTTCATGTGTTTCGTTATTTTTTGTTCGCCGTTTTTTCATGTTTTTCGTTATTTTTTGAACTGCGTTGGTCCGTTATACATGGCTATCAAATTCTTCGCGTTTTTTTCCGACAATCAGTACTTTCGGATGTTTTTGGTCTCAATGGCCGACATCATTGGCAGTTACGAGCGGTCGCGAAGGTGTGAGAACAACATCGTTCAAACCGTGGCGGCCGCACAGGGGTTCTTGTCGCGGAGCGACGGCAATAGAAGAGAACAATGGCAGTAGAAGAGAACGATGCGGTGCGGGCGGTTGCCGTCGCGAAGCGACGTGAATATCATAAATGTCATATATGTCATAAAGATCATAAATATCATAAATTTCATATATGTCATAAATATCATAAATATCATAAATACCATAAATACCATAAATGTCATAAATATCATAAATATCATAAATGTCATAAATATCATAAATATCATAAATGTCATAAATATCATAAATATCATAAATATCCTAAATATCATAAATATCATAAATATCATAAATGTCATACATGTCATAAATATCATAAATATCATAAATATCATAAATGTCATAAATATCATGCATATCATAAATGTCATGAATGTCATAAATATCATAAATATCATAAATATCATAAATGTCATAAATGTCATAAATATCATAAATATCATAAATATCATAAATATCATAAATGTCATAAATGTCATAAATATCATAAATATCATAAATATCACAAATATCATAAATGTCATAAATGTCATAAATGTCATAAATATCATAAATATCATAAATGTCATAAATATCATAAATGCCATAAATATCATAAATATCCTAAATATTATAAATATCATAAATATCATACATGTCATAAATATCATAAATATCATAAATATCATAAATGTCATAAATGTCATAAATATCATAAATGTCATAAATGTCATAAATGTCATAAATATCATAAATGTCATAAATGTCATACATGTCATAAATATCATAAATATCATAAATATCATAAATATCGTAAATGTTGTAAATATCCTAAATATCATAAATATCATAAATACCATAAATGTCATAAATATCATAAATATCATAAATGTCATAAATATCATAAATATCATAAATATCATAAATATCATAAATATCCTAAATATCATAAATATCATAAATATCATAAATGTCATACATGTCATAAATATCATAAATGTCATAAATGTCATAGATATCATGCATATCATAAATGTCATAAATGTCATAAATGTCATAAATATCATAAATATCATAAATGTCATAAATGTCATAGATATCATAAATATCATAAATATCCTAAATATCATAAATATCATAAATATCATAAATGTCATAAATGTCATAAATGTCATAAATATCATAGATATCATAAATGTCATAAATGTCATACATGTCATAAATGTCATAAATATCATAAATGTCATAAATATCATAAATATCATAAATATCATAAATGTCATAAATATCATAAATATCATAAATGTCATAAATATCATAAATGTCATAAATGTCATAAATATCATAAATGTCATAAATATCATAAATATCATAAATGTCATAAATATCATAAATGTCATAAATATCATAAATGTCATACATGTCATAAATGTCATAAATATCATAAATGTATCCATGTTGCTACCTGATATTGATGCCAGTGATCAATGCTGGACCTCAACCAATTCCCTGAGGTCAAGGCCGGTTATTGCTGTTGGAGGGCAAGGCTGAGGCGAGCGAGCGATGGGCCCCTGTTGACCCAAACACGTTTCCAGAGGGCCTTAGTGAATGGCTGAGATCATCTGAGATATGTTGTAGAAAGTCAGATAAAATCATTTGTTTACCATCTCTCTTCTCTTCAAAGGCTTAAAAGATCTTACAGTACATCTATGGATATAAAATTGAATGTCCAAGTATCATACATGTCACTTATATATGGCAGTGTGTCAAAACCTTGTACCCCTGGTGAACATCAAAATAGCTGGTATATGGATGTTCATCCCACTAAAAATGGTATTAATAGGTATTGATCCATACCCATATATATATATTAAAAAGCAGCTGGTTGGTCTGTCCCATGGGAAGTCTCCAGGAGGCATTGCCATATCTGGAGGAAGCCTTAGAACTCTGCAGAGATGCCACGATTTTGACGTGGTTCGCATGGGTTGCTTGGACGGCAGATTGGGAAGTTGAAACCAGCAGGAAACCCAGCCCAAATCTATGTAGAACTGAGACAAGTACCCTCTGGTTATGTCAGAATAGCTATTAAAAAGTTGCCATTTATAGTGAGTTTTTCCATTAAAATGCTGATTTTCCATAGTTATGTTAGTTTACCAGAGGGTACTTGCAAATCATGTTCTGCATGTTTATGAAATATATGTAGTATTTCCAAATCTATGTAGTAGCACATGATCTATGTTGAAGATGTCATTTTCGTTCATTTTCCAAATCCTAGCAGTATGAAAGCTGCGTGTTGGTGACATCCCCAACCGGTGATGAGTTGCGGAGATTTGCTGACTGGCTGAAACATCACACCAAGAACGACCCTATGCCAACCTTGACAACCAACATAGTGTTTATATGGTAACATAATATATATATATACGGTAACATATAACATATAACATTGTATATATATATATGGTAACAATAACAACTTAGACAAACAACTTCTGGTGTTTCTGTGTGTTGGCATCAGTTCCGCAACTTCTTGGGCCAAGCTAGGTGCTTTTGATCACATCCAAGAAGCAGAACTTCTATCGGCGCTACCTGGCACAGCAGCGAGTTTCCGAGTGCTGTAAGGCGGGCTGGTCCACATTTTGAGGCCATCTTAGAGGTATGGATTTTTTGGTGGACCCCCACAAGAACACGATACCCAAGAAGTTGCCTACAACATCTTCCAACCACAGTAACAAGGCTGATGTTTGGATGATTGTTTTGAGGGAAAAGTCCAGTTTCAGTGCAGTTCAGGTGTCCGGGTCGAACTCCATTTTTTGGGTTGGTATCCAAATATGTGTGTGTGTGTGTAATTAAAATTTACCCCCAAATATCCTCAGAAACCGCTGGTTCAATACAATACTGACCTTATTGATTTGCGGGACACCTTCAATATCATAGTGGCTATCATTTCAGGATGATCCAAGCATATTAAACCAATTAAGCCTGCCTTTTTTTATGGTTGAGTTGATCCCCTACTCATACAGTACAGATTTGGGAGGATGGGATTATCATCTAAACCCACATGTACCCGCTTTATTCTTGTTAGCAAACTCCATCATTTCCATCATTCATTCATACATCTTGTGTGTGTGATGCATGTATATACATATATATATATATATTGCTGGTTTGTTTGACACTGGGGTACCAAGTACCTCTCAATTCCTAATTTATTTGGCAATAACTGGGAGATATACGAGCCATTTTCAGAACACCTTGTTTGATAACTCATTATTATTGTTGATAAACACCCATGCTCCCATAATATGTATGTATTATAACTATATGCCGTATATAACACTATAACAACCCCGAATGATATAAAGTTGGTGAACTGTATCCGATTAACCCATAACACATCCCCATGATTGTTCTTTAAATACTGAGTTATACCATATATATATGCAGAAAAATACATATACACCCCATTTATCATTCCACCAGATGATGATTATTCTTCTGAAATTCCTCTATATCCATAGCTCTGGTGAAGCGTCCTCATATATCCCCAATTTAAGATCAAGTTCTCATGAAATCCCTTTGTATTTATGGATCATAAGATGGGATTATCCAATCATTCTACAACAAGAACCCTTGTTTGAGTGTTAACAAACTCCAATCGTCCGTTTAACAGTGGTGCTCCCCGTTATGTTATGTGTTTGTTGCTTTGTAAGGCCCATATTACTAGCTCGATAAATCTACCATAAACCGCATATAGCTGACTTTGTGAACTAAACCAACTTTGCTATCGTTTGGGGGAACCACCGGTGGTCTAAAGTCATTTCTCATCCCATGTCATAAGTGGAATAACTTTATGTGGGTTGTAACCATGATTCCTCTCCTGTTTATGTAACATCGATGTGAAGAATCACCAGAAAACTGTAGGTCGGCAAAAATCATCGACCTAAATTCGACTTTTCTCATTTTCCATATCAGCTGGTGAGTTTTCCATATTAGTTGCAGCCATTATTTGGGTTCCAACTGCAGCCCGCCCAGCGCATAGGAGGCCCTTCAGATGCAGCCCAGTGCTCTGGCGGCGCAGTGCCTGGCCCATGTGGAGCCGGAGACTTTGGCCATGTGCACCGCCTTAAATCCGGTGCACCATCTGGTGGCCTATGGAAGGTGGGGAAAACTTTGGGATGTTGGGGAAGACTTTGGGAAAATGTGGTTTCACCAAGGATTCATAGGGATGGAACATGATGGAATATGATGGAACATGATGGAATCGATATGTAATGGACATATCATGAGATATAAGACACTGGTTGGATGATTATTCTTCAGTAATGATATCATGAGGTTGTTCTCTTTTAATAACGAGTTTCGAAGAAAACAAGTAGGGATGGCTCGAGATGTATAAATCACCTTTGGTGAAGTACAGGTAGTTTCTTTTCCAGTTTCCCATGTGAATTCTCCATCAGACTACTATTCTAGATTCTAGATATTCTACAATGTGAGGCCCCCAAGATAGCTAAGTTGGTTTATAACTCCAATAACTATGGTTTATGGTACATAACTATAGTTACCGGGGCTTATAAACCAACTCATAACTGGGGGGCCTCACATTCTAGGAAGATGTTCATTTCATTTCTGAAGATACCTTCTGGTAATCTGACATAGCTATGAAAAATGGTCCGTTTGTGCTAGATTATTCATGAAATAGAAACCCATCTAACTAGCTATGTAATCTACCATAAACCCAAGAGTTATTGGAGTTGGAAACTGAAACCAACTTATATAATATAGCTACCTAAATCCCAAAACAGTCCCAGGAAATCATATGAAATCAGCACAAAAAGGCGGGTAAATCTTATTTTTCATCCCCAAGTGAATCCCCATCCAACCCTATGAAACTCTGAGCTCCCATTGAGTTTCATTAAGTCCCATGAAATCCCACTGAGTTTCATTGAGTCCCATTGAATCATCAGTAAGATCCCATGAAATCACCATGAAATCACCATGAAATCCCAATGTTCCAAGGTCATCCACCGGTAAAAACAGCAGCGTTTCTTTCCCCGTTGGCCAACAGAGGCACTGTTTGGATGGCGCTGCTGCGCAACGTCGCGCCGGCGCGGCGGCCTTGCGGCGCTTCTTAGCTGAGGCCGCGGAGATGTTACTGTGGATGGAGGAAATTTTGCACCAGTTGATAGGTTGGTTTATCCCATGATTTCTAGGGTTTCAACCATCCCAGGTGGTGCATGATTTCCTCCATCCACCGTAGTTTTCACTGAAATATCCTGGGAATTTTCTATTTCTAGTAACTCTAGATGGCCTTATTTCCGTGAAATATTACAATTCACCTAGATCTATTAGTGGATATACATGAAATGGTGGGTATACAACTGGGATATGCAGATGTAAATCAACAATTGATGAATTAACTATTGATGTGTAAATGGATCATTATCGATGGTTAAATCAAGAATCCCATGGTCAACTAGAAATCCCAGGAAATTGTAGTAATATATTTGATATATTAATATATATATATTATTATTATAATTATTATTATTATTGTTGTTGTTATTATTAGTATTATTTTTATTATTAATATTAATATTAATTATTATTATTATTATTATTAATTGGTTTTATTAATATTAATTATTTTTATTTATTATTATTAGTAGTAGTATTATTATTATATATAATGTATGGCATATATATATACATTATATACATCATATATTGTATTTATCATATATTATGTATATTATATCTCATGTATATATATTATACATATTATATTATGTGTATATATATATATACTATAGTGGGATTGTATAGTCAACTAGGAATGGGATTAGTCCACTATTGTATATCAGCTATCATTGGATCCCACTATGATCCCAATTGGAAAAGGGGTCCCCATTTTCAGGATGGTTTGTTGTTGATATTCACCTCATATTTCCAGGGTTGAAAACATGTTCTATCTATGACTTAGACTTGGGGTTGCTATATAGTTGTACCTTATTGTGATTGATATGGTAATAATTCATAATAGTTTATAGTGATTTATAGGAACCTGTAGTTCAGTATCAATATATATATAATACATATGATTCATAGCATCTACAGATTACCACATAGATTTTTACGGAGGATTTTTTGGTCATGTCATCCTCCCAAAAAAACGAGCCAGGTGAATGGTCCAGCAGACCTTCCCACGGCATGTTTGCTGCTGGGAGAGCTGGGTGCCACACCCGTCACTGGCGGCAGCACGGTTACCACGGCGATGATCATCTCATCCAAATTGATGGCCTTGGATGCCTTGTGGTAGCTGGGACTGGATTCCAACGGATTGGTGGGATGGTGACCAAAATACAAAAGGCTTGGGATAATCAGTGATGATAGTTGATGTTTGATGATAGTTGATGATGGTTGAGGCAAGATTGGAGTTGATGATGGTTGATGTTTTTTTGGCACCGATGGGCCATGAACGATTGATTGGAGTGGGTCATGCGGATATGGGGATCTCACTAATGGAGTTACAAGTTGCAACTGTGGGGATCTCACTAATGGAGTTACAAGTTGCAACTGCACGATGAACGCGGCTCGTTGGTGGATGCGGCGAAACCATTAAGTGAATGACAGTGGGGGCTACAACCATCAGAAAGAATACAACTATATATTCATATATTCATATATGTAATGATATAATTATATGTATATATATAATATATATACATACATGTATATATGTACATATATATATATATACACGTATAGCTGTTGTAACCAGTTCATGGTTTTGTCAAATGCCTTTCTTTGCACGTCCACGAGTCCACCATAGTCCACCACTCTTCGGGACGATCAATCCTTAGGCGCTACTGGACATACGTCAAGAAGCCTCAACGAGCTACAGAGGCTGGATCTATATCCTGATGATCAGCCCATTGGCCTAAAGACACCACGAATTTGCGAACTCAGTCAGCTCCGTAATATATATATATATATAGAGAGAGAGAGGTATATATGTGTAATTATATGTACTGTATATATAATTATATATGCTGTATATATATCATATTATATATTGTGTATATATATATATTGAAGGATTTTGTTAGTTGAATCAATGGACTGGCCCATTTTTTGCAAAATCCCATATATTCGCAGGTGAAGTGCGATTTTTGGGGTAGTTTGAAGCCATTTTTTTGCTGGTGAAATCCAATTGTGTAGCTTAAACGGTTGAACCCCTCCATTTTTTTCCTGGTGAATCGCATTGTTTCGACTTGTTTTGTAGGAATATGTAGGAATTAAATTTGTCAAATTTCCACTTTTTCGGGTGAAATCCCTGCAAGGTGGCAAGGTGGTGCCCAGCCATAAGTTTGTTTGTAACCCCTTAACTATATATTCATAATTCCAGAGAATTACAATACATCCGATATTGTAGGAAGTTACAATAAACCAGTAGCAATAGCTATAGACAATTGCTTCATAACCAATGAACAAACAACCAACTTAGCCAAGTTTGGAGCACCTTGTGCCCAGGCGTCTTTGGTGGCCATTGGCGCCCTGAGAGAGGCCCCAAGTGCCTGGCAGAGGGCTGTGACCATGGCGTTGAAGGCGCCCTAGGGGATCCCCAATGGATGGAGGGTTACCCATTGACTTGTTGATGGGAACTTTGATGTGATTTTGTGGCTAAAGTTTTGAAATACTATCGCAGTTTTTTGTGAAACATATATATATATCATATATACACACATTCCACGGTGGTGTAGTTGTTTTGCTTGGGCACAAGGTTCCACTGTTTCGCGTCTTTTCCTTAATTGTTTTCTATGAAAGTGTCCGCAGGGGACGGAAACCCGCAAGTTTTCTTCAGTTTCTGGTTGTATTTTCTGTCCATGAAATGCAGTGGCACACAAATGTTTGTACCGGTATTGGGCGTACTGACACAGATCATGTTAATGCCTGGACTTGACAGGCTTGGTTTGCACATGCTCTGCTACACAATGGACTTGGGCAGTACCCTTTGGTAAATTCACATTGCCATGGAATTTCATCATTCTTAATAGGTAAACCATCTAGAAATGGGTCATTTGTACCTTGGTGATGTTGAATTATCCAGTGGTGTTTAAATTGAACACAGGGACTGGGTGTCCCTCGTTTTGCACATTATAGATATGGCAGCGAAGCTTTCGGATGGGGATGTTTCCAAAGGAGAATGAGATATATCTATCACGAGACATGGGACAAACTTTAGATTGAGTTTTAATCGATATTATTTGGCCATATCGGGCCTATATCTCAAAAGGACATCGCTTGGCGATGTCTCCAAATCTTGTGAACTGCTTTTCGACCAATCCCACGCGGATAGCTCAGGCTTATGTGTTGTTGGTTCATCCCGCCTCATGTTGAGTCATTAGGTACCCATATAGCCCATATATCAAGATTTTTCTGGCAAATTGTGTTTGCTCATAGCAGTTTTGGAGATGTACTATGATCCCATTGGCTTGGGAAACAACACAACTTCCCGGTTTTTGGTTTAGCACAAGGAAAGGTTTCGCAGGCTACTCACCCATGTTTTACGGCTTTGAAGTCCGCAAGGTTCTACTCCAATTACGTACAGTACGCGTTGGGAGGTTGAATATGGGTGTGGGACATAATTCCAATCATGAATAGGCAATCATAGGATGGTCACTTGCCACTTGCAGGTGTTGGGGACTTGACACACAGATATGTAAGATTCCCACTCTTGATATGTTTTTCTTAACGTATGATTTGTAGATTTCAACAGCAATGCTTATTGTATTTCAGAATGCCAGAACATATTATATAATATATATATATATATAATGTTGTCTAGTAGTTAAAACGCAATAGTAATATGTTTTTCAGGATTGTATACACTACTTTTGTATGATCGGTTATGTATCCCATGAAATATCCCAAATATCCCCTATGAAATCCCTTGAATCCATATCCTTCATGGTCAAATCCCAATCCCGCTACATCCCCATGAAATATCAATGAAATCTCATAGAAATCCCATATAAATCCCATGAAATCACATGAAATTCCACTAAATCCCATTAAATCATATGCAATCCCAAGGAAAATCCCATGGTTTTTCCTATCCTTCCGCGGTATGCCCGTTTTCAGGCTTTAGCCCTGGACGGGCAGTGGGATGAATGTTGGCGCCTGGCGGCTGTGCCTTGGCCAAGAAAATGGGATACCTGGTAAACATACAAAAAGCTATAGAACATGAGCATTTTTAAGTTCGGTAAATCAACGAACTATTTATGGGGTATTTTCAGTAGCTATATGTTAGTCATTACCAGAGGATACTCCTTGGGAGAATCAGTGGATATCACATGATATGACTATGTAATGGCTACTTGGCATTGATCAATCGTGTGAATAGAATCAGAAACATTGGTTCAATACAATTTTTGAACTCTTTTGCATGACCCATGAACTCCGATCTGCATGACGTTACGGTAATTTTTTGGTATCTGAGTATCTCAGCTTTTTTCGTGGGACCCCATGGTACAAAACGGGTGACCAAAACTGGCCTAGGCAGAGCTGTCATGTCGCTCCTCCCGCGAGGCGAGGGTTTGTCACAACTGGTGCTGCTGGGGGGAGGCGAAGAATGGTACCCTCTGGTAATTTAACGTAACTTTGGAAAGATCCACCATTTTATAGCTAGGTAAATCAACTATAAATAGCCATGTTCAATAGCTATGTAACAAATTACCAGAGGGTAACAATGGTGACAATGGTAGTTATTCTGATTATCCTGATGATATACGATGAGTATCACTGCAAACTGTCATTGGTGGGTTGGTTGATGCAATTTCAGGATGGTGTGCCAACTTCTATGAACAGTGGCCCTGCAGCAAATACAGCCCTGCAGTTCTCAAAAAAAACATAGCTGCTGTACATCTCCAAGCCATGGTCACTTCAAGTGGGTCTTGGGTCTGAAAATCATGTGGAAAGTAGGAAAAAAACCTTAATTTTGATATTGTAACTATATATTCTTTGACTATCACAACTGAGGGGTCCATATTTCAACGATACTTATAGAAGTACCATACTGTGGATGGTTAAGAAATCCTGCACCACCTTGGATGGTTGAAACCCTATGAATAATGGGATAAACCATCTATCAATTGGTGCAGGATTTCTTCCATCCACAGTATCATAATTGTCCCAATTGTTCAATTGTGCAGATCCTCTACCAATGCGGACGATTGGCATTCTACGATGGCCGGGAGGAGGTGCCGCGATTGGAGAGTGGTTAAGGTGTTTACCCAGCATTTGTAGATCAATTTCCGAACGGGAGACCAGAGGTTTTCCACACTTTCTGTATGTTTACCACAGATTACCATAGGATAGCTGGTTGAACCTTGGCATTTTGGTTGCAGATGTTTCCCCTGACTGTTTGCTGGAATCGACAAGTTGAATGAATGTGAAGGGTACATGTTGCAGAGCAAGAAAACCTTCAACACTGGATTTATGTGGAAATATCTAGTAACATTTCTCCAAATATGTCCGTCGACTGAAGTTATATTTTATATACACACTTACACACTGTACAGCTGTAAATATACTATATAAATGTTATTCAAGGGATATTCTTTATGTATAATATATATATAATATTTAATATATATATATATATTATATATATATATTATCAGGGTGGTCCCGATTCGTTTTTGGCGATTTCGATTCGATTTTTTATATAAGGAATTGATTTCGAGAGAATTGGTTTTCGATTCCATTTATCGCGATTCCGATACCGATTCGATTCGTAGCGTGTCGATTCCTACAGGGAGTAAGTTCGTTAGTAAGGGATTCTTGATTAATTTCAATTCGATAGCTTGCGATTCTATTTTTGATTTGGATTCTTTTTTGAAATTCGATTCGATAGCTTGCGGTTCTAGTTGTGTTCCGATTCGATAGCTTGCGGTTCTTTTTTATGATTTTTCGGCGTAATTATATATATATATATATTATTTATTTATTTATATACAGATACATACAAATATATACGTAAGGAGACATGCATACATATATTAATAAATATATATATATATATTCTAGACGATTCCTTGTGACCTTGTTTGTGTTTTCTGCTAAGTGGCCTGTGGAAAGAGGTCAGTTAAGGAAAACGTAGAAAGAGGTCAGAAAAGGAAACGAGCCAAAAAATGACCTACCAGTGACACGCAAATGACACGCAGGTGACACGCAGACAGCCAATCCTTAAGTGACCTTTTCAAGGCTTAAGTGACCTTCTCAGCGTCCTAAGTGACCTCATTTCATCCCACCTGGAAGCACTAGTGACACGCAAGTGACACGCAGCAAAGAGGTCACTTAAGGATTCTTGAAAAGAGGTCACTTATGCATGATTGATCTTGTAAGTGACCGTTTGGCACTTTGGGTCTAAGTGGCTTCCATTAGAGGGCAGAAGTAACTGCCTGGTTCATAGATATTAATATATATATATGTATATGAATATTCATATATATATATATATATATCAATATATATGAATATATATTCATATATATGAATATATATCTATATAGTTTTTTTTAAATATATGAATATATATTATATACTATATATTATATATATATTAATATATATGAATATATATTAATATATATTATATATATATTTATATATATATCTATGAATATATATTAATATATATTCATATATATTTATTAATATATATATATCTTCAAATATATTTAAATATAAATAAATATATATTCATATATCCATATACATGTTTACACTTCTGAAACAAAAGCTGCTTCTCGCAGCTGTTTTGGTCGGCGGGCCGCGGGGATCCCTAGGAACATTGGATGTCTGGCAGGCGTGGGAACATTTGCGCGCTTTCAAACACGTGTGGAGCTCCTTTCCTATGATTCAAATAATATTTTTTGTATGACCCTCGGATATCCAGGGCAAAATTCATAGTTTCAGACCCCCAGAAGGGTCAGATTTTGTATGTAGGCATGTAGGTACCTTGGATACGTAGGTATGTATTTATGCATGTATGGATCTATATGTTTGTGTTTATGGATGTATCTATGTAAGGCTTGGTACGTAGGCATGTGTAATGCGGTTGACGTGGAGTCGTAATTCCACAAATTTAATTACGATGCCAATATTACCGAATTCACATCCCGTGTGTGCCCGAATACAATGGACGGCTATATGTAAGTAAGTTTATGTCAAACAAACAGTCTTCTGTATGGTTGGCTCTCCCCTTCCCACTGGACACAATTGAAGCCTCAGATGAGGTTTCAGACCAGTTTCAGACCAGCACTGATGTAGGTATGTAGGTGTGTATATATGTATCTATGTAGCTTTGGTATGTAGGCGTTTTTAACTCAAACCTGCATCTACCAGCATTTTTTAATTCGAACCAAAAGGGAAAAAACATTGAAACTGCTTTGAAACCACTTGGAAACCCTAGGAAGCTAGAGCTCCGAAGTGGTCTTTCTTTCGATGGAGCTGCCGGAGTGACTTGTCAGCAATTTGAGGCATGAACATTTGGATGGGTGGACGAGAAAACCGTCGCCGTCAATGCTTGTGTTGTGTGTCACTGCATCCTTACCCTGACTATTGGCATGGCTTTCAGACGGCTCTCTGTGTTGATGCAGTTTCTCCAAGCCCAACTCACTATACATTTTATAGCCACCAATGACTCAATAATAAAGAAACATGTTTAGTATACTACTCCTACTACTACTACTACTACTACTACTACTACTGCTACTGCTACTGCTACTGCTAATGCTACTGCTACTTATCACACCGGGTATATATCCCTACGTCGATGGATTCTGGCAACATGGCATATTGATTTGTTTCTAGCCGGTGAACACCTCTAATAGCAGCCATGTGACCTCCACACAGTGAGCGTGGTTAAGCACCCCTCCTCTGATCTCTCTTGTCCTAGATTCTTGAGCAGAAAACGGGCAGCAATGTAGGTGATGTCAAGCAGAAAGTAGGTAGAAAGTAAGTTGGAACAGATCTCTTGCAGCGAATCCGGACCGAATCCGGCCCCGACAAGCAGAATCCATTGATTTGTGTCTAGCCGGTGAACACCTCTAATAGCAGCCATGTGACCTCCACACAGTGAGCGTGGTTAAGCACCCCTCCTCTGATCTCTCTTGTCCTAGATTCTTGAGCAGAAAACGGGCAGCAATGTAGGCGATGTCAAGCAGAAAGTAGGTAGAAAGTAAGTTCGAACGGATCTCTTGCAGCGAATCCGGACCGAATCCGGCCCCGACAAGCAGAATCCATTGATTTGTTTCTAGCCGGTGAACACCTCTAATAGCAGCCATGTGACCTCCACACAGTGAGCGTGGTTAAGCACCCCTCCTCTGATCTCTCTTGTCCTAGATTCTTGAGCAGAAAACGGGCAGCAATGTAGGTGATGTCAAGCAGAAAGTAGGTAGAAAGTAAGTTGGAGCAGATCTCTTGCAGCGAATCCGGACCGAATCCGGCCCCGACAAGCAGAATCCATTGATTTGTTCTAGCCGGTGAACACCTCTAATAGCAGCCATGTGACCTCCACACAGTGAGCGTGGTTAAGCACCCCTCCTCTGATCTCTCTTGTCCTAGATTCTTGAGCAGAAAACGGGCAGCAATGTAGGCGATGTCAAGCAGAAAGTAGGTAGAAAGTAAGTTCGAACGGATCTCTTGCAGCGAATCCGGACCGAATCCGGCCCCGACAAGCAGAATCCATTGATTTGTTTCTAGCCGGTGAACACCTCTAATAGCAGCCATGTGACCTCCACACAGTGAGCGTGGTTAAGCACCCCTCCTCTGATCTCTCTTGTCCTAGATTCTTGAGCAGAAAACGGGCAGCAATGTAGGCGATGTCAAGCAGAAAGTAGGTAGAAAGTAAGTTCGAACAGATCGCTTGCAGCGAATCCGGACCGAATCCGGCCCCGACAAGCAGAATCCATTGATTTGTTTCTAGCCGGTGAACACCTCTAATAGCAGCCATGTGACCTCCACACAGTGAGCGTGGTTAAGCACCCCTCCTCTGATCTCTCTTGTCCTAGATTCTTGAGCAGAAAACGGGCAGCAATGTAGGCGATGTCAAGCAGAAAGTAGGTAGAAAGTAAGTTCGAACAGATCTCTTGCAGCGAATCCGGACCGAATCCGGCCCCGACAAGCAGAATCCATTGATTTGTTTCTAGCCGGTGAACACCTCTAATAGCAGCCATGTGACCTCCACACAGTGAGCGTGGTTAAGCACCCCTCCTCGGATCTCTCTTGTCCTAGATTCTTGAGCAGAAAACGGGCAGCGATGTAGGCGATCTCAAGCAGAAAATAGGTAGAAAGTAAGTTCGAACAGATCGCTTGCAGCGAATCCGGACTGAATCCGGCCCCGACAAGCAGAATCCATTGATTTGTTTCTAGCCGGTGAACACCTCTAATAGCAGCCATGTGACCTCCACACAGTGAGCGTGGTTAAGCACCCCTCCTCTGATCTCTCTTGTCCTAGATTCTTGAGCAGAAAACGGGCAGCAATGTAGGCGATGTCAAGCAGAAAGTAGGTAGAAAGTAAGTTCGAACAGATCTCTTGCAGCGAATCCGGACCGAATCCGGCCCCGACAAGCAGAATCCATTGATTTGTGTCTAGCCGGTGAACACCTCTAATAGACAAGCAGAATCCATTGATTTGTGTCTAGCCGGTGAACACCTCTAATAGCAGCCATGTGACCTCCACACAGTGAGCGTGGTTAAGCACCCCTCCTCTGATCTCTCTTGTCCTAGATTCTTGAGCAGAAAACGGGCAGCAATGTAGGCGATGTCAAGCAGAAAGTAGGTAGAAAGTAAGTTCGAACAGATCTCTTGCAGCCCCGACAAGCAGAATCCATTGATTTGTTTCTAGCCGGTGAACACCTCTAATAGCAGCCATGTGACCTCCACACAGTGAGCGTGGTTAAGCACCCCTCCTCTGATCTCTCTTGTCCTAGATTCTTGAGCAGAAAACGGGCAGCAATGTAGGCGATGTCAAGCAGAAAGTAGGTAGAAAGTAAGTTCAAACAGATCTCTTGCAGCGAATCCGGACCGAATCCGGCCCCGACAAACAGAATCCATTGATTTGTTTCTAGCCGGTGAACACCTCTAATAGCAGCCATGTGACCTCCACACAGTTAGCGTGGTTAAGCACCCCTCCGCTGATCTCTCTTGTCCTAGATGCGGATGTCTGAGGCTCTGTCGAACCTAGGTTTGCAATCCTGGTTTGATGATTCTTATTTGCGTTATTTATCATTATCAATTATCTGTCATTCTTAGATGAATCTGATCAATTATCAATTATCAACTTTCTATCATAATCAATCATTGTGTCCCTTCTGATTCTTTAAAAAGGCACACCTCCCAGTTTTTTTTTTCTAAAAAGATGCCGCACGAATAGTGGAACTCCGGTGTCCTCGGTGTCCTTTTTGGATTCCGATGTCTGGCCCCATGAGGTGCCCCCATGATGTGGATGTACCCAGGCAATACCCCAGGCAAAACCCACGTATAAACTCTGGTTGGTGGTTTGGAACCATGGAATTTTTATGACTTTCCATATTTTGATTATATTGGGAATAGTAACCCCAACTGACTTTCATATTTTTTAGAGGGGTAGGTATACCACCAACCAGAACTATATGATTATACTAATTGAGCAAACATAAAATACATAAATCAACCATGTCAACTCTCCGTTCCGAAAAAGACATTTGGTTATACAAATCCCAAGTATTTTTTGTATTTTTTGGGGCTAGGTAAGAAAGTAGACTGGGCACCATCATATTCCCATTCTATTCCCCATTTTCCCATGTAACATGCCTATTTTTCTATGCTTTTCTCCATGAAATTCACCAGCCCTCAGCATTTTTGAGGATTCCCGGCTCGCCTTTCTCCACAGCACGGTCGAAATCTGGAGTCACAACGGCAAGAAACGCTTCAAGTCTGCGGCTTGGACGATGGATCCGATAGGCGCTGGGGGTTGATAGGGGAAGGTCGGAGATCACCAATTACGATTGCAATACTACCGAATTACGGCTGCACTTATGTAGGTATGTAGGTGTGTATGTATATATCTATGTAGCTTTGGCGTTTTGAACTCAAACTTGCATCTACCAGCATTTTTTAATTCGAACCAAACAGGGAAAAAAAACATTGAAACTGCTTTGAAACCACTTGGAAACCCTAGGAAGCTAGAGCTCCGGAGCTGTGGCTCATATGTAGGTATGTAGGTGCTTATATACGTATCTATGTTTGTAGAAATATAGGTATCTATGCAGGGTTGCTATGTAGCCGTGTGTAATTCGATAGAATTGGAATCGCAATTCGGCAAAGCAACTTGCGATGCCAATACTACCGAATTACGGCTGCACTTACTTGTAGGTGTGTATATGTATCTATGTCGCTTTGGTATGTAGGCGTTTTTAACTCAAACTTGCATCTACCAGCATTTTTTAATTCGAACCAAAAGGAAAAAAAACATTGAAACTGCTTTGAAACCACTTGGAAACCCTAGGAAGCTAGAGCTCTGAAGCTGTGGCTCATATGTAGGTATGTAGGTGCTTTATGTATGTATGTATGTTTGTAGTAATATAGGTATCTATGCAGGGTTGCTTTGTAGCCGTTTGCAATTCGGTTTAGTTGGAATCGCAATTCGGCATATTCAATTACGCTGCCAATACTGCCGAATTTTGGCTGCACTTGTAGGTGTGTATATGTATCTATGTAGCTTTGGTATGTAGGCGTTTTTAATTCGGTTAAATTGGAATCGTAATTCGGCAGATCCAATTACGATTGCAATACTACCGAATTACGGCTGCACTCATGTAGGTATGCAGGTGTGTATGTATGTATCTATGTAGCTTTGGTATGTAGGCGTTTTTAATTCAAACCTGCATCTACCAGCATTGTTAAATTCAAACCAAAGTGAAAAAAAACATTGAAACTGCTTTGAAACCACTTGGAAACCCTAGGAAGCTAGAGCTCCTATGTAGCCGTAATATATGTATCTATGCAGGGTTGCCATGTAGCCGTTTGTAATTCGGTTAAATTGGAACTGATGTAATTGGTTTCAGGTAGATTTTAACTACATCATGAGTGTAGAATCGAATTTGGTATACTGCTCATCTTGGTCAAGCTCTGGAACTCTTTTGAACTCAGCATATCTGCTGCATACGGCTATTATACGGCTCATTTTGGTCAAGCCCTGTAGATGAGCCGTATACTGGCCGTATACAGCAGCTCCAGGTACGGACGTAATTGGTTTCAGGTAGATTTCCTTTAAATCGGATTCGGAAGCTCCATCTAGGTTGTTATTTGGGTCTGAAACAGGTCTGAAACTCATTGGAACCACCAGTCCCGCCAGCGATTCGGACCCGTGTGCTGCTACGTAAGTGTCATGAGTGTTGATAACTAGCTTAGGTGACATTACTGGCTCATTGCTAATCCCACTAATACGGATGAATACTTAGCTAGCCAAAATTCGCGCGTGTCCAAGATGAGCCGTAGATGGGCCGTATACTGGTCGTATACAGCAGAAAGTCTGAGTTCTAGTCGGTTCTAAGGCTGCACCGAGATGAGCCGTATACTAGCCGTATACTAGCCGTATACAGCAGAGAAGGTCCCAAACGGATGCTCTTCAAGTGCTGCTTTCTAAGGTTTCAGACTGCTTTCAAACTGGTTTCACATGGGCAAGCTGGTTTCAATTAGTTTTTAATTGTATGACAGTTTGAAATCACCTTGAAACCTTAGAAAGCAAAGCATGGAGAGCATCCATCCGTTTGGCAACCATTGAGATAGATCCCTTTGACAAAGAACAAAGAGAATATTCATCGGAAATCAAGTGCGTCCGTACCGGGATCCGCAAACGCGGCTCCAGGTACGGATGTAATTGGTTTCAGGTAGATTTCAACTACATCATGAGTGTAGAATCGAATTTGGTATACTGCTCATCTTGGTCAAGCTCTGGAACTCTTTTGAACTCAGCATATCTGCTGTATACGGCTATTATATGGCTCAGTTTGGTCAAGCCCTGTAGATGAGCCGTATACTGGCCGTATACAGCAGAAATGCTGAGTTCAAGTCAGTTCTAGGGCTTGACCAAGATGAGCCGTATACTAGCCGTATACAGCAGACATGCTGAGTTCAGGTAGATTTCAACTCTGTACGTGCCATTGCCTACCATGTATATAGATCATATGGGTTGCAAGTTTACATAATTTTACCGATGGTAGCTTTTGGCCCTTGGTGTTCGAGGGCAGGTAACACAAATGTTGGCCATAATGGTGATGCAATCGCCCGCTTAGGACTGAAAGACGTAAATCATAATCTGCAGGCATCGGTTCGTAGCTAATCGTCCGGAATACAATAGGCTCAACATGATACGATTCAGTTGTATTACGTGGACAGAATTCTATAGTAGGATTGGTTATATACATACATACAGACATATCTATTTACATATATACATCCATAGGTACATAGATACCTACCTACATATCTACCTAACTACCTAGCCTAGCTACATACCTACACCTCAAACCTGTCCCTTCTAGAGGTCTGAAACTGCTTTGAAACTAGTCTGAAACCTGTTAAAATCTACAAACGTGACTTGGTGGTGGAAAGAGATATATTTAGATGGAAATCATGATGGCCCTTGGATTTTCCAGGGTTCATAGCCAATCGTCCGTGCCTTCATAGTCATATAATAGTTCAATTCGCCTTGTGGACATTATTGTTCAAATTTCAGTATTCTTGTTGTAGCAAAATAGTTTTCATTTCCCAATAGATTGAGATTAAATTCCTCATCGTTCGTATTTTCGAATTGTCTTCACATACCAGATCATGTAATTTAACCGTTACTTTAGCTTGGCCGCGCCAGGACGAAGATCCAGGCTATGGAGGGATCCGCTGATGTAGAGACGGAAAAGGGCCGTGACGGAAAATGGCGGGTGGCGGGCTTGTGCAATAATCATCTCAAGCACTTGCGTGGCTCAATCCAATACAAACATCCAAGATATATATATATATATATATATATATGATCCCGGGTATGCATGGCCTCGATTCCCGTCGATTCGGTTCCCCGTGAAAATCGATTCGGGGCGATTCGGTTCAAGCAACCTACCGATTCATGTTTGATTCGATTCTTAATTATTGTTGTGTTCCGGTTCCTTAAAATCCTGGTCGATTCAATCCGATTCGATTCCAAACGATTCGATTTTTTCCGATTCCGGACCGGTTCGGTTCCTTATGTGCAGCGGTTTAGATTCCTGAACCGTTTTGGAACCATCCTGTATTATATATATATATATATAGATGCGTAGATAGATACCAATGCATGCTAGCATCTTCTCTTCAGGCCATATTCAAGAAACAGACTTCTGACCACCTTCTCCACGCGCCAAAAACGCCATTCGGACGCAGGCGATTTCGGCCTATTTGCCTCACATGAAGGGCATGCTGCCTGCGGTGCCGAAGAACGTCCGGGTCTTTTTGCGATTTTGGGCTGGATCCCCAGGATCCGCCCTCTCGGTGAAAAGAATTCGTTGGAACCGTTGGAAGCGAGGGATTTTCCAATGTTTTATGGTGGGTATATGAAAAAGAAACGTAAGTTTGGGGGGGTTTGAAGTGATGTGATTTAGCCATGATATAAATGCAAATTAGAAAAGAAACTCCTCAAATGGTGACTAGATTGTGGTTGGAAACTGCATTCAGTAAATGGTGGTTGACTTGTAGTTGAAAGAGAATCACTTTACTCCAAAACTTCATGACGCAGCAGGTATTTTCTATTTTTTTTGCATGGAGGCAAACCCTGAAATCACATGAATTGTTGTGATTTGGACATCTCAGGCTTGGCTCAGTCGTGAAAATTCATCTCTCCAGAGCCATAACAATCTCCCCGGCAACTAAATAGTGGCTGGAACTGCCCATATGTCTTCCACCGATTTTTGATGGAGTATATAACTTGGATTTATTGCTTTCATTTTCTGCCCTATAGTGCTCATGACCCAAAAGCTAAAGCGGCATCATTGTCCCATCCAGTTTTTTAATGTGGTCGCATGGGCATAGTGAAGATATGTGAAGACTGTGAAGATTCTTCAGCCAGATATGCATGCTGCATGGATATTGATATTACATTATTTTTACCTATGATATATAATGTCTATATATATATATCATAAAACGTACAGAAATATGTGATGCACTGAACATTATTGAAAACACCAAGAAACAACATATGCAAACATAAAAATGTCATATATGCATATCATCTATATGGGTTTGTCTGAAAATATGGTACCGCTAAATCTGCTGGTTAATAATGATCATCTCTATTGAATACCTATTATTTAGAATAGACAATTGTATCATTTTGGGAGTGTATCCCTCTGAATGTTTTTTAAAACTGGGAAGAAGCCGACTCTATAGGTATTAAACCTTGGTCCCCCGATGGCAAATCCATGGCCATGGCGTCTTTCAGGTAGCAATGCTGGAGTCGAAGAATGGTTACACCTTGGTAGCTGCAAGAACTTTGCAGGATGGGTCCGAAGAATGGGGTCCCCGTTTGAGAACATCCCAAGAAAACTTGGTTTATCCCCTAAAAATACACAAAATTTGCTCATTTCCAGGGGATAAACCAACTCGTTTTGGAGCCGTTACCCTCTTGTGAGGAGCTGTTTCCAAGTTTGGAAGACGGGCCATATTGCAGCCTCAACAAGGAGTCGGAGTCCCAGTCATCCCCTGTAAAAGGCGGAACAGATATGGAAAAACAGCAGCTTCAAGATAATATAGAAAGCTGTTGCCACCCATTGGAGATTGGTCGAGGAATGTTGCGGACATTAGGATGAAAAAGACTCACGAGACAGCAACAAATATATTGAGAATGCACAGTTTTTAGCAGCTATATTTTATCGGTGCAAAGCACACAGCAACTCGTGCATTCATTTTTCATGTCCTTTTCCCATCGGTTGGTTGATTAATAGAGGGGTTACCCCTTGAACGACAGGTTTCTATGATGATGGTATACCCGTGGTCGGCCCCTGTATCTGGCTGTAGGCGTCACGCCAAAGAGGTCCTTGACGTGGCAAGAAACTGAGAAGATGGTCCCAGAGGGAGCCCACTAGGCAGCCAAAACATAGCGCTTCCCAGCCATTCCCTTGGACTTTTAGCTCTTTTTTGGTAACATGGTAAGATTTCGTGTAATTTGTACATAACTTACACAACCACTAGAATTTAAACTTGCAGGGTAGCCGGGAGCCAACCAGGACATTTCCCTATTGGGATGTGGCAGACCGTGAGACCTCAGGCATTTGACCTCGAGAGGAATCTTCGAAGGACAGCAGTGCTGTCGGACCGATCTGAGTTTTTGGGGTCGACTGATCTTCGGAAACCAGCGATTTTTGCTGGCCAAGAATCGATGTTGCAAGAAACTTATGTACAGATCTCCCCCAAACTGGAACCGCTTCATAGTTTCGATTATTCTTTCTAAACAGAAACATACCAAAACCATCCAAAACGATCCATTTTCGTTGGCAAAATCACCAAAATCACCTTTGAGTCTTGGTGATGTTCAACAAAAAAATGTGGTTTTGCTCGGTGTTGCTTCGTTAGGATCTACGAGGCTTCCAGTGCGGTTTGGCTCAGTGCCCGCGGCAAAGTGCCGCTGACTCCGATACTGCAAGAGGCAAGCGGTTGCACCAACAAATGGGGATGTGACATGGGACAAAATGGTGGGTACAATGGGAAAATCATGGGAAATTCATGGGAAATTCATGGAAGATATTGGATCATAACCTAAGCAACATGATGATTTTTGATGTTTTTATCTCTCCGGTGTCATCAAACATGGCTGGAAATCCGACAACTTCTTCAATGATCTTTCCATGTTGGCAATTTATAGTGATAATGGATTTCCCGGCCATGTTTGGTTACTGGATGGCAATCCTCATTTTTCATATGGGGTCTCGTAATAACCCCGCGCCTATTCGTTTAGTATTCCATGGCATCATTTTCCAACCTTGCAGATACATGTTTTTTTCGAAAAGACAGGTGTAAATCTGGCGGGTTGTAAGCTAGCATCCCACCAAGAAAACGCATTATGAATTCTTTGATCAAGGTGAGAAGCCGGCGCTTGGGAAAACGATAAGAGGGAAAAAAGATAACGTGTGGAAAAACAACTGCAAAGGTATCGGGTTTTTTACAACCCCCCATAATATGTTGAATGTGAGATTGGCCAGTTGGGCTGTGTACTCCACTGTAAGACACACACAGATATTATACTGTATAATATATATATATTGTATTATATATATATAATACACTATACACATGGAATAATATGATGATATGGTATTGTACTTCTGGAATCTTATGGACATGGAATGGACTATTGGATATGGATGGATAGATTTTCCCTGATATAGATATTAAGGGATTTAAGACATGACCATTGTGGACTCAACGATTTTATCATCGCATATCTGATTAGTCCAGATCTCTGGCGTATGTTTCATGGCATACGAAGACATCATTTTTTTGTGGAGCTGGGAGCCCAAAAAACCATGTCTGAATCATCTGGGAGAGTTTTTTGATGGACTTTTTTGGGGATGGTTTCCCCTTTTGCGAAAATACCCATGAATTTTATGGGTTTCCCCAGTGAATTCCATCGGCTTCGGTGTGTTCCATGGCAGTTTCTTCGATGACTCCAGGGCGATGCGGAGGCGGAGGCTGCTCCGCCTCCGGAGCCTCTGCAAGGCACCGGTCCGGTTTCTGAAGTCCCGGGCTGATCACCAGAGGTCACCAAAGGGTTCACCTGTACTAACTTATGTTACCCTCCGGTAAGGTAAATATACAAAAAATATCAAAAAATATGGAAAGATCCACCATTGTTTATGGGTAATTCATCTATAAATGGCCATGTTCAATAGCTATGTTAGTTTACCAGAGGGTAATTGTTGGATGATTTGGTAGCCTCATCTTAGGGTTTACCTCCAGGACTCAGATGCGATTTTGCTGAATGATTCGAATGATTCATGACATTGGTAATGGTATTGAACATTATTGAACATGGCATGGTGGATAATGTGCTAAACCTATCATGACTGGGGATGATGGCTTTGTTTCTACCCAGTTTGGTATGGTTTTTGTTTGGGATTGTTTTAATGATGTCTGAATGGCATTAGGTTTAACACATTAATCCTATTCATATCTATGAACATGATAATCATTGTCAATGGAACATGCCCAAGTTTTAGATGATTTTCAATTGGCAGTGTGTCAAAACCTTGTACCCCTGGTGAACATCAAAATAGCTGGTAAATGGATGTTCATTCCCCTAAAAATGGTATTAATAGGTATTGATCCATTCCCAATTGATGTTCCTATTGAATCCTCCATTTAGATTCAGGGATTTCCCACTTCCAACAGCTGAATCCTTTCAGGACGAAGTGAAATGGAGCACCGAAGACCTCCAGGATGGTAAGAAACTTAGCAGAACTTTTTTTGTGACTATGACCATGTATGGATTTACTATAATATATATATATACATATATATCTATATATAGTTAATCCTACTAGAATAGTTCTGAAGCAATTTCTTCCCATCTTCCCAGTTATGGAGGTCCCCGAAGTCATGGGGGTACCTCCAAATCATCCAGTCGTCATGGATGACCATGACTTAGTACTGAAACCTATGGTGACGACTGGGGTACCCCCGTGGCATGTGGACCTGGACTGCCTTGGATGTGCTGATGAGAAACTTGGATTTTCCCAATGGGAAGTCCACACATCGATTCTTTTTTGGGGTTTCTGAAGCAAATCCATTGGCAAAATGATGGTTAAGGAGCCTCAACATGTCTATTGATTAGTAAGCCATCATTGACCATCACGAATCCATTGGGAATGTGTTTGATTCTTTTTGGGGTTTTTATTGATGCTTCATGATGGCTGGTTGGGCAACTGCAGATCATCTTACCCTCCGGCGTGGTCAAACATGGATGGGAATGAAGGGATGTTCCCACTAAACCTCCATTGTTCGAGGAATTTCCCAGCCAGCCTTGTTTGCTGCTTGGTAGAAGCTTGCTGGAAAAGAAATCTGAGACTTTGGCTCGTTCAGGTCGGAGAGACCAATGGAGGTGCAACAGGGGACTGGCCAATCTTGGTTTCTCTCCAGAACAATGGAATGTCACACAGTTTCCTCACACCATGAGCGATGACATTATTGTGAGTATAGGGAGGGTATACTAAGTCGTTTACTGAATGTGTGTGTGTGTAGTTTAAGTAGGACACTGAGCTTCCTTATCAGTAGTTCAACACGCGCAGTTGAAGTTGAAGCAGATTGTGATGAGGAATGTATCCAAGTCCTCTCAAACTCAAGCTACCTTCGAAGTCATCTTACTTCCAATTTACCTTTCTGGGGATCTAACTTGGCTGTGGATCCCAGCTATTGATGCTGTTGACTCCTGAAGTCTGATGGTCGTGTGGAGGCACCACTTGGCGGGAGCCGTGACGGTGGTGCACTCAGAGGACATGGCAACAGAAACCCCGGGGATGATCTTGCGGAATCATCCCACATCCCAATTCAGAAAAGGAATCCCACAGAAACAAATTGCCACAAATTCATCCATGAAATCGAATCCGGAATCCAGAATCCCACATCATCCCAAGATTTCGACCTGTCTCACCATTCCCTCGTTCCGGCCTAAACGCCACAGGTGTACCAGCTGCGCCGAAGGCTGCAGCAATACCGCCCTGGCGAAGGGCAGGTGCACGATGAAAACCCGCTGGTCCTATGCAGTGATCAAGTCATTGAAAAGGTCAAAACATAAATTCATCAGCTGCTTTTAGATGATTTTAGACGGTTTGTATAGTATGTTGGTTTATTATATGAAGTTATATGGGTTTATAATGGTTCATATAGTTGGTTTTAGTATGTTAACTATAGTATGTTTTATGTTTTAGTCGGAATCAAGTCGAGAAAAGTGCTGGATTCATGATTTTTTAGGACACCAAACGGTGGGGTCACGGTTCCGACCAGATCTGGGACCAAAGCCTCCTTCGCCCGAGTTGAGGTCATGGAGATGGCTTTTCTGACCAGGAAAGAACTATGTGGTTTCATGTGGTTTCAAATGTGTACATACATATATATATATATACACAAATATACATATGTATCTTATATATATTATAATATATATATATATATTATATATATATTATATATATATTATATATATATATATTATGCATAATATGTGCGAGCTGTTCATATTTTGGGATCATATGGATTTTTTTTATCAAAGGGGTCGGTTGAAACCACCAACCAGATAAGGCGTTTGCTAGCTGGTTTACTACAAAGTTGATATAATTCTTGGTAGGAGTGTCTATTTTAACACAGACACATTGAAGCAGCAGCAGGTTGTGGCAATTTCTAAGCAATCGCAAAGCTTGGGTGGTAACTGCCCAAAACTGGGGCTGCGAAAGACTTGTGAAGCTGGGACTGATGTACCCTAGAGATCAAATCCTGACTGTACAATTGGAGGCTTTGAATCACATCCCAAAACTATCCAAAACCATGGTATTGGCCTTAACATATTCATCCGCAACGGAGATCCGAAATTGGACAAAAAAAACGGTTGGCCTATCAGCTATCAGTCCATTCCAACCAGGTTCAGCTCGTCTCCAGGTCTTGCCGGGGCCTGAATGTGATGGTCTGCGAGCCTCTCATTGACTCTATAGGATTCAGTGTTCCCCATTGAACATCCAAGAAGAAATGGAAAGATCTACATTGAATTGCTGAAGTGAAGATATGGACAGGACTCATGTTTCACAATCTTAAAGCATGTCATGGCTCATCCACGACCTTTTTGATCTCTAAGGGCTCCGCATGGAAATTCTTTGATACCTGGCGTGCAGCTCGAAGCCTGAAAGCAGTGGAGGCAGGGGAGAACCCAGCACCGCAATCGTCATTACTATCTGGGTAAATTATAGTGACCTCACATCGTGACCTCACTGGAATCATGGTCCCAACGTTAGTAAGGGGAATTATCCCAATATAGCCGAACTTTTTAGTTTGTGAATTGTGAATTGTCATTATAATGTGGCCAGTTATTATGACAGTATCACCATCATCCGTTGTTGTTTGGCCTATCATGACCATATGAAAAGTCTATCCTCAATACTTTGTTTATGTAATGTCATAGTATGCAGATGTATGTACCCCAAAATCTAACGTGAAACCTCAAAGAAGTGCCATATCCGGTACTAAAGTCATCTTCGGGACCCCATTTTTGAGCAAAAACATCCATTGGCTCAGTATGTTCTTTCGGATATAAGATTGTGTATTTATTTACTCATGACACCCCAGAAATCCCATCGCATTCCAAAACCCTCTGGTGATGACTAACAGTTTGCTATGGAAAATGGATGACAATGGCCCATTTATAGATGATACCCTCTGGATCCCTCTGGTAATTCAACAGCTATTGAAAATGATCAATTTAGTTCGTTGATTTGCCCATTATATAAACGATGGTGATTTTCCAGAAAGCTTTTTGTATGTTTACCAGAGGGTAAACATGATGATCTTACCTTCAATGGATTGGTTTAAGGGAAGAATTACAGGAAAACAGCATATTTGACGGGAAATTCCAATGGTTTCCTGTAGATTTTCCCTTAAACCAATCCATTGATACCTATGAAAACTCGTGACTTTCCACTTCGCTTCCTCGCGAGGCCAAAGACGCTTTCCTGGGACTGTTGGGGTGCCCAACGGCAGAAACGGACGTCCTCGCTGAGGACAAAAGAGGTGTTTCTCATCACCGGAAAGTGCGTTTTTTTTCACCACAAACAGGGCTTTTAAGCAAGAATTGAGATTGCACATGATTTAACAAACAAAGTTTTGCTTGTTTAACAACTCACAACTTTGATTTTGGCACCTGCTTTTCTACCCAAAAAATCATTGGGGCTTCACTACCACGCCTGATGCACTGGGCTAGATTCCCACATCTTGGTGGTGGTCAACCTGAGATGTTTCGGTTGGGACTGACGTCACGTAAAAAAACGACCCAGGTTATGCCAAGGGCGTTTGCATCTGATGAACGGCGAGCTGGAGGATGCGCAGAGGATCGAAGCATTCGAATCTCGTCCCGGATGGATCTCCAGTCATCACCATGACGACTGAATGATTTGGGGGTACTTCAATGATCGTACCCCCGTAAATCAAAACTAGACGACGGTTGGCCCGAGAGCGAAAAAGCCGTTTTTCAAGCAGCTCTGAGTATGGTAGTCGTAAAAAATAGTCGGTGATAGGTTGGTGAATTTTATATGAGCTATGGAGGGGTAAGTTGTGAAAAGTAAGATTGATTAAGAGGATACATGTGACAACCCATGCATATGCACTGTGCTGCTTGGTAAAGGGCATCATATGACACGTGTCTTGCAACCACAGAGAGACATAGATAGAGAGAAAGGGAGAGAGAGAGAGAGAGAGAGGGAGAGAGAGAGAGAGAAAGAAAGAGGGAGAGAGAGAGAGAGAGCAGGGTCTTCTGTTGTTAGTATTGAGACACTATATTGCAAGACAATATATTAAAGATGTATTTTAGGCAGGCGAGACAAGTAGTATCAAGACAATATATTACAAGTACAAAACGCTAGTTTGTATCCTATCCTTCGTATTGTTTTTCACACGCAGACGCTTTTGCGCAGAAGCTGTTACACACAGACGCATTTACACACAGACGCTTTTACACACAGAAGCGTTTACACACAGACGCTTTTACACACAGAAGCTTTTACACACAGAAGGTTTTACACGCAGACACTAGACACTTTTTTACACATAGGCTTTTACACACAGACGCCTTTACACACAGACACTAGACACTTTTACACGCATAGGCTTTTACACACAGACGCTTTTACACGCAGATGTTTTTAGACACACACACACTTTCACACACAGAAGCTTTTACACACAAACACTTTCACACACAGAGGCTTTTACACAGAGGCTTTTACACACAGACGCTTTTACACAAAGAAGCTTTTACACACAGACTCCTTTACACACAGACGCTTTTACACACACACAGACGCGTTTACACACAGAGGCTTTTACACACAGACGCTTTTACACACAGACACTTTTACACGCAGACGCTTTTATACACAGGCGCTTTTACAGGCAGATGCTTTTACACGCAAAGACTTTCACAGACGCGTTTACACACAGACCCTTTTACACACAGACCCTTTTACACACAGACGCTTTTACACAACACTTTCACACACAGAGGCTTTTACACACAGAAGCTTTTACACACACAGGCTTTTATACACAGAAGCTTTTACACACAGACACTTTTACACACAGAAGCTTTTACACACAGGCGCTTTTACACACAGACGCTTTTACACACAGACACTTTTACACACAGACGATTTTACACACAGGCGCTTTTACACGCAGGTGCTTTTACACACAGAAGCTCTTACACACAGACACTTTTACACACAAACGCTTTTACACACAGACCCTTTTACACACAGACCCTTTTACACACAGACGCTTTTACACACAGACGCTTTTACACACAGAGAGACTTTTACACACAGACGCTTTTACACACAAACGCTTTTACACACAGACGCTTTTACACACAGACGCTTTTACACACAGACGCTTTTACACACAGAAGCTTTTACACACAGGCGCTTTTACACACAGACGCTTTTACACACAAACGCTTTTACACACAGAAGCTTTTACACACAGAACTTTTTACACACAGCACTTTCACACACAGAGGCTTTTACACACAGAAGCTTTTACACACAGGCGCTTTTACACACAGACGCTTTTACACACAGACACTTTTACACACAGACGCTTTTACACACAGACACTTTTACACGCAGACGCTTTTACACACAGGCGCTTTTACACGCAAGTGCTTTTACGCACAGAAGCTTTTACACACAGACACTTTTACACACAAACGCTTTAACACACAGACCCTTTTACACACAGACCCTTTTACACACAGACGCTTTTACACACAACAGTTTCACACACAGAGGCTTTTACACACAGAAGCTTTTACACACAGAGGCTTTTATACACAGAAGCTTTTACACACAGAGGCTTTTACACACAGAAGCTTTTACACACAGGCGCTTTTACACACAGACGCTTTTACACACAGACGCTTTTACACACAGACGATTTTACACACAGACGCTTTTACACACAGACACTTTTACACACAGAGGCTTTTACACACAAAGGCTTTTACACACAGACACTTTTACACAGACGAAAGCGTTGCGATTGACTAAGAAAAATCGCAATTTTACTTCAGTTTTTGACGTGCAACGTCCATTTCGCGCGAAAGGGTTGCGATGGACCAAGTTAAATCGCAATTTTAAATCAGTTTTTGACGTCCAACGTCCATTTTGTGCGAAAGGGTTGCGATGGACTAAGTTAAATCGCCAATTTTACCTCAGTTTTTGACGTCCAACGTCCATTTTGTGCGAAAGGGTTGCGATGGACTAAGTTAAATCGGAACTTTTCCTCAGTTTTTGACGTCGTCCATTTCGTGCGAAAGGGTTGCGCGCGACCAATAAAAGTTGCAATTTTTCCTCAGTTTTTGACGTCCAACGTCCATTTCGTGCGAAACGGTTGCGCGGGACGCTTCAAAATCGCAATTTTACCTAGGTTTTGGACGTCCAACGTCCATTTCGTGCGAAAGGGTTGCGTTTCGTGGCGCTCCGGCGGCACCGCCCCCGCCTTAAGAGAGAATAGAAGAAGAGCGAGAGGAGATCTGCAGATGTGAAGGTGTGAAGATCTAGATCTGCAGGTGTGAAGGTGTGAAGATCTAGATCAGCAGGTGTGAAGGTGTGAAGATCTAGATCAGCAGATGTGAAGGTTTGAAGATCTAGATCTGCAGGTGTGAGGGTGTATATGATGTAGATCTGCAGATGTGAAGGTGTGAAGATGTAGATCTGCAGATGTGAAGGTGTGAAGATCTAGATCTGCAGGTGTGAGGGTGTGAAGATCTAGATCTGCAGGCGTGAGGGGTGAAGATGTAGATCAGCAGATGTGAGGGTGTGAAGATGTAGATCTGCAGATGTGACAGTGTGAAGATCTAGATCTGCAGATGTGAGGGTGTGAAGATCTAGATCTGCAGGTGTGAGGGTGTGAAGATCTAGATCTGCAGGTGTGAAGGTGTGAAGATGTAGATCTGCAGATGTGAGGGTGTGAAGATCTACATCTGCAGGTGTGAGGATGTGAAGATCTAGATCTGCAGGTGGGAGGGTGTGAAGATCTAGATCTGCAGATGTGAGGGTGTGAAGATCTAGATCTGCAGATGTGAGGGTGTGAAGATCTAGATCTGCAGGTGTGAAGGTGTGAAGATCTAGATCTGCAGATGTGAGGGTGTGAAGATCTAGATCTGCAGATGTGAGGGTGTGAAGATCTAGATCTGCAGATGTGAGGGTGTGAAGATCTAGATATGCAGGTGTGAAGGTGTGAAGATCTAGATCTGCAGGTGTGAAGGTGCGAAGATCTAGATCTGCAGGTATGAAGGTGTGAAGATGTAGATCAGCAGATGTGAAGGTATGAAGATGTAGATCGGCAGATGTGAGAGTGTGAAGATCTAGATCTGCAGGTGTGAAGGTGTGAAGATCTAGATCTGCAGGTGTGAAGGTGTGAAGATCTAGTATAACGGCTGCTTTTTTACGAAGAACCCTTCGCAGGCGCTCTCGGGAAAAAACCTCCATATTATATAATAAACGAGAGAAATACATATATATATACACATATAATTTTGACTGAAAGTTATGGGAACACCCCAAATCTTGTGGTTAATCAGCATATGTTCCATCAATATTGAAAAAGATATGGGCATCACTCAGTTCCAGTCACACTCATACATTTGCTTGGATTGTCAGTGTGAAAAGATTGGATGACAGTACCCAGTACTTTGCAATGTTTTAAAAAACACACATATATATATTACTAATATGAATTCCTCCAATCTCACAATTTCTGCTGGATTTTCCGGAACAGATGATGACAGTCCCTGCTGAACCAGGAAGTAGAGTTCATATCGGAATCATCAACAAGAACTCTCTACTTTGAGTCTTAAAATCAATGATTGTGATGCGTGTGACCACATGTTTTGAGACACATACCATTCACATTCACATTCACATTCATTGAGAAAACGACCACATCTCCCAACAGCAAATGCTGTCTGTGGGATCAACACTTTAGCGCTTTGGATCAAATCTGTTGCAGATTTGCTGCAGAATTACATCAAATTACCATGAATTACTGGAAGTATTACCATAAATTACCCAGTTCAGTTACTGAGTTACTGGCTTCAGATCTTCAGTTGCAGCGACCGGCCAAAAAAACCAACGCCACTTATCAGAGTGCAGGATATGGACTTCTGCCAGCGAGACTCGAGTGGAAGCTTTCTTGGAGTTGTGGAGAGCTGAGGTCGGTGGGTGTTCAGGGATGTTGAAGGAGGTCTAAGGAGGTTTACACTCTGGTAAACAGCCACATAGCTATGGAAAATCTCCATTTTGAATAGGTAAATCAATTATAAATGGGGTATTTTCAATAGCTATGTTAAATTACCAGAGGGTAAAGAGGCTCAAGGTTGCTGAAGGTTGCTGAAGGAGCTTGAAGGTGAATCTTGGTGAATTTTCAACCATTCTTTTTTCGGATCTTGGAGTCTGGCAATGAAGGACCACAATACCACATTATTGATATTTGCACGTGAAGCCAGGCAACTCCGCTTAGCATGTCCTTGATTCTTACCTTTGGGCATATCAACATGGCTCCGACAATACTACATCACCCACTATGTATATACATATATGATCATATATGTATATATGCACTGTATACATAGATATCGATAAATGATGTGTTTTGACAACTGCTGTTCCATTGCCATCTCAAGATGTTAATACAGAGGGAAGTGGGATGTCTGGCGTTCGTTGCTGAGGTGGAATCTCCATGATGCACAAAATGCGCACAAAAAGGACAGAGCCAAGTTTTTATCAGCTGGCACAACTGATTGGAGAGTGCATGTGCCAGCTTACTTCCAAGAGTCCGCACATCTACATGTCGATATAATATATATATATGTAAGATATATAGCAGTCACGCGAGGCTATGCCTATGATGGCTGTGGATCGGGGTAGGTGTCCACATCCACCAGGCCGTGCTGTGTGCACGAAAAGCCTTTGAAGAAACTTCTCCAGAGTCACAGGCGCGGCCAACTGTGGGGGCTAAGCAACATGGGGCTCTAACCATCTAAAATGAGGAAATGGGTGTGTAACCAATGATGAGCTGGTAATTTCAAAAATTGTTTTAATTTTCAACCTGAGAAATGGGATGAGAATGAAATATAATGAATGTCTGTTGACTATTTCAGATGGGTTGGAACTGCAAAACTTAAAACCACCAATCAGCTTTTGGATTTTCACTAGACTGGCTTTCAAACCGGAAAAGCCAACCTCGGAGACCTTCCCAGATGGAGAATGCTGGAGCTGGGTCGGAGCCCTTGGGTCAGGTCTCTGTGGAAATGGAGTTGATTTTCCATCGTAAGGTGCGGCAGTTGGGGGTGATCTTTGGAATGGCAGTCATTGGAAATGGCGTGGTGTGCCATGTTCCCTTGTTTTTTAGACATGAACTTTGAATGGAAACGGACATTACCAAGTTTTCCTTGTCTCATTTCCAGTTACATCAATCATGTGGGTTTGTCTGAAAATAGGCTATATTCCCAAACAAATAGCCATTTAAAAACTGGATAATGATCAGCAAAACCATTGGGTTTATTTGGGTAAAAAGGGGTACACAACATTTTCAGACACACCCACATTGCCAGTTTTCTCATCCTTGTCCCAGCTGACTCGCCAACAACTCATGGGACGAGGTTTGGGGTGGCACCGCTGGGGAATCTGTGGACTGCCGCCACTGGGTGCCCCGGGCCCGATCCTGACGCGCCATGTTTGGTAGTTCCTATCTTTTTTTGCTGGCAAGACACCAAAAAAAACTGGCATTTTGGTGGAAAAGAACATCTACCAGTACTTAATCTATTGGTAAAATATGGTCAAATCTCGTAAAAGTACATGTTCCATCATTTTCGCTAAAAAATAAAGATCTCGCGTGTCGCTAATATATTTAGCCAATTGTTCTCCAGGTACAGCTGTTATTGGCCAAATCACTTCGAAAATGCAGTCTTTGGGAGGCGCCCAGGGATTTGTGTCTGAAAATAGGGCACCCCAAAATGTCACGATTTATAATATAATTGTCCACACTAAAGTTGCAATATTTAATAGGGTAATAGAAATACCATATTTTTGGACAGGCCCAAAATCACATCAAGTTAAGTTTGTTGCATTATTACTATATCTATATTATATCCCCCTCTATCCCCCTCATTGTATCCCTATTTTATCCCTAGCCTATATTTGCATGTTGCGTTGAATGGTGTCGCCTCAACCGCTCCGCTGGGTGTCCTGCCGCTGGGCAGGATGCCTGGCAGACACTTTTGGCAGCATCACGGGAGGCGCTGAGAGGGCAAAGTCAGCCTTTTGGGGGATGATTTTAAAGGGATTACCCTCTGGTAATTTAACATAGTTATAGAAAATCATCATTTTTAATAGGTAAACCATCTATAAATGGTCCATGTTCCATAGCTATGTTAGTTTGCCAGAGGGTATTATTGATAGATATAGATTATTGATGATATAGATTCATAGATATTGAAAAATGATTCTTGATGAAATAGATTGGGGATTATACATGATTATATTGACAATATCTAGCAACAAACAAACGTGGCGATGATCACAATTCGATAATCAACGGGGAATCCTTATCAACCACCGAGTATAAGGTCATCCACATTGGCCGCCCCGGTTGCTGCTCCAACCGGGAATTTATGTTTTCTGGGTTGACATGATATACCTTGTTTTGTGTGTCCAGTTGGCAATAAATAATATATATAACATGTATGTATATATATATATGTATGTATAACATGTATATATATAACATATATATATATGTGAAATCTACGTATAACAATATACTAATATACATTAATTTACATATATAATAATAACGATAATGGTTAATCACAATACTGTAATTGTAATATTACGGGTAGGCGCTGTGTGTTGTCCGGAAGGTTCAATTGGCGTTTAAACATGTTTAAACATCATCCTTCAACATGCTCAAACACTTGCGCAGGGCCAGTGTTTTGAGATTTCCCAGACGACGAACCCTAAACCCTAAAACCCTAAACCATCCTAAACCCTAAAACCCCAAGCCCTAAAACCCTAAACCCTAAAACCTAGGCCCTGAAAACTTTGGATCCCAAACTGGAAAACACTGCGTATACGCAGTATTTTCTGCAATCTCTCCTATCATATATTCGGCAGCACGACATTCTCAATGTTAATGTCTGGGCAACACACGGCGTCTACGGGTAATATTAGGAATATATATATATAATGATACCAATAATAGTTTTGGGTGCCAGGCCGTGGCAGATCATCCTGAGGAGGCGCGGCAGCGCGGCGCTGGCGCGGCGCTGGCGCGGCGCTGGCGCGGCAGCATGGGACATGTAAACTGGCGTTGTTCGCCAGTTTTGATGGGAAAAACATGGGAAAATCTTGGGAAAATCCACTAAATCCACTATGAATGGATGAAAATCATTGGGAAAATCATTGGCTGGTTGTCAAACATGGCTGGGAAAATTCCTGAAGTAAATGGAGGTTTCTAGTAAAATCAACGGACTATGAGAGATTCTCCAGCCATGTTTGATGAGCAGCTCAGATCCCAAAACCTCAGGCGCGTTTTCAGGGTGCATATGGCGCCTGCCTCTACCAAGTTTTGAAGTGTGAAGCTCAGTTCACACAGCCCAAACAGTCAGAAATGCTGTGTCAGAGAGGCAACTTTTTGGATTTCCTTCCCAAACTAATTAGATCTGGATAAATTACAACGACCTCACTGCGACCTCACTGGAATCATAGTCAATAAGGGGAATTATCCCAAAATAACCTTATTTCAGGTTAGTGAAATATTATAAATTACCCAGATTAGATTCAGATCATCAACTGGTGGATTGTAGGGCGATCATGGTGAGATGCCCAGAAGATCGGCAGATCCGTGTCTCACGAGTGGAGCAGTAGCTATCAGCTCAGGAGTCCAGCTGCATAGGGTGGTAGCCCCATGTAGCCCCATGTGAGTGGAAAATTTGCAAAATTCCCCAAAGATGTATGTTAATGCCGTGTCTGAAAATGGTGTGTACCGATATACCCCTACAAAATTAATCACTTCATGGACATTTATGAAAATAATTCATGGGATATGTATATATATATATATGATGGGATTTCGGAGTTTTCGCATATATTTGACAAAGCCATATAGATTCATGGTTCATATAGAGTCAACAAATGGGGTACTCCTTGATCCACTGGTTTATCCATCATGTTCAACCATATTTTCCCCGTCCTGTGCCCTATGGATCAGGCTTTGCATCCTTGCCGCAGAGGATGCAGCGCGTCATGAGGTGCTGCAGATTCTGTTCATGCTTAGTATATGTTAGGATTATATGATCGAATTAGTTCTAATTATCTCTAAATATTAATATAATGGATTAAAAATTGGGTGAAACCCTCCTAAACCACAACAGACGTAAATTTACTGAGACCCACAGTCGTTCTCAAAGAATCAAGATGATAGTCGTCACCATGGCTTAAACTATACTAAGTCATGGTCTTTGGTTAGGTCAACAGGGCGTCTTTGTGTCTTTGTGTTTGGTCGTGACATAGTGCTTTGTAACGACTTCTTTTAGGTTGCCACTAAGATATATGGGGGTTTCCTAAAATGAGGGTAACTCAACCCCAAAATATATTTGTCCTTTTACCCCCAAAATGGGGGTACGCCCAAAATGGATGGTTTGGAATGGAAAATCCATCTATAAACGGATGATTTGGGGGTACCCCTATTTTAGGAAACCTCCATATGTGTTCCATTATGTTGAATTCACCTGATTTTCATGACGGCTCATTTTGCTTCCATGCTGCTGCATATTCAGCTTGATCACGTTAGCTAGAAGTTGTCCACGTTAGAAGTTGTTCGCGAACAACCATGTTATTGTGGGGTGCACTTGCACTTGGATGCTACGCTGCTGAGATCCATAATCCAACAAAACATTTGCTGTCAAGACGTCCAAACAACGCGTGCTGACACCGCATCGAAGCGTTGTTGTTTTCACTATCAAACTTTAGCAAACAAGGACACATCTCGAAAATATCAAGCAGGTTAATATAGTCATTATCAATAATATATAATAATACACTATTGATAGTGGTTTATGATGGTTGACACTGGCTCATGCTAACGCCAGGGTGATGGGCATCTATGGCTCAACAGAGGTGCCACTTGATGGGAGGGGCCTCCATCGCTGACTCGATCTGTTTTTTTCCTGGTTGAATTATTTAATGATTGATCAATTGGAATTTTACCATGTTTTCTATAACTTAATCTCTGATAAAGTCATTTGAGAGGCAAACATAGCAAACCAAGTGAATTAAAGCCAGCAAAAGTGGCTTAGTAATGCGAGGACTATGGAAAATCCAGATGGAGTGATCATGAGAAATGAATGTGCTTGTGGCAAGATTCACCCTGGTACCTTGTAACCCCCAAACCATGGGGAGAATTATCTTCCAGGGTTTCAAGTTCGCTAATGTGGTAAACCCAATGCCATAACACCAGCCCCAATATTTGGGTGAGGGGTCCTCCCTAAAGATGGCTACGGGTTTTGGTAGTTTTTGGTATTATATACTTAATGGGTGATAATGGATGGAAAGCTGATTTCAAAATGGCTTGAATCCTGATTCAACCATTCAACCCTCCTCTAGACTCTAAATATCTCTAAATTCTGTTTCCAGCCTCACCCGTCAATGCCCTATGGATCTAAACACCTCCTGAGAAGGGCCTGAAAACCTTCCAAATCATGTCAAATCACACCCAAAGCACTTCCTAAGAAGATACTTGGGTCCAAAGGGATGGCTTTGGAAAACAACTTATAACCTGATTGGAGGATCATCCCACGAATCGTAAGCGGTGAACCTAACCCTAGCTAGTTAGCATGTCCCCATTTCGTGGAGTTATTCCATATAGAAGAGGGTGAATTAGCTATGGTTATAACATGTTATAACTACGGTTATTGAAGGGGTTATTCAATATCGATTACTACAGTATACAGTATATAATATATATATATATATGCATAATATATTATCAACCCCGGATTAATAAACCCCTTTACCAATTGGGGGTAACTCGGTAACCCCCATGTTAGTAAATTGGTGGTTTATTAATCCGTGGTGATATTGACTAGAGTTATTCAAAATTTGTACATATTACAATAGTGACCCCCCAAAAGATCGAAAAATAAGATCCCATCAACATAGCTGGGGAACTACTTTTCTAGTCTTTTCTAGCTTTTTCTAGTCTCTTCTGTCTTTTTGGCGGTTACTATATGTACACAATATACTGTCGGGTAATTCAACGTGGCCATGGAAAATGACAATTTTGATAGGTAGGCCATCATGTTGATCATCTTTAAATGGGCCATGGCTTCATATGGCTTCCATAGCAATGCTAATGCACTGGATGGTGTATAGATATAAATATATATATATATAGGAATTCCCCAAAACAGACTTGAAAATAGCAATTCAACAGTTCTGTATACATATATATATATACATACATATGTATAGTAATTATATATATATATGTACACATATTAATGAACTTTCAGACTTTTTAGTGTGTTCATGCCTTAGTGTTTTCATTTTGTTGCTGCTTCTTGACCACCATTTTTCTAAGCTTTTGCTGCTGTCGGGTGCCTGCTCTGCCGGAATTACCTAGTCACTACCAACGGCTTCATATTTTTCATTGTCCCCATTGTCATCTGAAAAAGTCTAACGTAGTCTAACCTTTCTGCGCCCCAACCCCATCATATCACCATCAACATCAGGATCCCCATCGCGATCTTCAGGCTCAACATCATCATGCTCATATTCAGCGGGCGTCTTGCTATCACATTCACTTCACCCTTAAAAGACATGCATGCTCAATGAATCTTGCAACAGCGATTTGAATTATTGCGCGTGACCCGTTTGGAGTGTGAGCTTCATCGCCGGATATCTTTCTGAATATGGACAATGAGAATTCACAATGTTCAGGCTATAAATACACTTCACACGAGAACTTCCTCTGGGTGACAGGTATATCATCACATGTGAACCGGGGGCAGCGAGGTGTTTATCCAACAGAAGCTGCAAAACGCTGTAGTTGGAAGGCAAACTTCCCCGGATAGCTTTTGGCTGTCCACTTTGAGGGTTGAAATTGGACCCCCTAGGCGGGGAGCTCTTCCCAGAAGAGCTCTCCACCCAAGCCCCCAACATGGAGACCCCAAAGCGGCTAGCTATTTGTTGGACATGGGCGAGTTGAAACTTAAAACACCACTGTATCTCTAAATAGAAAGTTACCCTCTGGTAAACTAACATAACTATGGAAAATCACCGTTTTCAATGGGAAAATCCACTATAAATGGTCATTTCCAATGGCTATGTTAAATTACCAGAGGGTAAAAGATTTTGAGATGATATCCTTACAATCTTGTGGCGGCGAACTATCCGGATTCCATGGGCGGCGAGCCACTGCGTGATATCTGTCAGGTTACAAAACGATTCATGGTATTTAAAACAAAGTAGCCTAACAAAAACAACATGACCTAGGGGTCCATGCTCCGCTATGAATTAAACATAAAATAGTGTGAGAGAAGGAGGGGGTAAAATGGATGGGATGATTGCAATTATTTTTTGGATATTTTTTGTCATTCAGTTAAAAACTCGAACCACAACAGCCTTCACCAATTGGTGACGAGTGGCACTCCTCCACCCCACGACTGTTATCAACTTGGCCACCTGGCCAGTTGCCCCGGAATCCTAGAACCTCAACCGCTTGGATTGGAGGGCGCCACATGTCCAGCACCACCCTTTGGAGCCAAAACACTATCCCGTGAGAACACGAAAACTTATGAAAGTTCCTTATATATATATATATATGGTTGGTGGTTTGGAACATGTTTTATTTTTCCATTCAGTTGGGAATAATCATCCCAACTGACTAACTCATATTTTTTCAGAGGGGTAGGTATACCACCAACCAGATATATATGTAAATACATATATAATATATGTATATATATATGAAAATACATATATATATATATATACATATATATATAGATAGATAGATAGATATTCACCAACCTACCAGTTGTACCCGAAGCGCCCAATGTTGCAGGCGCCACTGCCCTGGCTGGCCTCGAGAGTCGGGCAGTGCAACGCCTCTCGCCCCAGTTTTAGCGAGGGAGGGTGGGGATACTACCCCCAGATGGCCATCGTAATACGGGAAAAATGCGGGAAAAATATGAGAAAACATGGGAAACTATATGAAATGAATGAACATATGAGAAACTATATGAAATGAATGAAAATATATGGGAACATATGGATGAAAATATGGATATAATGTTAGAAAAGCAAGAAAGAACCTTAGACTACTCTACATAGCAACCCTATTCCATAGATAGAAAAGTTGGAAACCCTGCAAATATAAAGTAAAAATATCATCGAATGTGAGTAAAGCAATAGTAAAACATTCCCAGTTTTACCATAAATGGTTGGTATAAACGGTATAAACCATCGAAATATGGCTGGTTTATGACATTTACCAACGGATCATGGGGTTTTTTGGTGGGATAAGAAACCACTAGTTTTTAATCAATCTGATTCGGGGTGTGTCTAAATCTAGATTGGGAACATGATGATCTTTCCCAAGTGGATGGAGTTGTTTTTTCTCTGAATTTTAGGCTAAACCCAGATTGATTCCCGTGACACCGACCAGGTAATCAAGGATTTTTGGACTTCCAGATAGGCACGAATGCATGTGAATGATGTGGATAACTTAAATTCTGGGTAACTCACAAATCACACAACCTCAGAAGATACAGTTTATGACTCAACGATTTATTGTGTGGAAATGACTTCAGGTCGTGCAGCGGGGGACTCTTCCAAGGCCCTGATGAAGGCGGCGAACTGTGCATCTAGTGGTGCAACTGTTGTTGGGATTTGTGATGCCAAGCCTTTCAAACAACGAATTCCAACCTGGCTTTGTCTTGGAATAGGGTAGCCCCAGATTTCATAGTGAGTCATAATTTTCTGTACACAAATGGCCAAGTAGGTGATTACCCTATTTTCAGTCAGACCCATATGTTCCAGTTACAATCAACCAGATCTTACAGAAGATCTTACAGAATACTGTAGGAATTACCCTGTAGGAAATTGTCAACACCAAGATCCAGCATGTTTGAAATTCGAAACCAATGAAACATACGTTTGGTGGTTGCGAAATCCTGCACCACCCTGGATGGTTGAAACCCTATAAATAATGGGATAAACCATCTATCAACTGGTGCAGGATTTCGCAACCATCCACAGTAGTGAAACAACATCGCTTCGCATCAGCACTGCGACCACATCGCAGGATTGGCAGCGACAAGCCAGATGGTTCCACAGGTGCGGCACGGAAGATGAAAACGGCAACAGCGGGTACACCACAGCGGTTCTGCGCTGTGGTCTGGTTTTTCTTCAGAAATATATACCTCCCAAAAAGATAAGAACACCATGTGTCATTATTTGTTTAAGTGTTATTGTTTTTTTTAAAGATCAAGGGGCTGCTTTACCATTTAACTATAAAACTCATGACCAGGAATTATTTCGGAACATGTTCTTGAATCACCACAGAACTCGGCGGCTGCAAAACGGCGGCTGCATGAGGTTGCAGCAGCTGCGAAACGCCGATGAACTGCAGAAAAAGAGCTGGCCGCAAAGGATATCTAACCAGCAAACGTGGGAATTTCACCATCTAATGTGGTGATTTTTCATAACATTATACAACATTTAAATATATTTAATAGCTACTGATGGTCTAGTTGGTGGTTTCAAGCATGTTTTCTGTTTAACCATATTTTGGATGATGAATGACCACTGTGCATTTTGGTATTTTTCAGGCGGGCTGAAGCACCAAGAAGTTGTAAAAAAGTCCTGTGTCCGGCGGATGATATTCCCAGCTTGGCGGCCTTTTCCGAATGGATTCTCATGCAAAAAACTCCTTCAAACAATGGATTCCTGAAGAACTTCGACATCTTAGACCAAAGAGCTCGCGATTTCTCAGCAACTTTTCATGTGTCTGCCCAGCAATTTTGGCACAAACGACCAGCAGCTGGGTCAAACCGTGAAAATCGCGATGACTTTTGCACCTCCTGATCGGAAGGACGCAGCATGACAATAATCTGTATAAATGATATATATATATATAATGATATATATATATAAGTATATCATTATATATATATATAACCTGGGATGAAATGAGTGGATCTCACCATTTCTGGCAAAGATCCCAAGGGGTACGCGGTACGTTCTTGGATTCTTGGATATGGGGCATGTTTCTGTTCCTGGGTTTTATTGGGAATGATGATTCGCAGCTCCTTCCAGGGATCTCCAATTGTTTGAATAGAGATGATATGGGCGGTTCCTGAACTGGCCCCAAAATGACTAAACACTTCTCATTGAATCAATGCGTTCAATGGGAAAATCCCTGTTTTGGGGCACCCCCAACTTTCAGAAACACATATATCTCCCAAAAAAATCAACACACAATCAACATTAAGTTGTTGTTCATAGAACATTAGCTGAAAGACATTGTAAGACTTCGCAGGAGCTTCGAATAAAGCGCAATGCAATGCATTCTCCCGCTTGTGTCATGGCAGGACAATGTATGGATAAAGTAATTTCGTGCATATCCATCTAAAAGTATGAATATGAAAAGAACCGTACCATTTTATATATTACTATATTACTATATTGTAATACAGTGTCTTAATATACACACCTAGATCTAAATGTTATACTTAGTACTTGTCCAGTACATATAAATGTAAACATTGTTTTGTAGTTTTTCACTATACAGATGCAATGAACAGCAACCGTACCCAGCTTCATTCTTCCTTGGTAGGATCCGCTCCAGTTCTTCTTGAATGGAGAACTGGTACGAGTTTATGACCCCGATCCGCGACAAATGCTCATCGAATTCTTGCGCGATTCCAAGGCGCGAGTTGTGCGTTTCGAAACGCCCATAGCATGGATGGTTTCATGATGGGAGAGCTCCAAAAACATTTACCCATACAATGTGAGGCCCCCCAGTGATGTTAGTCGGTTTAGATTCGCCCCAGTAACTAGTTCGTTATAAGTACCATAAGACCCCAGTACTGTTGGTTTATTTTTAAGCCCCAGCAACTAGTTCGTTATAGATATACACCATAAACCATAGTGACATTGGAGCTATGTTCACCAACTTTTCACGCTATCGTGGCCGGGGGCCTCACATTTGGGCCGAGGAGTTCATGTCGCGAAATCCCTTTTTTGGGGGGGAGTTTTCCAGCCACGTTGCTTGCCACGTTTGATGACCAGCGGGTAAATATACTATAGCAATCCCAAAAAAGATAGAAAAGTAGTTAACATACTAAACATTAATTGTGATACATCATTGTTCTACCATGTTCTACCTTTTTGATGCTTACTATAAAGCCCATAGGATCCACGGTGCTGCCATATGTGGTAACATGGATCCCATCAATATACCCCCCTTATGTTAGCATACATATATATATACATATATATATATACCATACATGGATCCGTCATGGGAAGTGAATTTGGATGCGCATCCGGCTATGTCAGTACCTCACAGCGATCCTCGCCGCCAGGGCTTGACCGGCACCAAGAGGAGTCGATGGAGTCGTGGTAATTTTTGTCGTAGATCGCTGGAAACTTTGGGATGGATAATCAAGTTTGTGACATTGATTAACTATAACATGTGTATATATATATATGTATGATGAACATTAATTAACTCTATATATATATATTCATTTTTATCTATATATATATAGGTTTCACTTTCCTGACATAATGACAGAATCTGGGTCATTCGTTGAGTCTCGTTGTGTTTCTGAACACACCTTTGATTTCGAGGGGATCGATCAACCGATCGACCCAGGAGCTGCTTGCAGGGAGGATGTGGTGCATGCGTGGTGGGGATGCTGAGGTGCTGGGATGACCCTACGATGGTTAAGGCTAAGGTGATTTGCCTTGTAACTGTGCAAAGCTATTACCCTCTGATAAACATTGATAAACCTGATAAACATACGAAAAAATATGGAAAGATCCACCATTGTTAATCGGTAAATCAACGAACTAAATGACAATTTTCAATAGCTACGTTAATTTACCAGAGGGTATACAATTATACAGTGGTTGTGAGTTTGTAACTTTGTTGTTGTTGTTTTTTCAAAACACAAATTCACCACTAGCAATGTGCCCGGATGCTGTGAGCGTTGGAACACGTTTTGAAACTGAAGCCACCGAAGATGCTCGATAAGTGAAAGTATCCCAGTCTCAGTAGCCATTACTCACTATAATTGATAGGGACCTCAGAGGTGTCAGGTTCCATGTCCTTCCAAGGTCGCCATTCAGGAATATGATGTCGCCACAAGGCGTTGGGTCTATCGATCAATCAACAGCTGTCTCTTGGCGGAAGTGGGGCAGTAAAAACAGCGAAACAGTACCGCAATTTTCAGCAACGCAACTGAAATGGAAAAGTGCGGAAAAAGTGGATGATGTTCTGAATACCCTCTGGTAAACTAACATAACTATGGAAAATCACCATTTTCAATGGGTAAATCCACTATAAATGGGCTATTTTCAATAGCTATAGTTAGTTACCAGAGGGTACCCCCACATGGCAATATGTAGCCAACTTCCATACCCCAGGCCTCAAGCCCCTGGTGGCCTGTCACGGTGTGTCCGTGACTACGGTGGAGGGTGTGGGCAGCGAACGGAAGTGCGTGCATCAGGTGCAGAAGCGTATCGCCCCTTGGATGGATGGGGCTGGGCTGGGAGAACTGGGAGAACTGGAGAAAAATCCAGTTGGATCAGAAGTTTCTCTTGGGATCCAATGGCACTATATATATATTATATATATATATTATATATATTATATATATATATTATATATATTATATATATATACATATCAATTCTGGGTCCAATCACATCCGAGAACCACGCTATTCGCCTAAGACTTCAAATCCACTCCAAAACAGAGATCCGCTTGGATCCACGAGATGTTTTTGGATGAATGATATTGGGGATGGGTCAAAACATATTATTCGCATATGACTTGGGGGGTAAGCATCCATTATTGGCCCAGCTATGGTAGACCCTTTGGGTACCAGGGTTTGATCCAATAACTATGTGACTATGTGGGTCAAAATTAGGTACTCCAATAATTAGATAAGGTGAATACTAAATCATATGCTAACATGTGTGGTCCCATAGGGCTTAAATCTGAACCGTCTTAAGCCATGCCCCCTGATGAATGTTTCCCAGGCGGAGAACCATGGCATGCAGTGCGGCTTTTGCACACCTGGAATGGCCAGAAACTGAGGAAAGTCACAGGAATCCACCCGTTCATATTAAAGACAACCTATAGAAACCGTGGCATAGGTGTGGGGATCTGCACTTATTTGGAACCACAGAATGGGGGTGTTTGGTATGGATGGGGGGTGGAATTTGAACTTTTGGACTTCTTTGGGCAAAGATTGACTTGTCCAACATGGCTGTAGTGCAGTTCCTTCTGCCAATGTCAACCCTGATGATGATGCTAAAGCCTGATAGATTCATATTGGGAGGGGCTTCAACAAAATCCGTAGTTGACATGACTAGAAGCACTTGTGAAAACATGTTACCCTCCGGCAAACATGGCTGGCTGGACAATTGCATCATTTAGAAATTTAGATCGATTATATTTTCCTATTGAAAGCTCCATTTCCCATTAAAGCATCCAATATTCTACCATTAGTCTATATTAAAACATATTAAAACATGCATTTTTGCCAGCCATGTTTGATGACACACTGCCGGGTGCACCACAGCAAAAAAAATTGAAGTGACACGGGCACCTTTGAGATCTTTGAGGTCATGAACACCTATGCGCTGCTGCGAGCGGGTGGCAAGCCCACGGCAGAAGAGTCCATGAAGAACTACGATGGAAACATTTGCCGATGCACTGGCTACCGAAATTTGGTTCAGGCCTGGGTGAAAGTTAGTGGAATGGAAGAATCTGGATAGTGAAGACTAGACTTGCCCAGATTTGATATTTGGTGTACTTCTCTACATTTTTCTTGCTTTTCGATTGTCCTTCACAAAGAAGCAAGTGAATCCTTGAACTTCATACTGTACTGGCATATGTGTATCAGCGAATGGTTTTGGACAATTAAAGTGGAATTTCTGAAAGCCAGGAAGTTGTTGTAGTGTTCCCAAAATGGAACTCCAAGTTTTCGTGGCCATTCTATCCCAACCATTGTCAGCAATGTGACATATACATCGTGCACAAGGAAAAATATGCTGCCACTCTTGAGCAGTAATTGTGTCCCCACTATCTACCATGTTGTGCTTCTATGATGTTCTATGCCCGTGCTGATTCGTCATTATTCCAAGTTTCAAGTTTTCCCCATGTCCCCCAAGCTGGGTTCTCAATACCAACATTTCAACAGCGCATATATCAGTTGCTGGATTGGTATCCGGACAGATTTCATTTTACACTTTACACTCTGTTCTTTTTGGCTACCCTTCCGCTTTTGGTTGGTTATATGACGCTATGGGGCTATGAGTCTACATTAAAAAACACCGTTGAATCGCAGCTGTTGGTCACTTTTCCCAACAGCTATTCAAGTGTTTGGAGTACGCGGTTTTTGATCCACAACATGTATCATTGTATACATCAAATGTACCTACATGCATCACGTGCACATACACATATACCCCAAACCCAAATTAAATAAGTTTACCCCTCCAAAAAATGAACAGTCGCCTTGGTTCCAGCTATCTAATTATATCATGTGTTACCTATGTATGATAATAGTTAGCTAGAAACCTGGCCCAATAACATACCTTTGTCAAAACTCTTGTTCCAAGTACTCGATCATACTCGTGTATCAATTGTCGTGGGTACTTGGAGGGTCTAGGCTAGGTATGCATATAAGTAAGCAAATAAATATATATATATACAGTATATATATATGCATATGTGTATATCCCATTTGTATATATCCCATTGGCACATGCTGCAGCAATGCTTTCTTTGCCCCAGGCCTCTGAGTCCTTTGCCTCCGATGCGTCCAACGAGGCGGTCGCGTTGGCGGAGAAATGCGGCCACCACGATGCCAACCTCTGCGACAAGTTGAGTGGCGCCTGGACCATCCATTAAGGGGCCATGGCATTTTACTGGGGGATGACCCTCTGGTAAACAGCCACATAACTATGGAAAATCACCATTTTTAATGGGAAAACTCACTATTTCTATGGTCATTTTCAATAGCTATGTTAAATTACCAGAGGGTATGCCCAATAATGTGGGTAAAACAATGCCATAAACCAGCCATGACTGGGAATGGTTATTTATTGTGATCTGGGAGACTGTTTATTATTTTTTTACCATCTTTTACCCGTATTATAATGCTTATAAGTGTTTGATAAGCCTGGTTTGAGAACAGTGACTTTGGGGACTTACTCACTTAGTGATTATTTTTCTGGATAGGAACTGGTTAGGAACTGGAGTTTCAAGTTATGACCCATTGTTCGACCATCCATTGCTTTAGTCACTGGGATGATGTATGAAAAATAAACGGAGACAGTGAGTTAGAGGGACTTGCTAAGTGAGTGAACAATTTTGGACCATCCATTACTTTTGTGTGTTTCTTCATTAAACATGTGACTTAGTGTTTTTTTGGATGATCATCTGCTCACCATGACTCACTTGGAGGATCGCCCTACTTAGCAGCTTAGTAAGTGGGGATATCTATGAAAATACACGGAATAAGTCACTGAGGGGGTCAAAAAAGCCACTTCCTAACCAGGGATGACCCTCCAAGTACGCGGGGGTTTTTCACATCCAGCAGTGGCAAGACACCCCTGTTGGTGGTTGATACTAACCTTTACTGGGCAATATCACAATGAAGTGTGAAATATTGGGGAATATATCACAAAATCACCAATTATAGGGGATTAGTTTGGAGATTCTACTAACCAATATCACAATCCATCAGGGCTAGATCCGGGAAATCCCTATTATCCAGCTATGATCCAGCCTTTCCGCACTACTTTTTGGGCCCGTGTTGCGGTGGCTTCAAGATCTTCAAGGCATGGATGAGTTGAATGGCACCCAAATCTCTTAGAATCAAGCAAGGAATGGCAAGGTCGAGACCAAAACACAAGGGATTTGTAGAAGGTGTTTCAATGGATTGGTTTAAGGGAAAATCTACAGGAAACCATAGATTTTCCCATTAAATATGGGGTTTTCCTGTAATTTTTCCCTTAAACCAATCCATTGAGTGTTTCTCCGTCTCAGCATTTTGCCACGAACATTGAGTGGACACTCTTGGAGCCCTTCACAAGATGGCTTCATCGGCCGCTGAGGCCCAGAATACCCCAAGATGGATATGCTGCGCCAGTCCGTCAGAAGCTAAGTGAACCAGATGTGCTATGTGGAATGGAAGCGGTAATGAGACCAAATGTGCATAGGATATGCACACTTGAATCTTAATATTGAATCTATTTGATGAATGGTCTTGTACAGATCATTTAGGCGTGATTCTAGTTTGTGTTTCCTGAATCACGAGCAATGTGATGATTCTGAATGGATGCACACTGTACAGCTGTCAATCAATTAATGTGTACACATATTATATATATAATTATCTATATAATTATATATGTATATATATATGATTATATATATATATATGATTATATATATATATATATACAATGTATATATATATATACATGTATATATGTGTCTTATTTTGATCCAAGAAACATGGCAAAGTTCATTTTGATTGTCTTTACTTCATCAATTTTTGGAGTATCATGGAGTCAGGAACATCAAAGCTGAAGCTGAGAGTTGTGCCATGGCAACCTTGAGCAACAAGAAAATCAGTGAATCTATGAGCACACCTTGGTGTTCTTTCAGGTTTCCTTCAAAACAGAAGGCTTTGCTTGGTATGCACCCATGTCTTTGGAGGTGCCGCAAGATGACTGGTGAGGGTGATGTTGGTAATTCCTTTCCGCCAATGACAGCCCAATGGAAAATCCTGATGGATTGGGATAGGCGGAATGTATTAGATCTATTCATTGGGGCCAGATAAGGTGCTTGAGGCTGGAGATTTGGAAATGGGCGGGGCACTCCAAATAGCCCTTAAGCAACGTAGAAGAGTATCTCCATATGGGACAAAGACAAAGACAGGTCTTGTTGCAGATGCAAGCCTTTCGCTCTGTAATGCAGTTGCAATGGCGTGATCATAGGCTTCACTGAAGGTCATGCTGTAAAAGTTGGATGATAAGTCACATTGAAAATATGTGATATTCTGTTATACTCATTTGATACGTATACGCGTACGTACATACCTACCTTCATGCATGCATAGATAGCTAGCCATTTTGGGACCAGCTGGTGGTAGGAAGAAATTCTGTCATTTGGACTATGCTACAGTTTTGATATCGTTCAGAAATGTTCAGAATATGGGTGTGTTCCAAACGCAGATTGCCCAAACCCGATTGGTTTCACAAGATCAGCCCTGTCATATTTTTTTTTTCGGCGGATGTGGTCCAGAAAAAGTCCACCACAGCATTCCACAAGGTTCCCAGCTGATGTTTCGTCAGGAGACGTTAGAAATCAAGAAGTCCAAGCCTCGAGCAATGCGCCTTGACTTTGGTCTGGTGGGTGTTCCCTGCAAGGTTCCCCAAAAAAAATAAAAAAACTAAGTTGGTGAGCAGAATTCACAGAACTATGGGGTTTATAGATGTTTATAGTAAATATAATTAAATATATAATGATATATACATACGTATATACTTATATATGTTTTTTTCCAGGATCTCTTCAGGGTTTTTGTCCTCCGCAGGTATATCCTGGGCGACACCGCCAAAGGTATCCGCCAGGCGGCGTATGAGGTGCCCTGCAGGAACCATGGAAGCCATGGCACCGATAAAGAAAATGAGGATTTGCTGTGTTTTAAACATGGTGATTGATTTTCTATAGTTATATGAAGTACTATAGTATAGAGTGGATATGTATAGATTAGATTGGAGTATATAGATTTGAATGAAATAGAATAGATAGCAATGTATATATATATATATCCGGTAAAACATGTGTATATACATATATATATATATACACAGTATATATATATATACAAACATGCAGCAAACGATTGGAACCATTGTGGAGTTAGTGTTGACGCATGTTTTAAGAGGAACTATAGAGTTGGCCTTGATAGGTGACCACCCGGTCCATCAAAGTAGCTTGGCGAAGCTATTCGGACATGGGTTACCCTCTGGTAAACTAACATAGCTATGGAAAATCACTGGTTTTAATGGGAAAATCCACTATAAATCACCATTTTCAATAGCTATGTTAGTTTACCAGAGGGTACTATCATCAATGGGAGTATTTCAAAGCTTGAAATTCTGCAAATGAACAGCCTAACTGGCCTAACTTACCTCAGGTTTCCAGCAGCATCTCAAAGAATTGAAGAAATCCATCATGAATTTTTGAATTGGGTGATCTGGAGATAGGCAAAAAAACAAAAAAAAAAAAGCCATCCTCTGAAATGTGCACCGAACCATGCGGAACCTGTTTTCGCTGGAAAATCTACCAGCAAAGGCTGGACATGACCACGGGATCCTGCTGCCGAGGGTATCAGAGGTCCCACATCATCCTGTGGATGATACCTCTAAATCTCATGTTTTTTTTTCCCATTGACATTACCCTTTAGAAAGTAGAATTGCCAGTTGCAGACCAGCCCAAAAACAAATTTTGTTGGTGAAATCTATCTATCTATCTATCTATCTATCTATCTATCTATCAAGTATCACTATATATTTCTATTATTTTCTATTCGTTCGCCATGTGATTTAGCCAGTCGTGCCAGGTGGCCAACGGCCGTGCCAACGATGTGATCTCCCTTCGAAACGCAGCTGGGCTTGGATCATTCCCTTGCGGATGGGTCATTCATGTTAGCTAAGCTCAGTTTGTTGACATCACTATGTAGGTGAATTCTATGGTTTATGCATGTTTATGCTATATACATAATATATATATATAAATACATGAAGCTGTTTATTGAGGTCGTAAACCACCTTGCATCAAAGTACTATGAAAATGGTGGATGAACATCTATAACTAGATTCCCAGCGAGTTGATTGAATCTTCAAGTGCTTGGAAAAATGTGTATATTCATAGAATTGGATGACGGGAAAATTTACAGGAAACCCCTATATTTGATGGTAAAAACCATGGTTTCCTGTAGATTTTCCCTTAAACCAATCCATTGATATATCCAAAATATTCCAAAATACCAACCCATGGGGAGCACCTGAAGCACCTGGTATCGCCTTTCGGGTCACATCCGAAAGCACCGGGTCAAGCCATACCTCTGCGGAAATATCCCTTTTTTCTTTTTGCTCCTGGAACTACAGCTGGGTCATTTGAACCAATCGTCTATGTCTATGTTGAGTTTGGACTTCCATGTTGAGTTTGGACTTCCATGAATTTCTTGATGAGGTCTCAGAACTGAACATCTTGGAGAAGAATGGCACAGGCCGGTGATTGGAATTTCAGGCCAATCCAATGTTTGGGTGATTTTGGGACGATGGGATTTGCAAAACAGGCCCTTTTTCTTGCTGAAGAATTCCCCCAAGTGTCTTTTTGCCACAATTTGCAAATGATGCAAAACATGGGTCCCCTGTTCGTTTCACGATGGAAATCTTAGTCCCAAAGGTTCCTATGGAAAGGATCTGCAAGGCTTCGGACTGATTGGCACCTCTACATATATCCTGATTGGAAACGCATCAGATATTTGTGACATGGTCAAAACATATGGTTTTTGATGTTTTTGTGTGTTTGCCCAGAAGCGGATTGTCATCTCTCCCATTCAAAAAGGCTTTCATAGGCCCATGAATTTGGGAATCCCATTCATGATGTTGGGGCGACCATGCTCCATATGAGTCCCTTCTAATTTGACCATGGCACATGACATATGGGTACGTCTGAAAACCTCCAATTGGCCAATAAAAATTAACATTGGGAAATTCAGCATATATACCCTCTGGTAATTGCAGGGGCAGTGGACAATTCCCCACACATAATAGCTGATCTTCCCATTGAAATGACCATTCACAGTGCATGTCCCATTGCCTTGTTTCATTGTTGGAAGGCTAATCCATTGGACTGTGGGTTTTTCCCCATTGAGAAACCCAGTTTCTGTTACCCTCTGGTAATTTAACATAGCTATTGAAAATGACCCATTTATAGTGGATTTTCCCATAAAAAATAGTGATTTTCCATAGCTATGTTAGTTTACCAGAGGGTAGAGGAACTTCCAGCCGCATCACGAGTCTCACACCGTGTCTAGGCTTGACGTTTGGTGGGGCCTTAACCATCCAGCATCTCATCGATGCATTGCAAGCGTACCAGCAAGAGCATCCGAATTCTCAGTGGCCCGAGGTGCCAAAAGTGCAGTTCTTGAGCAAATGGGATGGGAAGGGAATCGGGAAATCATAGGAAATCTGGAGGCTTTCTGGAATGAAAATCATAGATGGAAAACGTGCATGAGAAACCTCCTACATAATTCATCATACTTCTATAACTTCTATATAGTATATATATATATATGAAGATTATATAGAAAAAATCTGGATTGAGGGTTGCTGGAATTTCATGAGGGGTTATGTCAAAAGATGCTGATTTCGAGCAAGGAAGCAAGCCAGTTGCATTGAAGCAGTGCCATGGTCAAGTTGCGTGGGTGAAAGACGGGAGTATATGGTCGTCCATCCTATTTCATCGCACTAGAGCAATCCAAACAATTAATTGGTAATAGACAGATCCCAGTTGATTGATGGACATCCGGCAAAAACTATTCAATTCAGTTTTTTTGACTAGTTGATTATATAGATATATATATATATATGTATCGGATCCCGTTAAATCATGTTATATCAGTTATATCATATTAAATCACCATGTTTGATTCTGAAATCCACCTTTTTGAACAGGGCACATTTGGCGTTTGCCAAGCGGTCAGGCAGTTGCCGATGGTTTGAAGAATGTGGCTCAGCATCACATCCGTTCAGAAGCAGGCACCGGGCATGGTTCCCAGCTGGTTCTGTGATTTCATACTTGCATGTGCATCCACACTCCTAAAAAAGTAATGAATAACCACAATGAAAATACTAAGTCCAGCATATCCATATGAAATAAGCCAGTTCTATGTGTATATAGGGTATACCTCAGTTATATGTGGAAAAACAAGTTTACTAACTCAGAAGCACCCCCAGCAGGCAGCAAGCACTTTCCCTCCTTTGGCGCCAGGATGGGCTGGAAATTTGCTGATCACCATCCAGTGCCCCGTTTGTCGCGTACGTGATGGGTTTCAGACATGAGCCCCCCAGTTGGTGATTTCATACTAAAATGTACTAAGTATATACTAAGTATCATGATATGTCTAGATATGACCAATTGTTTTTGGCAACCTTCACCTGTATATTTTTCATGTGCGACAAAAAACCCATGTGAGCAGCAAGCAGTGGGAGATTGAGTCAGCAGCGAACTGTGTCCTGAAGTTTTACTCCAGTCCCCAAGACCTTTAGGCATGTTGAGCACCCTAACTTTTCAGGTTGTTTGACTGGAAAGCTTGACAAGGAAGAGAGGACTGCCCACGACTATCTATGGCTGCAGTGTTTTGCTGGCGCCAAGGCGTGGCTTTCCTTCGGATCTCTTCCCTTGTCTTCTGGCAGGCCACGGGGCCTGTAGATCCTTGAAGGGAGGTCATTGACCTAGCGGACCTAGGGTCCAGTGAACCCAAGCTGCTTGGTGGTTTGGAACATGTTTGATTTTTCCATTTATTGGGAATCATACTCCCATTTGACTCATATTTTTCGGAGGGGTTGAAACCACCAACCAGCAAGTCTTGCATGTGTTCACCAGCACTGGTGAGGGGTCGATAACGTTAGCTGCCCAATGGTTGCACAACCAAGGCACTTCGCGTTGTGGATGTGAAACCTAATGCCATCAGAAGGATTCATGATGAAGATCAACCTAGACTTAAGTTTGCACAGCTTTAGAATTTTGAGCGTACTGAATCCGTATTGAACATGCTGCCATTCAAGGTGGTTCCCCCAATTCTAATTTGGTTTATAAACCAAATAAACCAGGGGTTGGTAACTGTCCCATTTTGGGAATATTGGACGTCACCTTATAGTAGCTATTATAGACCATATACCTAATGGTTGGGTGATGTTCAATGGCGACATTTAATGACCCACATAAACTAGTTCGATGTATCTACCATAACTCGTAGTCAGTGCCCAACTTCTTTTCATCGGGGGTCCCAGCCACTGCGCCCGCAGCCGATGCGGAAGTGTCCTATGTCACCACTTCGGCACGGGATGAGAAGCGCATTTCCCTGGTGGACTTCAAACCTGGAGACCCTTGGAGAAACTTCAACTGGTCGGATCTCAAAGATCCATCAGAAACGGTTAGTTTATGTTAGGAATGATGGCAGATCAAGAATATAAACATCATTTCAAGCAATCATAATAGAAAATGACGGTAATAGATGTTTATATAAATATTAACGTCATATAAATATTTCCAGATAAAAAAATAAACCATCTCATCAAGAAAGACCTGCCGCTAGCCGCTCGTGCCGTTGATCTGTTGAAGATAGTGGGTGACTTCGTTACGGCTTCAGGTGATATGGGTATGGGTCAAAATGAATGACCTGGGGGACCACAGAATTAAGTCTAGTACTCAGTACTCACCATGAAATTATTGGGGTACCCAGTTTTGACCCATACCCATATTTAAAGTCAAGCTTCCTTTGACCTGATGAATGTCCGAATCTAATGTGGTAAAGTTTTCACCAGAATTTCACCAGAAACCGATGGTGTAAACCTTCCCAGGGTGGAAGTTTCCAATAAGGTTTACCACGTTCATGTTTCTTTTGGATTTCACACTGTACCCCAAAAGGGGTTCTGAATTCACTTTCGGCCCCACTTCCTGATGAATTCAGCTGTTCCGGGATTTGAGGCAGTTCCTTTCAATGCTTTACTGACCAAGCTGCACATTCCAAATCTCGCAGGGGCCTTCTATAAGTGCCCCACGGACGCGCCAAAACTAACAGGATATTCGGATATTCCTTGCCGGCAGATTCAACTTGGCATTTGGATTGCATTTGGGGTGTTTACCCAACCGCAAGCATTGATGGTGGTCGATTGCAATTGCCGTTAGCAAAATTATGAAACAGAACATTGGATTTTCTTGTTTTCGCAAACCATCTGGCATGCTGTAAAGTCACCAAATGGTGTATTGTTGAGAACCACGCATATTTGTAGGTTTGCATGTTCCAAGCAGCGACTTGTCAGATGGGCACAGAGGTATTACAGAGTTGGTCAGCGCAAGTGGTTATCCCACTGCTTCGCTGGTGCAGGCGTGGGGCAGAGACCTGGTGATGTTGAGGGTCGATTCCAAATCAGAACTCAAATCAGAAATGGTTGGTGGTTTGGAACATGTTATTTTTTCATTCAGTTGGGAATATATTGGGAATCATAATCCCAACTGACTTTCATATTTTTCAGAGGGGTAGGTACACCACCAGAGAATCATCAGAATCACTGTACGGCAGCAAGGCAGACCAGTAATTCCAATCGAAGGCAACTTGAAGACTTGGTCAGCCTTTCATTTGCAGGTCAACCCTTGCTGGACATTGACTCGGAACAGATTGGTAAAGTGCCAACACTGGTGGTTTCAAATATGATTCATTTTCAAGCATTATTTGGAGGATGCAAATGAGAGGATGGTTCCCAATGAGAAGCATGAAGCCTCTTTTGCGGGGTGGAAAACATGATCGAGTGCATCTTCAAACAACATGCATCAACATGCCAATTTTAAGATCAGATGCCATTGCTGACAGATAAAATGCATTGATTCAAGGCATAGTCCCATGGGGAATCAACAAAATAGGTGCCCCCAGTCGATAGCGTTCGTTGTTGCCTCAAAAAAGTGGCTGAATTCTATTTTTTTATGATTTTTATGGATGTTTATGGTAGATATGACGAACTAGTATTCGTGGGGTTTATAAACCAACTTACAACTGGTTTATAAGCCATCAACCTGATATAATTGGGGTTTATAAATCAACTTATATCCATAATGGGGTTTATAAACCAACAAACATAACTAGCTTCAGTTTCTTTTTCAGCGAAGCGAGCTACGTCGGAGGCTTCCGAGTGGTGCTGGATGGCTCCAAAACGATCACCGATGCGCGAGTGGCTCTGGGCCGGTAACTGAGAACTGGCTGATCCCCCATTCATATTAAACATCCCCAAGATTCACCATGGTTTCATAGGGGATGAAATATGATGAAGTCACAATAAATCAATATAAATCACATATGTTTGACCATAGAATAGGGATGTTTAATATTAGCGGGATGGGAGTATTGCTAGCTTTGAAATGGTGGATTTCATCAACAAACACAATCAAATGGTATATAATGCAGATGCAATGGGAAGTATTGGGGCATTAAGACACAACATCTTGGAATAATGTGGTACACTCAAGAATAAAGCTACCATTTCCTCATTAAGATTTCCCATGATATCATAATTATCCCATCCAATTGGCTAACTGCCGTTTCGATGGTAAGGCTACTGGGCCTCGACTCCAATGCGTAACTTGGCTGGAAAGTCTGATCTAAAGGTGGTTTTAATATGTTTTACCCTTTGGTAAACTAACAGTTCGCTATTGAAAATGGCCATAGAAATAGTGGATTTACCCATTAAAAATGGTGGATCTTTCCATAGCTTTTTGTATGTTTACCAGAGGGTAATGGGAACATCGTGGAATATCAATGAAAATCAGCGATTGTTTGGTGCCGTTTTCCACAGCTATGTTAGAATACCGGAGGATGCTTGGCAGAGCATCCCGGGAATGATACATGGATAGCCAAGCCAGAAACAAGCCAGTGATATGTGGAATTTGAATATACCCCAGTTTGACATAGTGATGTTGTTTCAAATCATATAGACATAGAGACAGTTTATATAGACAAATTATATCCCCATTGACAACAATCCTATAGACAATTTGCTGATCTAAGTAATGTTGGCCCAGGATCCAGCAAGGCGGAACAAGTACTTCTTGGCAGCTCCTTAGACACTGAGACCCTGCAGAAAGCCATCAGTGCTGTGCAACTGGGCTGTTGAAAAAAACCTACAGCCTACGGGCGCAACTTCAGAATCAGTTTTTTTTTATTTAGACACAGTGCCTGTGAAGCAGTGAAACAGGTTGAATTTAGAACACCACGTTTTGTTGTACCCTCTGGTAAACTAACATAGCTATGGAAAATCACCAGTTTTAATGGGAAAATCCACTATTAATGGTCATTTTCAATAGCTATGTTAAATTACCAGAGGGTACATTATGTTCAGTCATGTTTGGGATCATGATCAAGTGACTGGCGAAGATGTTAGCTGCTAGATGCGGTCATCCCCTGGGTCTTATTACTGCGTCCCCACTAGCGTCCCCAGCATTTTGGATTGACCAACAGTTGGCGTTCTCAGGACCAACAAAGTTCTACCCAATCTAGCCTATTCATTCCTTTTCTATACGTATCATATATGCAAGATTACATATAACAATCAATATATATATATATATATTATATATATAATTAATTCTGTACATATATATATACATATACATAATAGTAGGCACTCGGCTCAACGTCATCACTCAACATAAGACATAATTGACTTGGCACAGCTTGTTGTCCCTTTATTTCATGGTTTTCTTCATGATAGCCTCCGCTTTGCTTCAGGGTAGTTTCGGGCTGTCAAATTCAATCAAAATGCCCCTTATATCATCTTACATCCACTGCCGTATGCCCTGTTGAAATGGAAAGACTGAAGAAACATGAGCTGTGGGCAGGGTTTGGCAAAGCAAAGGTTTCTATTGAATTATTGGGCTATATATTGTTTTGAAATTACTTTCAAAAGGATTGTGTTTTCCATTGGGAGTATGCGCGTTTCCAAATTCATCAGGAATGCCGAAATAACAAACTCTGCAGACGATTCCTCCTGGTTTCTTGTTCGTGTGCGTATTGGTTTTGATTTCTTCTTGGCTGTCAGCAGGATTCAAGAAAGATTCTTGCCCTGGTGAGCAACCCTTTCAAACCGCCTTACAGTCGATACTTGGACGGGCCAAGTCTCGGTCATTTGACGCTTTGGGATGCTGCAAAAATGCAAAGATCTGTGCACAGAAGGTCACCCAATCAGCAAGTTTGGCGTCACATTCATTTTTGGACAAAGAATTGCGGTGCGGGGCGAGCAGCTTAAATTAAGATTTGCGGGTGAGAGGCGGAAGCAACGCAAATCCAACTTGGGAACGCCCAGAATTCCGGTGCTTGCCACAACTGCGCAGTCATGGCGCGCGCGCATCAGAAAACGTGCCATTTGTTTTTTGCAGTCTTTTAGGCGTTGCTTAAGCCTTGCACTTGCGATGGCTTTTGCATACATTGAAAAAACCAAAGTACACCAAAAGTTGTTATTTACCGTGCCATTCCCTTTTTGACGGTGTAATTCAATCCAACAGCATCTCACGCTCGAGGACATGGAAAGCCTAAACTCCTTTTTGCGTCATGCGCGCAGCAGAGCACACAAAAACATACTTAAGAATGAGACACCCTTGATTCAAGTGGATTTTGCGGTCTGAAATCTAATTGGGAGAAAAAAGGAGGCAAACAGGAAAGCGGATGCCGCCGCGAGCCCCCCAAGCCAACATGGTACCCATTCTCATGGCCAAGCACTGATGTTTGTCCATTCGCATCAACAGTCCTAAAATTTGTTGGGTTTTCCTAAGGCCCGGTTTTTCTCACTTTCGACAATTTTGCTAGCAGCGCCATTTAAATTCAAGCCCCTTCATTGACCATGGCCTTGGTTCTAACCAAGTCAGACCAATTCAGTATCTTGGTTGATTATATATGGCGGTATTCACCAGAATTCCGCTGCTCTTGCGACTTGTCGGAAAACAATGACAATGACCATTTACTCTATATTATATGTAGGTTTGAACCGTGTTTGTGTTTTTTTCTTTGGGGCACTTGTTGATTCTGAGTTACCGAAATCGAGCAAATTCGGACAACCATGTGGAAATTTCCGAAAAGTGTCGAACATTGGAGAAAACTGCGAAGTACGGATGCTGTTGATGGTGATTGTCAAATATTGTCGAGGTTGTAGTGAGGCGGGTGGCGGTGGCTAAAAGAGATCTTAAACCAGAGTTTGGTCTCAACAAAGCCCGCATCACATTCTTAGGCCTCGCGCACAAAATTCACAAAATTTGCCATACGCTGCAACAAGGCAGCCTGTTTCCGCAACTGTTTTGAAGGATATCACAGATCCATGTTTCGAGGCATGCAGATTTGGAATTTGCTGAAGAGCGCATGTTCCAGACTGTTGACAACCCAACTGGCAAGGAAGCGGCAGGGCGGACACACCAACACACGTTGTTACCATATGTTTCCATTGTGTTTGTGAATTAGGTTCGTAGGATACGTTTTGAGTGTCATACAGTCATACCATGTCATACAAGGTCATACACCATGCCATTTAATATCAGACTTTGACGTCAATTTTTGGATGATATGGATGGTTTTGGGATGTTTTGGATGCAGTTGTTGTTTCGAATTAGTTTTTCTCGAATCGGAATCTAGGTGCAAAAGGTGTTTTTTACATTTGTGTACTATATTTTTGGTAGTTCCTGCTACATTCCAGGACTCATACCGCCGCAATCTGCCTGACAGTTACCTGTTCAAGTTCTTTCAAGAGGCCAGGATTTCGTTGGTCAGGTGGCCCCAATGTCATGCAACATTTGGATGTGTCCGAAAACGAGGTATACCACCAAATTACCATTTAACATTGTCTAACATCATTTAACATCATTTAACATTTTATGATGACAAACCGCGGGGGATTTGTGGTACCCCGGGACCCTATACTCAGACAAAACAATTTTCCTTCGGGCGATGCATTCGGTTTACGCGAGGCGCAAAACCATTTCGGAGTCAAATCGTGGGCAGCAGAAGAATTGGGAAATCTCCCGGTGAAGCCACTCAAAGCAGGCCGGCAGGTTGCGAGTTGCTGTGTGGGCCATGAAGAGAATATGATTGTTGATTGGTTTATGTGGGCTTATGTTTCTTTAATTACATATACTAGCTAGACATAGCATGATATAATTAATGTGATATAGCTAGTTTATTGGGGATCATGAACAACCCATGAAGCCGATTCCCATTAGCCAACCATGAGGATGGGATGGGACAGATGGGACATGGGTATTTTGCATGGCCCATGTGACATGCAGGGAACAGTTTTGTTTGTTTTCCCTTGAACTATTGCTGTCTAAATAATATGACAAAATGTTGGATGTTTCCTTCTGCAAGAAACATGTTACCATCAGCTTGTTACTCTCTTTGCATATGTTCATATCATACATGTGTTTTGGTACCAACGCAGAATGTGCTGAAGTGCAAATATCAATGAAACGAGAGAGTGCGCAGGAGACTTGAAGTTCCAGGACTGCTGATGGAACAATTGTTTCAATCCTGGGCGTTCGGGAGAGTTCCTTGCATTTGATTTTGTACTAATATCATTTTATGACGGGCTATGCTGTGTTATATGTGGTATTTGTAATGTATGAATTTTGTATGGGATTTGTTTTTACACTTTTAACATATACATGCATTTAATGTTAGACTTATTGGTATGCATAATGTATATAATAATTATCATGTATTAAATATATAATATATAATACTTTCAAAATATATTTTTAAAAAAAAAAAGATTTATCATACATTTAATATATGTAACATAAATTATTATAATATATATATATATGTAGTGTATATATCTATATATTAAAAATGTATAGTATATTTACTATATAATATCTATATATACCATAAATATACCATATGTTTTTTATAAATATTTATATTATATGTAATAAAATGCATGTCTAATACATGTTAATTATATTTAAAATAGTTATAATACATTTAATATATCTAATATCTTCACTATTTCTAATATATAAATAGTACCTGGGGTACCGTCCATTTTGGCAAAACGGACGGTACCCTGGTAAAATGGACGGTACCCCCCTGGAATAGGGTTTTCCCTTTAAAAATTTCTTCCCGGGAAGGGTGCCGGGGAGCTCCTGCTGGCAGCTGCCCGCGGACGCCGCCGAGGAAAGCACCGAAGGGCAGGAGAAGGAACCCTATATAGTAGGAAGCCCGCGGGCGCCAAGCGGAGGCGCGCCGGACGACCCGACCGAGAGCCTAAGGACCGGAGCCCCGACGCAAGGGGAAACCACCCTATATATAGTGGGGGTGCGGCGGGGGCCGGGATTAGTCACTTTACACATAGTATGCCGCCCGGCGGCGGCGGCCCGCCAAAAGTTTTGGGTTTCCTTTTCGGGGTCCCCTTTCTTCACCTCCGGCGGGTCGCGCCGCAATGGCGCTTTGTAACCCCTCAAGACAACAGGTCCCTAATGTTTAGGGGGTGGTGGTCGGGATGAGATGCTTGGCAAGATTTCAGCGTCTGGGTTCATCATGATCAATTGTTCAGATTCAGATGATGTTGTCATACGAACAGCCACATGTGTCACGATGTTGGACGGACATGATCATTGATGACACATAAACATATATGCATATATATATATATATGTATGTATGTGTATGTGTACATACATACAGACATACATACATACATACAAACAAACATACACACATACAAAGAAACAAACATACATACATACATACACATACATACACATACATACACATACATACATACATACATACAAGTAAACATACATACATACAAGTAAACATACATACATACATACATACATACACACATACATACATACATACATACCTACCTACCTACATACATACATACATACATACTTACATGCATACATGCATACATCAACAGCCAAATGTGTGTCGATGTTCAGAGGGCATGATCATTGATGATTGCTGGGAAGAAACTTTCTGATTGAATGCAGGCGACATGGATCCCTTTCATGACAAGGCTTCGACGATATAGTCAGATGACATCACAATATCAGCATTCGACTGGATAACTGGGGACATAAGAAGAGGTGATGTAGATGAAGCTCCTTCACTTGCATGAGTTCACGGCAGGGAACACATGGACACATGTTGATGCCGGCGCTAAGGAAAGCAACCGACACTGGAAGCTTCTGTCGTGTTGTGACGCTCCTGAGCTGCAAAGTAAGACAGACCAGAATGTGTTCGGGCTGCGTAAGTTGATGAAAGCGAACGCACAGACGCATGTTGATCCCGGCGCCCAGGACAGCAATCGACCCTGGCAACTTCTATCGCGATGCTCCTGAGCTGCGAAGTAAGACAGCCTTGCAGGTGTTCGGCGCAATATCTAACACAGTAGGTTCCTCAGCGATGCTAGTATTTCATGTCAAAACATGAGAAGCAAGCGGTGCGAAGTAAGACAGTTTGGCACACGATCAGCACAGGATGTCGCATTGAATGCTTCTGCGAACTCTGAAACTTTCAGATCACGCCATGCGACTGGAACGATGATCGCACACAGATTTTCAACGTAGCATTTCGGCGCCCGAGGCACGGCAATCACTGATGGCGCTGACCGCCTTCGAGACGGCAATCAGTGCTAGACGACTAACTCTACGGCATGATGGTGGTCTTCGAGGACACAGATGTACAAATGTACAGCTGTCTCACCTACGCCACCGGCAACATGTGAAACATACGCCGGTTACGCATCCACTTTTTGTACAGTTCGCAGCTGCTTGCCTAATGGAAGAGGGAAACTAGACAAGAAAGAAGAAAAGAACCGGATGCAAAGACATCATTGGGTCACAAAAAAGAAGATGGCGAAGGGAACATGAACCTCGCCCAAAGACAAAGAAAGAAAAAAAGACATCGTAACAGGGGCAAGCAGCAAGCAAGTGTGCAGCGCGCGTTGCTGCTGCTTCGAAGAAGCAGGCCGCGCGCGTGTACAGAGCCGGTGCTCGATACGATGGAAAGTTCTAGTAACGACTTGACAAGGACCCACAAGAGCCGGATGCAAAGACATCATTGGGCCTCAACACGGTCAGGCTAGTGGAAAGGGCCTCCACGGAACCTGGTCGAAAGAAGATGGCGAAGGGAAGACCAACCTCGCCCACCTAGGACCTAGGACAAAGTAGCACCGTAACGTAAAGAATCGAGCACACGCGACGGCTGTACATACACGCGGTAGTCATATTTCTCTGTTCTCCTCCTGCCTCAGATCAAAGCATCGAGGTACAAACGACGCGGTGTTTGAAGCAACGACCTTCAAAGCGCCGGGGCGTCGGCGACAAAAAAGGGTGGGTGGTAAGCGATGGAATATGGCCGTTTATGGCAAGGGGCAAAGCCAAGAACCCCGCGTCGTCCCACCGGATAGAATCATAAAGGCAAACAACGTGAGGATTAACAATGTATATAAACGGTTGCAGGCAGGCAACAGGGTTACTGAAAGCATGTAGGAACCGGGCAAATGTATGCGCGTCAGCTTGAAAGGCATAGCGTTCATTTCTCTCAACACCTCATCCTTCTGCTAGTATTTTGGCTTGCGAGCACACTCAAACCTTCCTGTTCGCCTTGTCGGCTTTTCTGTGTGAGACGCTCAGAAAGAGAAAGAGCACAGCAGGGTCAAAAGCAAAAAGCTTGTGACAAGTGTTTCAAAACAGATCAAACCGCTGAGGTCCAGCGAAGATGCCTGGTCCCCTTGTGAACCGCTCAGAGGTTGCGGTCGAGACATTGAATAAAGTTTGCTTCGTGCAAGTCGCTTGCCCCTAAAGCGCACTGGACCGAGGTCTTTGTGCTTGAATTCTTCGGCGGCCGCTGCGAGGCCAGGGTAGGTTGGGTCACGAAGAGTTTAATAGGCCGTCGCCCGAGCGAGCGTCGCCTCAGGAATGTCAGCAGGACTTCCGCTACGTGGGGGAGGATCCAGGATACCGCGGGGACAACGCGGTGTACTTGTGTCGGAGCCTCAGTTACTCTTACGCTGCTGAAAGATAGCAACACAAGCCGGCGGCTGACGACTCAGGCCTCCGTTGCGCGGAGCGCCGGCGTTACACCATCACGTTTGCTGAACCGTGGCGATCTCAGGTGATGATGCCCAGCTTCAAGATATGTCAAGATGCGAAACGAAAGAGTCACACGCGAGCGCCGCGTGGCCTGAGGTCGGACACAGAGCAGGAAACGGAGCCGGAGACGTCCGACGGTGGTTCCACCGAGGCAGGTTGTCTAAACGGACTATAGCTGCTCATGCTGTGACCCTTGCAAGCAATTGTGTTGCATGAGGCGCCTGGCACGCCCATCCCGTCCGATGAAGAAGACGATCCATCGGACGAGGAGGCACGGGGCGACGCGTGCTAGCTTTTCCTTTGTGACCACATGGCTGCGATGCAGGTGTGGCCTCATCCCCACGGATGGGTCTACGCCTCGACCGAGGTGTGCCAGGCGAGGGAGGGGAAAACAGCGGCGACAAACCGATTCGCCTGATGAGTGATAATATTTAAAATGCACTTAATATATGCAATATCTAGAATATATTTGATATCTAGAATATCTTTTATTTACATAATACATTTAACTTATTGATATAATATAATATTTTTATATATACAACATATACAATATCTAAAATAATATATATATATGTATATGTACAATTTAACTAATATAATACATATATACATATACTATATGTTATTTTATATATATAGATAGATTTTATTACATGTTTTATTTATTGTTTTTATAATTTATCCTGAATTGAATATTATATATTTATTTATATATATATATTAATAGTGTTTTAAAAAAAAATCTATGTATATAATAGATATTTTCAATATTTTTCAATGATTTGTATTATTGAATTTGTTTTTACTATTTACATTTAATATATATTTGTTTATTTATATGTAGTCAATATACATTTTGTTTTTATATATTTCACATATTATATATTTATTTAATATGTAAATACCTTAAATGATATAAATATAGATATTTATGTATAGTTAATGATATTTAACATTTTAATGATATATTATATATGTAATATTCACATTTGATATGTTAGATATTTCACATATATTAGATATACTTTATGTTTTACACAGCTATGTATTAGATATATTTTTACATGGCATATATATTATCTCTATAATATATCATTTAAATTAGTTTCATCATATATTCAATATTATATATATATACATAATATCATATAATGTAATAACATATTTCTATACATAATATTATATATAATTTAATTTTTTTATATATATAATACGTTTTTATAATGTACAGAATATGTTTCAAATATGCATATGATATATTATATATAATATGTATTGTATATAATAATGTGAAAAAAAAATATAGATAATATATGTTCTATATTTGTATATTTAATATATATTTTAAAATGTATGTTTTCAGATATATTGTATATATATATATTTATTTATTTCAATCCATCCATTTGTTTTTTCCTTATGTCCCCTTTAGGGTTCAGCATTTGCGTTCTGATTTCCAGGGGTCCTGGGGGTATTGATTAATGTAATTTCGGCTTAGCCACCAAATCTCATACACTCCCAGCCTCAGCAAGACCGGTTGTTAAAGTTGATTTCATCCCTATGATTGGCCCCAACATGGAGTTTTGAACTATGAGCAGGCCAATCACTTTTAAAGCTGGGAGGCTATGTGTTTAAAACCCGTGGATCTGAAAAATAAACATCATTTGCTCCAAAATTTCTCAACAGTTTCTCCCAAATTTGGGCCTGGATTCTCTACATGGGAGTGAAGCAAATAGCAACACATGGCAGAACCCTTGCTCCCAGGCACTTTTGAGGCGCATCTAATAAGAGCAAGTGGCTACTCATCAAATCTACTGGACCATTGCATCTCAACTTGTGGCACGGTGGGGGCAGGCGCGCCCCTGTCGACAACGCATATATATATACATTGCATTATATGGCTATCTATATCCACAGCCAGGGGCATCTTCCAAAGACCAAGTTAAGCCTGGTCGTTACCGTACTAAAAACCAAGTTAAACTTGGTCGAAGAAGCCTTGGGGTCAATAGAATATCATAGAACTCATATGTGAGCAATGATGAAAGTAACGAATAAAGAACATATATCGTCAGCATCTCCGCACCATGTCCCTTTCCGCAGCAGCGTTGCCCTGTTCCAGGAGGCGCCAGGCTTGGACAACAAACCACAGCTGTCTTCCATGGGACTCACCACTGGAGCCGTGACCGAGGGATGGTGGGGCCGGTGGATGTTGATGGTAGGTATTTATATATATATATATGTATATATATATATATGTATATATATATGTATATATATATATCAAATTGTTTTTTTAATGGTGCTTATTAAAACCAGCCAACATCGTGTGTTATTTTCTTAAGTAGCCCCGTACCTGGATGGTATTTGTAGTTTTGAGTAGTGAAAACTTGAAAAGGCGTGGATTCAAGAGGGTTCTCAGCCTCAGCATGATGAGGTTTTTGGTGCACAGAGTCATAGCACTCATTAGATGTAAGTTATTCCCTCTAACCATCATGCTGACTGGGTTCTAAACTCCAAATCATTGATCCGGAAGTTGATCATCCCTGGAACAAACATCTACCTAGTGTTTGACCATGTAACTTTTGGAATGAGTGCGGTTGTTCCGAAACGCCCGTCAGTTGAAGGTCTGTACTACATGACGGTACGGCGACCTGCGGATCCATGGTAGGTACGCTACACAGATGACCAGCCAGTGCCATCCCTCTTTGGCTATCCAGCAACTTGTTGGCATTGGCTGTAGCAAGCCGGGACGCTGTGATTGACCCACGAAGCTAGTCCCAAAAAAGTTTGACAAATTGCCCAATTGTATAGATTATAGATACATAGATCATGATACATATATAAACTACGTAAATAGAATTCAGTAGGTATAGGATGCTGTTAATGCTGTTTTGATAGTGGTATAGAATTCAGTAGATGGTAGATTTCTTCCCCATTTCTTCCCATGTCCCATACCTGACAGCCTTCATACTCCAGGTCCTGAGCGAAGTGGCCACGGGGAAACTCGAGAATTTGGACCGCACCTGATGCAGCTGATGCACATCAAAAATCGGGAAAACACCGTGGAAAAATGTGATTGGACCCTGAAATTTAGCAGAGATAGTCCAACTATTTGTTGGATGCAACTAAAATTTCTTTTGGAAATACTTCGAAGTATGTATGATTCATGATGCCGTTTGTTGATCCTGATGGTGTTTCATGCTGAGCAGGATGTGACGGAAGCCTTGAAAGTCGAAGGTGTGGTGGATGTCGTCACTGCAGCGGACCGGGGATGGGGGACTCTTGCAGTGAGATTGTTTTGCGACGTCTCATGCAATGTTCAAGCACAGATTAATGGGGGTTATTGCGGGTGTAAAAATTTGGGAATTATCTAATATTCTATTTGTCCAATGATATCCATAATTTTGAGAATTGCCGTTCTCCCTGACGAAGACCCACAAGGTCTTACTTATATATTTGGGTCAACTTGGGGACCCTGAAAATTTCCTGATTTTGTTCCATGTACTGCTTGTACATCCGACAATTTATATAGGTGGAACCTCGTCAAATCAATTCAAATCCCATAGTTTATCATCATGTTTTCTACAAAATTTACTAAATAGCTATTTCATGCTCCGCATGTTGAATCGGAGGACATTCCAGGAGCCAACTGTGCTGGATTTGCCGCAGGCCTTGGGAGGGTTCATGGCTGGATCCCCCAAACCATGGGTTTCAATACTACCCTCTGGTAAACTAACAGTTTGCTATTGAAAATGGCCATAGAAATAGTGGATTTTCCCATTAAAAATGGTGGATCTTTCCATAGCTATGTTAAATTACCAGAGGGTAACAGGGCAACATAGTCTAAGGTTGGATGATTTGAGGGGACCCCCATTTTAGAACACCTCCATATCTACCAAGCAGTTTTGTCATATGCCAACCAAGCCTCAATTTTCATAGGTAGACGTCGTGTTGTACATATGTTTCTGCGACATGTTCTGGTCGGTGGTTTGGAACCATGGAATTTGCTGACTTTCCATATATTGGGAAGAAGCATCCCAACTGACTTTAATGTTTTTCAGAGGGGTTGAAACCACCACCAGTGTTGCGACTTTTCCGTGAACTTTTTATGGCAAATGTCATGGTCATCCGCCCGGCGAGTCGACTTTTCTGCCGCCAGGAGAAGAGCCCGTCTTTGCGGCTTGGATGTACCTTTTTTTATGGGGAATTTTGGCAAACATTGGAGTATCCCAACTTTATATGATAAAATGTGATGGGATATATAACCAACATAGGGGATGTCATAATTAGGGTTATCATGTCGTTTATACTGGGATACATATGTATCTATATATAATTAAATATAGCAAACTGAATATGAATGTACCTGAAAATAGTGGATGGACCTACCCCCAGTGCGTGGCACTTCCATGGGAACCTTTGTGAAATCAATGTTTTGATACTGTTCTTTGAATATTCTGGAATCTCAACTAACTAAAGTTTGGTTCAAACAACTGGCAGATTTCGTTCCTGAGTTCGACCCCTCTCTCCGTCCGAGAATGGCAGCAGAACTTCTGACTGGTGAAGATAGATGATGGGATCAACTTGAGCGTCATGACACGATAGCTGAAGTTGAGATATCAGAGATATCAGCTATTCTTTGATGGAATCATGGATGACACCGTATCCATCATGACACCATATATCTGGTGATGATAGTGAATGATGGATATGGTGTCAGTTTTCTTGGCACTGTCGAAAGATTCTGAGGTTGAGATTGGCGGGACGCTCGGTAAGAATAGCTGCGGATAGTTCTGGACACCGTTGCGCACATCCCATCCCCATAATCTTACCCCCACAACGGACCCCAAATGGATAAGTCCAATACTAAACAATGGTTTCAAAGGCGGAATTGAATATCAGGCGGAAGGGATTATTTGTTCTGGATATGGCTGTATATCTACAGAAACAAGCAGCTGGCCATGCAAGCTGTTGATTTCTTGAGCATTCAAACGCCAGGATTGAACGGCTTGGTTTGTGAGACAAGTCATGGCAGTTTACCCTTTAGCTTGAACTAAGTTCGATCTTCCATACATTGGCAAAGGCTTTTTATTTTTCAGCTATGGAACTGCGGATGGGCCCCAGTCCCCAGTCCATAATCCTTGTGGCTACATCCCAGCAATAGGGAGATCTTCGGCCCAAGGCGCTGGTTTTCTACCCTCATAACTTTGGTTGATGACGAATCACCATAGCCAAATCAGTTGGTTAAAGCAATTATATATATATACATATATATATATACTGTATACCACTCTATCCCCATGATATCCCCAGTAAATTTGTTTGTTTTAAACCCCCCTGGTTACTGCTTAGATCCCAGTATATCAATTGTTTCCTGATAAGAATCCCCTATGTTGTGTGTTGATTATTGCTGGTTTTATCCCCAGTTTAGCAGGTTTGATCTCATGTTTCCAATGTCACGTTTCAATCCCGTGAAATCCGATGAAATCACAGCATTAAGCTCCCATTCGCCAGGCTTTTTTAACTCATAGCATCCCAGTAGTTTCCAGTTTCCCATGAAATCGCGTAGAATCCCATTCAGTTCTGGAATCCCATTCAATTCTCAGTAAATACCATTAAACTCCAATGAAATCCCACTCAATTCCCATGGAAATCGGCTGAGTTTCCCATGAAATTTGCCGTTTTTCCATGGGTAATCATGAAAAATCCCTAGGGCCATCATCACCAGCGGTCAGCAGCTGGCTCTGGTGGTGGCCACATCCTATCGCGCCGCGAAGCGCGGCGCAGCGGCGGTCACGGTGAAGATCTCCGGGGCCAATGAAGGTGCGCTGTTGTGGCAATCGCTTGGGTAAATGATAACGACCGAGCCCTGCGACCGAGCCCTGGGAATCCTGGGAATGATTGGTTCATAAGGGAAATCATTAAAATCATCCAAATAGGCTTATTTCAAGCTAGTGAAATATTATAAATTACCCAAATGGGTGGAGGTTGTTCAATGGAAGAACAGTTTTTAATGAGAAGATGATCTATCAATGGTTGGATAGAACCCCGCCCCCTTGGTGGTGCGGTTTTCGGATGGTACCGTTATAGAACCAACTGGTACACTAGTTCTGGGTGATCTTCATGAGATCTGGTGCTGGAAAACGATGTATACATACACACGATCAAATTTAAAATATATACACACGAAAAAAAAAAAAACGATGGGATTAGATAGGATTTGATGCGATTCCAAGATGGATGATCATAAGATTGAATATATATGTGTATGTATATGTAATGTATGTATGTATGTATGTATGTATGGATGGATGGATGGATGGATGGATGTGTGCAATGCGATGCGATGCAATGCAATGCAATGTAATGTAATGTAATGTAACGTAAGGTATGTTATGTACGTATGTACGTATGTACGTATGTATGCATGCATGCATGCATACATGCATGCATGCATGTATACACACTATTGCTGTTACATGTATACCATATAAACTCTAATCATGCACCCCAACAAAAACTAAAATGGATATGGAACACCAATGGTTTCCTTAGGGAAATGATCTACACATGGTGGGTTTCCTAACATCTTCGTTAGTTTGCTAGGAGGATAAATATTTATGATATGTATATATATATATACGTATACATATCGCATAAGTTCCACATATGGAATACCTTCTTGCATTTTGGGAATTGTGTGGTTAAATGCTAGTACATATTCCATACACGGAGCATTTGAGTATGATGATGATTATTATTATCCTTATTCAGTATTACATGGTGATGATGATGATGATGATGATGATACGTTGTTACATGATGATATTTTATGTATGTACACACTAAAATATATCATTAGTATTATTATGAATTGTTGTAGCCTGCATATTTTGTTCAATGAACTTAGTCGTGTTTCTTTACATTTATGTATGATGATTCACATTAAATTCACATACTAGAACAGTACACACTGCTTGCTGTTTGGGGTTCTATTCAAATCATCACATAAACGGTTTCCCTGATGATTTTGGTGATTGAATCCAGCCGTAATTCTGCAATGCAACTGCTAACAGAGCTCTGGGTAGTCAGGGCAACTCATCCACAACCAGACCAATGGATCAACCTGAACCAACTCGGACTGATAAATTTGGAGCGAAACGCCATGAAACGCCTGTCTTACAGCGATAGGTGCCATCATCACGATCGATCAAGCCATTGAAGCCGGATCGTACCTTGAGGCGCAGATTTCCAGCAGGGGACACCTATGGACATGTTTTGCGATTGCAGTATCACTGCCATCGAAGAAACATCAAACAAAAACGCTATGGAGTGGACTGTTTTGACGATTCGACTTCACTGACATCTTCGCCATAGCTGGTTTTCATTCTTTCCATGCTGACAGAAACAAGATCCTGAATATCACTTTCAGGTGTTTGTTGGAGACTATATTTTGAATAGTTGAGTGGTATTTAATTAGGACATTTGCCAACCCCTGCTTTTGCTCCGCTCAAAAAGAATATCAGGAGGCACATTTCCGCAACACCATCGACAAGGGTGATTTGGAAGAAGGTTTCAAGTCCAGTGATATGGTTCCTCGGTACTGGGGGTTTGGAAAAGGTTGGGATATATACCTTATAATATAATATACATGAGTTACGGTCAAAATGGTTGAAGACCACCGTAGTATTGCAGAAACACTTTTGTCAGAGATGTGCACCAAACACTGAAAAGCGATAGGCCCCCCAAAAAAAAGTGATTACCAATATTTCATAGTAACTACTGAGTAAAGGATTTTGACGGGAGCCCATCTATACTATATAATATATTATCGTACATTTACATGTATCCGAGAGAAAGAGAACAAAAGAGAGAGAGAGAGAGACAGAGGAAATAGCGAGAGAGAGAGAGAGAGAACCCTTCCAAGACTACTGTTTTCCTGAAGCACATTGTTTTATGTATATATTTGAGATTGAGATGTCGTTTTCGGGACAAACAATGGGCAACACATGGGGTACGATATAATATGTATATATATATATACATACATAATTTACTACTAAGAGGATTACATACTCCATGGGGGTCTTATATTTTGAATATTTCTTGCTCGTAGCTTTGTCCGCAAATTTTACCATTTTTGCACAGTCCTTGGTCTGCAATGGTTTGCACATGATTAAGTTGGGTGCCCTGTGCGAATGTCCACTTGAATATGTGATTTGATATACGTTTTGGAGATTTCCAGACGTGCCTCTCAATTCACTGGCGGTGCACAGTCCATGAATCGAAGAAATCAAGGTTCAAAATTCAATAAAAACATGTTCGCCCCAACCCGGACGTTGCTCCACACTTACAATCGTCATGATCATCATCATCATCATCATCACCATCACCATCATCATACTCATCATCTTTATCTTCATGAGGGGTCAAAATTTGCCACCCCCTATGAACAATATGTTGATTGGGGTAATAGCATCAAATATATCTCCATGAGGGATCAAAATTCGCCACCCCCTATGAACAATATCTTGACCGGGGTAATAACATCAACTTTATCTTCATGAGGGATCAAAATTCGCCATCCCCTATGTACAATATGTTGGTTGGAGAAATAACATCAATTTTATCTTCATGAGGGAACAAAATTCGCCACCCCCTATGTACAATATGTTGGTTGGAGAAATAACATCAACTTTATCTTCATGAGGGATCAAAATTTGCCACCCCCTATGAACAATATGTTGACCGGGGTAATAACATCAACTTTATCTTCATGAGGGATCAACATTCGCCACCCCCTATGAACAATATGTTGACTGGGGTAATAACACAAACTTTATCTTCATAAGGGATCAATATTCGCCACCCCCTATGAGCAATATGTTACTTGGGGTAATAACATCATCTTTATCTTCATAAGGGATCAAAATTCATCACCCCTTATGAGCAATATTTTGATTGGAGTACCTGAGTAATAACATCAACTTTATTTTCATAGCCACCTGAAGTCAGACGCGGAGCAACGTCAGGGTTGCAGCGAACATCTTTTAATCCCATAACGTCCCCTGGCTTCAAGATTCAAGATGCTCACAAAAAGTACTATAATACGCTGGATACTGAGCATTGAAATCTTGCAACAATGCGATTTATTGCAATGTGTTGTAAATGCCCTTAACTTCAAGGATTCAAAATGAGAGATCTATTTATGTTTCAATGGCTTTAAAATTAGCCCACAACATGGTATGTAGAGAACCAAAAAAACACGCAAAATACGGTGTGATGGAAAATCATGGCAAGGATGTGAAAAGGTGGATTTTGGGGGGGTACCACATGATATGTATATAAGTTTATCTATTTATATACGGTAACGACATTTAAATATGTGGAGAGCGGGCGAGACCACGACGCCCCGTAGGAAACACCAGCTCCATCCGTATATTTAAATGATTTTAAATGTATGTGTAAACAAATTGGGTTCCATATGTTTAAATGGCCAGGCAGGCCAAGGAAAACCTTCCCGGAGGTAGTCTAAAATACCAGTTCGTATATTCTCAATCCGTATATTCAAATGTTGTTACCGTATTTATATACATATATATATATGTTATATATATACATACGTACGTGTATAAATAGATAAACATAGATGGGCATGTTTAATCTCTATATATACATATAAACAGAAGCGTATTATGTACTCGAAATCTAATCCACATGTCTAGTCCATTGTTATATTTGTTTGTTTGGTGTTCCCTTAGCTTCACAATTTGAGCATCTCACTTTGCACCTTCTTTTCGCCTTGAAGTACATTGAGGTCAAGACTGGTATTGAGTAGCACCAAGCAGCACAGAAGTGGGTACGTGTCACAAACCCCGGACGTTGGTGAGGTTAAGTATATCTAGTATCATCCACTAAATTTCTTGAGGGCTGGTTGCAGTCTTTTTTCTTGTTGATATTCCAAAACATGTTGGTATCAGAGCCGCTCCTGGTTCAGTAGATTCTCAGATTGCTGTGACGCACCTCAGACCTGTGCTCGAGGTTTGGGAAGGCACCACTTACGTCATTGGCCAACATGCTTTCCCCATGGAGAAGCAGGCTGCCCTTGCTGTGCCGGAGGAAAAGAAGGGCATGACCGTGTCTTGGTGAGAGCTGAGAGCGGATGCTAGTCGAGGATCTAATTAAATCATGGCAGGGAAAACACTGATGAAAATGGAAAACTATGGGAAACTAGGGAAAAATAATTCATAGAATTTTTCGAGATTAAATTTTACAAATCCACTGAATCGTCATTTTCCCATTTCTCTAGCGCCGGCCCCAACTGGATAGATCCAACAAAAATGTGTCCAGGGCATGTCGTGGCAGAGTGTAACTTTTTGGATAGCACACGCTGCTAGAGTTGGCTGCATCAACTTGGATCTGCAGGAGCTCTGCAAATTACAGTGATTGATGACTTGATTGTGAGTTCTCATGTTTGCCAATATACTAATATATATATATAATTATATAAATATGATATCATCAATATCGTCTTCTTTCATATTAACAGAATGGAGTGATCAGGATACTCTTGCAGGACCGCGGACCTGGACCTTGTTTCGGATAGATTGCCTCTAAAGCTGTTGAACGCACAGTTAAATTTTTCAACATCGCTGCCAGATTCTTAGATTTGCGCACGTGGTTTGCACTAAGATTTGGAACTCTACGCAAGGGCATGACTTTTGTCGTGCGAAGCGCCGTGGTGGCATTTGTGATGAACAGATTATAAAAAGTGTAGAAGCTTGACCCTACAATGTGAGGCCCCCCAGTTACAAGTTGGTTTATAAGCAGTTATAAGTACCATAAACCATAGTCATTGGAGTTATAAACCAACTCTTGGGGGCCTCACATTGTAAGAATCCGTGTCTGGGTATATGCTATGGTATGTACTGCATCAATGTGCCTGAACATTCCAGAATCCAACGACTTGCGTGTGGCTACACAACCACAAGTCTTGTGCTGCGTTCATCAGAAATCGGTTGCATCATGTTGCATCCAAAAACTGGGGATGGGTCAAAAGCTATTACTATCCTATTACCATATCGGGGGGATCAATAATTACCATATTACTAATAGCTATTACATTATTTCTTTTACATCTAATTATATCTATGTTGATCCTATTGCTACCAATTGCATCACCATATTTGGGGGATCAACATCCATTAGCCAGCTATGACTTAGGGTACCATCTTAGGGCACCACATATCATGGTTGGTGAAGGGAAATCATCCCCAAATGGAGTTGAGATTATCGAAAGATTCAGGTTATCGAAAGATAATTCACGCAGATTCTTAAGAAATCATCCCAACTGCACGCCCCACTCTTGGGATAAATTCCAACACATACTCCATGATCATCCCACGAATCGTAAGTGGTTAATAAGCCCACGTAGTTAGTAAGTCCCCATGTGTCGTGGAGTTATTGCATATACGTATACCTGTATAACTAGGTGAATTATTTATGCTTATTCATCATAATTCACCCAATTTGTTTCCCCCACGAATCCCCATAATATACAGCCTATACATACATACAGACATACATACATACACATACATACACACATACATATACATACACATACATACACATACATACACATACATACACACATACATGCACACATACATACACACATACATACACACATACATACACACACATACACACACAGACATACATACACATACATAGATACACAAACATACATTCACGAACATACATACACAAACAAACAAACAAACATACATACATACATACATACATAACCATACATACATAATCATACATACATAATCATACATACATAATCATACATACATACATACATACATACATACATATTCATACATACATACATACATACATATTCATACATACATACATACATACATAAACATACATACATAAACATACATACATACATACATACATAAATAATCATACATACATACATACATACATACATACACACACATACATACATACATACACATAATTACATACATACATACATACACATAATTACATAATTACATACATACATACATACATAAATAATCATACATACATACATACATACATACATACATAAACATACATACATAAACATACATACATACATACATTCATACATACATAATCATACATACATAATCATACATACATACATACATACATACATAAATAATCATACATACATACATACATACATACATACATACATAATCATACATACATTACATACATCCCTACATGCATACATACATACATACATACATAATTACATACATAATTACTTACATAAACATACATACATACATACGTACGTACGTACGTCCGTACATGCATGCATGCATGCATGCATGCATACATACACATGGATAGATAGATAGACAGATAGATAGATAGATAGGTAGATGGAAAGATACATCGATACATAGATACACAGATACATAGATAGATACATAGATAGATACATAGATAGATACATACATGCATGCATACATACATAGATAGCTAGATAGCTAGATAGCTAGATAGCTAGATAGCTAGATAGCTAGATAGCTAGATAGCTAGATAGCTAGATAGCTAGATTAGATTAGATAAGTTAGATAGATAGATCCATCCATCCATTCATCCATCCATCCATACATACATGCATAACTATGCATATCCAATTTCCTTCCATTTTCCCATGGTAAAAAAATGGAACCGAGGCTGGCGGGAGTTCTGGACGTCCCTGGGTCCTACGTGGTGGTGAAACAGACCCGGGCCGGCGGCGCCTTTGGCCACAAGAACAGCCGGCAGGTGCCTGTGGCTGCCATGGCAGCCGTGGCGGCGCATAAGTTTCTTGGAGAATAGGATGGGGAATATGATTTCATGGGATTTTAATGGTGAATTAATGGTATTTTAATGGTGAATTAATGGGATTTAAATTGTGAATTAATGGGATTTTATGGGATTTTCTAATGGTGAATTAATGGGATTTTAATGGTGATTTAATGGGATTGAATGGACATTGAATGGTGATTTTATATGATTTTATGGGATTTGAATGGGATTTAACGGGGTGTTTCAAGTTTATCCTCTGGTAATTTGTTACATATAAGCTATTGAAACGTGTCAATTTAGTTCGTTGATTTGCCTATTAAAGATGGTGATTTTCCATAGCTATGTTAGTGGCCCAGAGGGTATCATAATTTGAGACCATGAGAATCCCACAATTACCATAGCAAAGAAATAGTAAAGCAATCATGTTTTTATTGCATATTTTGGCAATGGATCAAAATTTAAGAACTAGGGGACCACAGATTGGAATGTCTATGTATGTTTCTATTAGCCATCCAATTTTTGTGGTACCCAATTCGCACCCATAGCCATATGACAAGCCCGGTATGATGGGGAGTCTCAGGTGGGTGAACTGGATCCAGATTTGGGAATATCATGAGAAATCTTAAGGGTAAAACTTCGAATGAATAGGCACATTTATGATTTGTAAATCCGATCGCTTTGGGGTTGAACATGGACCAAGTTAAGAGCAAGGGAGATGGACTTGTTTCATTGCGTATGCCAATAAAATTCCACAAATGAATGGAGGAATGGGCCAATAACCAAGTGGTAAACAATATTTTCAGACAGACCCACATGCCCAGGTTTGGTGGTGTGCTATTCTTTTTGGAAACAATTCAGCTTGGGATTTACCTATTTCTGATTGTCAAGAGGTGTGCTATGCGGTCCACATTGATCCACATAATCCACATTGAGACAGAATGGACAGGTAGTATACATTATCAAGACAGATCCCACATTGCATTGCAAAGTTTGGGATATCCCCCAAAAAAGGTAGAAAAGAAACTCATCATCATCATCATCATCATAATCATCATCACCACCATCACCATCACCATCATCATCATCACCATCATCACCATCATCACCACCATCATCACCACCATCACCATCACCATCATCATAATCACCACCACCACCATCATCATCATCATCAGCATCACCATCACCATCATCACCAGCATCACCATCACTATCACCATCATCACCACCACCACCATCATCATCATCATCAGCATCAGCATAATCATCATAAGATCAAATAGCAACTTCAAAAGGATGGAAAAGCAATAGACACACATTCTTTAGGATTGGATTTGGGGGTTTCGTGGTTTCGTAAAATGTGGCTACCCCCAGTCATCATCCATTTTCTTGGGGGATGTTCCCAGCCAAAAAACCATCCAGCTAGTGGGGATCATCCATGGGGATGACTCCAGCGGCTTAAGCTTCCCCTTGGAGTTTCATCCCACGAATCGTGGTGAATCTAAGCCCAGTGAGTACGTCCCCTATATATCACTGGGTGAATGAACAATGTTGATTACTAAGTTGGTTTTGAGAAAAATCCCATTGGATCAATTAGATCCCCATGAAATCCCATTAAATCCCATTGAACCCACCGGCATTTCTGTTTCGATCTCACTGGGACCCCACGGTTAGGTTAGAGAAGGCCGTTCGCGTGGCCTATGAGTCCACCTTGGAGCAGTGGGCGGTCGGCGGACGCCACAGCTTCAAGACCAAGTACAAGGCCCCAGCTGGTTCGTTCGGTGAAAACGGTGGGTTTTTCATTGGGTTTTTGCAAAAAAAAAACAATAAAAAAAAAAACCACTGTTTTCACCGACCAAACCAGAAACGAAAAACTATGGGGAAAAAAGATGAAACACTGGATAACACGGTTTTTTTTGTATCACTCTTTTTTTTTGATTGGTGTTAATTTGTTTGGACTTAACAATGACTGAATCATAAGGTTTATACATGAGGTCTTAAGTACCAAACATATGGGGAGAGAGTTGATAAATAGCCAGGTTGATTGTTTACGAACTAGGGACTTATACTACCTAATTTATTGGGGATTATGATTCTCCTGTTTGAAGGGAAACCTATCCACCAACTAGTAAAAGGAGATGGGATAGGGGTATTTCTAATCGCTGAGGTAGCTCAGGCATGGCTAGGGTTGTAGCGCTGTGGATCTTGGGTCTGAAAAATGGGAGATTTCACCGACAAAAATAGATATATCATGGGAACATATGATAATGTATTGGGATATATAACCCGCTTAAGATGGTGTTGGGATATTTTGGTTCCCATCAAGTTTCAGCCATAGAGTTGATGGGGCACCACCATCCACTTTAGTTTTTTGTTATTCAAAATAGTTGGAAAATCAACATTGAAAAGAAAATTTGCAAATCATCTTGTGGATGTAACATTTTCCATAGGTATGTTGGTTTACTGGAGGTTGGCAGTTCCGTGGCTTGGGTTTGGATGGTGAAGCTGGCCTGTCAGGTGGGTGTGACCAAGGATGGAAAGATTCAGTCGCAACTTGGCAAATCGCAGTGCCATGAAAACCTGGGCGAAGACATACCCTTCAGTACTCCAACCTGGCTGGAAAATTCCCCTTAAACAGTTCCCTGGTTTTTTCCCGATTAAGACCTCCATTTATAGGGGATTGCCCATTGCTACCTTTCATCCATGGCAAGCCTCGTGCGCACTGCCTGCTGAGGTGCGAGATCGAATCCTGGTGCAATGGTGGATGCACCCACGACTTCACAGGTGCTGAACTACCGAACTACCCACCAAAAAAAGGCCCCATAATGGACAGATCCAATACCAAAACATGGTTCCTATCATTGGATAATATGTAAAGGAAGAAGGGAGCACCAATAGAGTGGCAACCCGGAATTTCAACCCCGCTTGCTTCTTACTCATGTTTTCAGGCCCAATTGTAGTAACTTATCACTATAATTTCATATTATATATCATTCTATATCCCCATTATATCTCCACAATGTATGGTGAATATCCCATAAATTCTCCAAACCACTGGACGTACGACCATCAATCCCCGAGTTTCCCATCCTGACACTTGGGGCATCTCCGAAAAACCATGACACAACTGGTAGGATTCTTGAACCTCGAGATGGGTGAAGCCATCCCTTCAGTCTATTGGTGGCCCAACATGAAGGTCAACGTCCACGTCTCTCGGTGAGAACAGAATGGCGACCGTGACTTTGCTGTGGCTGGGGTCGCCCTGAGGCGATGAAGACCAACTTGCCCACCAACACCGCAGTGAGGTCCTTTGGAAGTCCCCAAGGCCTGCAATCTTTAGAGTGGTGGTGATATTGTGATTTTATAGATCATGGGGTTTATATCATGGGGGTTAATATGAATGTATATATATACATATATTATGGGATTCAATTCCAATCGGGGATTTAATGGGATATGATGTGGAACACATGGGATACAAGGGATTTCATATTATATATATTATATATATAAAAGGGATTAAAAGGGGATGGAATGGGATTCATGTCACCAACTCAATTGGATAGAGAGTTTCCAGCCTCAGCGCCAGGCTATTTCATCTGTGAGGCCATCATTGAAGACATCGCCGGCAGGTCGTTGACGCTGTCTCTTTTTTTGGCTGATGAAAAAAAATAAGACACATGTCTCAAAGTGTCCTTTCTTTTCGAACTCTTAAGCTTATATTACTTATATTATAGTCTTGATATTCAAGAGGGTTGTCCAAAAGGAGCCATGTTAAGGGGACCTCATCACATAAACCCCAATCTCCATGCCTTCATCCTGCAACAGGTCGACCCTCGGGCCCTCGTTTCGCCAGGTTGGGCAAAGCCGTTGAGGAGATTCGCGAAGTGAACATGTGCACCAGAGAGAATGCGGTGACACCTTGGGGGCAGCCCATGGAATACTACAACGTTGCCTGGTTGAAAAATCACCGTGAAAACGGTGGTTGGGCGGTTTCGGTGAGGGGATCGAACATGAGGTACATACGGTATATGTAATGGAATTGAGCCGCATCTTGAATGCGAGATTCCGCTAGCCGCTAGATCCTTTGGTGTTGCTTGTAAAGAATAATCATGCTGAGCCATCATCATTCTGTTTAACCTTAGCACCACCATGAACCAATGTACTGTTGCTGTGGTTCAAATGATTTCCCAGACCTTGAATAGAAAAGCTCTGTTCTGAATTGACTCAATAGATTCTTTTGAAGCAATGGTGCACCCAAGATTTGAAGCGCAAAAGAGCTATGTCAAGTCCAACGATTGCCATCATGTTTATGTACGATGAGCAACCACAGTCTTTGACCATGGAAGCCCCCAAGGTATAAGCTGGTGTTGGGTCCCGCATCCCCAAGTACCCAACACCTGAGCTCAGGTGGATATGCTTTGGAAGAAGTTGAAGCAGGCTGGCACCCAAACATTGCCAGGCCTCTAGAAAAGTGGGAATATCATAGCGAGAGAGAGAGAGAGATATATATATATATAATTGAATATATTATATTGTATTTTATATATACGGGTAATATGATGGCAATACAATGGGATGTATATTATATATACTTGACCAACTTGATATGATTACGGTTTGTCTGAAAATTTGATTAACCCTAAGTTTAAGTTATGGCCATGTATGGCCATTGTATGCCACTGTTGCCAGGATAATGGTGATTGACCAGTTGATTTTAAGAGTATTTTCCGACAAACCCCAAAAGTTTAAACCTATAATTAGGTCTCAAATCATACCTGTGGATGGTGATTATATAATATATACAATATAATATATATATAAGATAACATAATATGAATAATATTATATATATAATATAATATTAATATGATTTAATATAATATGATATATTATAATATAATATAATATAATATGATATAATATAATATAATATATTATATTATAATATAATATATTATAATATAATATAATATAATATATTATAATATAATATATTATAATATAATATAATATATTACAATATAATATATTATAATATAATTTATATAATATAATATATATAATATCTAATATATATATAATATGTATATACATATATGTAATATGTATATACATATATATATATACATATTATATATATAATAATTTATTATATTTTATATACATATTACATATAATATAATATTATATATGTATATATACATATTATGTAATTCTATTTGGCTCCAATGGCATAATGGCATTTGTTGCGGTTTGTGTGAGCTTGGGACACAGTCTTGCTCCCGATTTGTGGCTGTTGCAGGGTCATTGCTTGTTGCGTTGTTTTTTCCTTCGTTTGCTTCTGTGCATTTACAATCTCTTGCACATTTCTGAAGAGACGTTGAGACAATTTTGGCCCGGCCAGGATGCCAAGTTTCAGGAACGTGAGGAAGCCTGCAAAGCCTTCAATGAGAAGCACCGCTGGCGCAAACGTGGCATCAGTATCTTGGCAGTTTCGGACCGAGTCCCTAAATGATGGGGTGCGTAGCCAAAAAAAAACATCGGAAAAAAAAAAAAAACATAGCAATTGAAGAATTTTCTATGGAGACCCATTGACATCCCTTTACTTCGATGATTTCCCGAACTTCGAAAACATGGCAAACTGCCAGACCTCCTCGGATCCTATCTGCTTTGGTCTCCTGGAAACTCTTGCGTCAAGGTGCAGTTCCTTTGGCGTATGGACACTGCTATGCTTATGCAGCCGGAACTGGTGCTCTGGTGAATATCTTCGGCTGCTTGGATCCAACGGCAGCTGTGGGAGTTTGCATCAGACTTTCCCGCTCTAAAGTCTTGCATGACTGTCCATCAAACACTGACAGCACGCAACAAAATAAACCAATTGAGTTCAATTGAGACACAAAAATTAAGAATCAAAAAGACATTTCTACTCGTAGTAATGTCAACCTTGGATTAATAAACCATGGTTTATTTAATTTAGAGGTAAAATTTTGACCATAGCCGCTTGAATCCAAGCCTGAGCTGCCCGCATCTTAAAACCTTGAGGTTCAGATGGATCAGTGACTGTACATCATGGAGGATGCGAGATTGGACAAGGACTGTCCCGCTGAATGCTGGCGCGAATTAGATGGGCGATGGAGTTTGTTACCTGGTTAAGAAGTGGGTTTGTACGGGGATATACGGTGTGAGCAAAGATGGCGAATGGAAACCCCCTATTAATAAATAAAGGTCTATACCGTCTATACCTGGAAAAACAGTCTATAAATCTAGGATTTTCCCAGCCAGCCATTGTTGATTACCGGAGGGTAATTTAGTAGTTCACCCTGCAATCTCGATGGTCCGATGGCGATGAAATCTGAGGGGCTCGATGGTTTTGGTCGCATTGACCTTCAAAAAATGTCATCGAACTTCTCCGTTTGGACCCTTTATTGCTCCCACAGGGTTGGAAAACAATTGCCACACTGCAGAAAATCTGTGGAAATCATACGAAATCATCATCATATGGATGTTTAAGGCCCCAAAAGAATGTGGTCCCTGCAGTCCCTGTCGCACCAGGAATCCACACCAAAGTGGCGCAAGTGGTGGCCATATCTTTGGGCTGCCCTTTGGAGCTGATCCGGGTGGCGGATACCAATTCTGAGGTGCTTGGAGCGCCGCCCGGGGCGGAGACGTGGGACTTGGGGTCAACGATATCATCAGGATACATATATACATATATATGTGGTGAATATATAGTGATTTTATATGATTTTATATGATTTTATATGGGCTATCATGGGATGATAAGTGATTCATGGGATGATAAGATAGGACAGAAATGGACATAATGGGATTACATGGGATTGTAATGGAATCTATGAAGATGACGCATGTATATGCCACTAAAATACATGACATCTTCTGGGATAGAATGCGATTAACTGCCTATATATATGGATGTATCTCCATTGTGGAACACAATCAAAACCATGAACAGCATCAATGAACATTGCAATGGCCATATCATCAAAACAAAATCTCATGTTTTTCATTAGGGCAATATCACTGGAAATATATATATGTCATATATAGTAAATCTCATGATTTGAATTGTGGAGATCACCTGTTTTACCCACCATTTCCCCACGCATTCCCCACGGGTTCAATGGTGCGCAGGTGGTGCCCAACGCCCGCTTCACGGGTGGCTCCATCACCACGGAGGTGGTCTGCGAAGCGGCACGACAGGCGGAGAAGGGTGGATCTTTCCATGGGTTTTTGTATGTTTACCAGGGATACCCTCTGGTAAACTAACATAGCTATTGAAAATGGCCATTTATAGTGAGTTTTCCCATCAAAAATGGTGATTTTCCATGGCTATGTCAAATAACCAGAGGGTATATATATATGTGTGATATGATATAAGATATATTTACGGTGTATATATATATGATATAATATGACGTATGTCTGGTGTATATCATGATATAACGTGTTTTCTTTATTATTTGAAAATATGTTGAAACCATCATATATTATTGTAATTATATGGCATGTAACTGTATATATATAAGATGGTTATTTAGGGGTGTATTATATGTTATATGATTGTGATAGAGGTATCATATGATGTGATATGCAACATTATGTAGATACAATATATAGATACGAGACTTTGTATAACCACTCTCCATATATATATATGTTGTATCACCATGACATGTCGAATTTCTGTATAGCTATTGTAGGTGTACTTGGAAGATCGCCCCATTAAAACATGCACTAGGGACGATTTCGGAGGTGGTTCTCCAAGTAAGTCATGTTTTCAACATTTTTTCTGATAAAAAGTCCAAATTTTGATGAACAAATCATCATATATGGTTGATTTTCCCATACATTCCCATTAAAACCTCCATCTAGTCAGTGGACTTTTCCATTTTTTTTGAAAAAAATTATAGTTGTAGTGGATTTCCCACACGGATCCATATGGCGAAATCACCATGAGGCCTGCAAGCAGCTTTTGGAAACCCTTCGGCCCCACCGGGAGTTCTTAGCGAAGCGCGATGGGAAGGACCTGCGATTTTGGGGGAAGGCGTTTCTTTTTTTTTAATGGGAAATAAAGATGGTAGATGTGGTAAACAAAAATGATGTACACAATCACACAATCATAAAATTGTATGTTCATATATTTCAAATATATTGTATACCTAATTCAGAGAAGTGATGGACCGTGGTGATGTTATGAATCATTATATAATCATTGTGGCCCATCCTGAAAAGAATGTCAGGTTTGACTTGCTTGGCAGGTCTGGGTCAGTTCCATCAACTTCCAGTAAATGGACAGGAGCCAAGCTGGACAGAGTTGGTGGCAGCTGCCAACACAGTCTTGGGACATCAAGAGAAGCTGTCAGCCACAGGCACTCCGTTGTACTCCGTTGTACCCCGTTGACAGTCGACTGTTGCCCGGTGGTGGAATATCGGTTCATCCCAAAAATTGGTTATACATGATGATCGAGTTGTACAGTTGTGTTTCAATGGATTGGTTTAAGGGAAAATTCACAGGAAAGCCCCACATTTAATGGGAAAATCTATGGTTTCCTGTAGATTTTCCCTTAAACCAATCCATTGAATATTCCAAATGTGCCAGTTAAATATGAGTCGTACTCCATTGAATTTTGGGGTTAGCCTATTTTCACAAAAAAAAGAAAAACATTTGACATACTGACCAATAGCGTGGCACGCATCTGAACTGGACCGTAAGATTCGAATATAGTCCACAGAACCTCCAAATTTTTGCTATCATTGTTGAGAGTATCCAAAGGGTATTGGGTATGGCCGGTATGGCCTTTGCTGACACCGGTTTTAATCTCGTTGGTGGTTTCAAACATGGCTGTTATTTTCCATTTCATATATGGGATAATTGGGATAATCCTTCCCATTGACGAACTCCATCATTTTTCAAGATGGTTACCCTCTGGTAATTTAACATAGCTATGGAAAATCACCATTTTTAATGGGAAAATCCACTATAAGTGACCATTTTCAATAGCTATGTTAGTTTACCAGAGGGTAAAACCACCAACCAGTATTGTTTTTTTGTGTCAATTTTTGGTGCCCTGATTCCTCCTGTTTTGCCACGCGCAGGCATTTTCTCACCGGCAGGGAACCAGCGCCCTGGCAAGGAGCGGTCCCATCAAAATAGTGAATGGACTCACATAGATCATATACACCCACATAGCATATCATAACATACTGTCAAAAGACAATAAGACAGCCGTTGTGTACAGCAAGTGTCTGTATGTTGCCATATATTTATGTATACATGTTTTTCTATGAACTTTTGGTTTGAATCTAGCTTGCAATGTGTGACAAAAGTGTAGGTTCTCTCCTTCCGAATCGCATGGCTTGCGGCCATGGATCCAAGGTACACCACTGACGTAGAGGGCAACAAACTGGGCGAATTCCATGGAGACTATTTCACCTACGGTGCAGGTTGGGAGCCACTGGTTAATGGCTAATCTGGAGAAACTTAGCAATAGTTCATGGTTTCTGGAGCCTGTTTTATTGGGAATGTGGGAAATACACCAAAAAAAGAGGAATATATAGCGATTTGTCGCAGAGTACCATGCGACAAGGCAGTTTTTCATGGCACATTTGGGGGTGATGAATGTTGATTCAAGGACTATTCAAGCTGTGTCCTTGCAGGCACCCAATCGTCTACCATTTTCTCCGAGGCATTTCGGAAGTTGAGCTAGATGTTCTCACTGGAGAAATCAGGCGCCAAGGACCGAGGATTCCAAGTTGTGTCATAGGATCATAGAGGATTGCCGGACAGCGACAATAGTGCTTCCAGCCCCTGTGTAGTTTCAGAATTCGGCATGGTCATAATTGCCTGGACGTTTCTTGAGTTGAGACCTTGCGTTGAGTCTACGCGGGGCCTGTTTGTTGCTGTTGCCAGTTTGAACACCTTCTGAAAGGATGTTGACGGTTAAACCATCACCTGAAACTGACGAAATATATCCAAATCCTGGTTGAGCTTTACAACCTTATTTTTTTCTCAAAAGCTTCAGTAGTGAATGTTAGGTTATAAACCTAAGAAGCCAACCTTTAAACGTCAATGGATATTGTTTGAAGCCTGGAGCCACTGGAGGCCCTTGAGATCTGATATCCTGTACGATGTGGGTCAGTCCATCAATCCTGGCATAGACCTTGGACAATTGGAGGGCGCATTTGTTTTCGGCAGCTCGGCGACGAGCGACGTCTCGCTGCGGTAGGTTGGTTGGAGACACCCCCGAAAGAGGATGAAACAGGGAGACTCGCTTGTCATGTATCATCAGTATCATCAGTATCATCAGTATCCAGGACAGTATCCAAGTGTTTCCAGTTCTTATCTTTGAAATCTCCAGATGTGACCTCCGCACCATCCAATCACCATCCAATCACCATCCAAAACATTGAGGTATTGGCTACTACCTATATGAGGAGCCCTTGAGAGACAACCGCGGGACTGAACGCTCCCAGGGAGTTTGGGCCTACAAGCCCCCGATGGCTCCGGAAGTGCCAATTGAGCTCCTTGGCTCAGTAAACCACCCCATCAACCAGCCTTTTGGGGTGCAAATTTGTTTCAGCATCCTCAATAGTGGTCAAATCACCCAAATCTTTAGTGGAAACTATAGGCTTCCAACCCCTATTTCCAGCAGGGATGTTAAATTTACTGAGGGGTAAATACTAGTAATTTCATGAAGGTCACTTGGGGATGGCTATCATTATTGGCGGGTTTACCTCATTATATTTTATTGAGGAAGTAATACAGAATGGATGTGAGAGCCGATCGTCTTAAAGGTCAGGATTGTTCTTGACAGCCACCAGTGTTGCAACATGAGACACCGCAATATCTTGTGTTTTCTTTTTCTGGGCAGAAATAGTGTTTTAATTTGCAAAAAATATGGCGAACGTATATTTGAATGGTTCATCATAGCTCATGTTTTTCTGTAAGCTTGAATTTACCATTGGTTTTTCACGACTCAATCATTTCATGTGCAGTAAGAGTCCCGTAAGACCATCGTATTTCAGGATTTGTGTACCATTTTGTTGACAACGAACGCTCTGTGGGGCTTGTGGAATCACCAAAGTTTACATATGAAATTGTGAAGTGACCCTTCTGTAAACGTTTAAATACATAGATCTGGAAAAGCCGTAATATGAAAAGCCAGCATATTAAGTATAGATCATTTTCTTTCCAAACCGGCTTTCCATGGGTTTTCCATGGGTTTTCCATGTGTTTTCATGGGTTTTCCATGGGTTTTCCACATCATTCCACGTTTACCCCAGGTAACCGCTACCGCAGGTTTCACGTGGAGTTGCTGCGCGACAATCCCTTCCCCAAGGGCGTCTTGGGATCAAAAGCTATTGGAGAACCACCCTTTATGCAGCTTGGATCAGTGGATCTGACATCGGGCTGCATATTTGATGGGATGTAAAAGGGAAAGTGACCAACGGTGACCAACATATCACCGAGATATGCCATGAGTATATACCATGGGTATTTTACATGGTATAGCCATGTATAGCCTATATCTAACTGACTTCATGAGTCAGTTTTGAAAAAACGACGCACCAAAAATGCTGAGTGCTGTGTGCGTAAAAAAAGCATGATGACCTGGCAAATCAAAGACATGCAGGTCCCTCAACTTGTTTCTTTGGGTATGTGTTGGGGTCTAAGTACAAAATCCATTGGTTTCCAAATCATTGCAATGTGGTGGCAGCATCGCTCCCATCGAGGCTGGCCTATAGTGTTTTAGGAGCCGCCAAGAAGGCCAGATCCGATCCCGGGAGGTGAAAAATGTGAGTTCTGTTTGCCAACTTAGCAGTTGTTTTTTTCATTTTTTCCGATTTTTGGCGATGCTAAGAACCAGCTTGGTCAATCAGTTGATCACCTCGCAGTGTTTCAGGATGTTTCAGGGAACACACCGGAAAACCCATGGTGAAAACCCTGTGTTTTTTCCATGTTTTCCCCATATTTTTCCACTAAGCATGGGGGGCGCCGGGAAGGCCATTGCATCCGTTCGTCGCGAGAATGGCCTCAGCGAGCACTTCCAGATGCCCATGCCCTGCACGGTGGATGCCATCCAAAAGGTGGCGGATGCCATGGGATTTCTGAAGTCAAAGTGAAGAAGTGGGGCGATCTATGGCGATATCAATTGATTACACACTCTAAAAAAACTATCAATAGTTGGGATATTATATGGGATATATTCGGATATTAATGCGTATAATTTATATGAGATCAACATAGATCAACAAGATATGGGTGTCTGGAAATGGGGGGTTTTGCAGCCTACAGAGGCCGTGTTTTAATGTCTGGAACATGATGATTAGCCATCAGTGGGGAGATCACGGGGATATTTCACGGGATCCGTGAGAGATTGGGGGAGATATTTGATGGATGGGATTTTCATGAAATACCCTATTAATATGTAGATGATGCTTAAATACAAAACCATGGTTATATAATCTTCGATGAGTGGTTTTTACATCTTTTCTGTATTCTTTTCAATCCCAACTTCGGAAGATTTGCCCAAGTGTGACCCGAATAGCGCAAGAGACTGCCAGTTGAGCTTTGTGGAGACATGATCCTATGATCCTTTCGGCTGGGAAGTTGTGTTTTTGAATGGATCATTAATGATCTAGGTTCGTTCCCCTACATCTTCCAACTGGGGATGTTCCGGAAAATGGGCTAGAGCCCGTTCTGAACTGGTCTATAGAATGTTTTGATGTGATCACCCAGTGAAAGGAATGTTTTTTCCCAATATTGTCAGAGAAAGCCACGTAATGTTGGTAAAGCAATAATAAGCCCATCCCCAATTTCACCATAAATAGTTGGTATAAACTAACCATTCCCAACTGTGTGGTTTATTATTGTTTTAACCGTGACCGATTCACCAGGCATGCGGCGTGGAAGCATCCCACTTCAAATGCTGATCAGCGCTGTAGAACGCCCAGCAAAGACTAAGCCCAAAAGTTCGCTTTGTCAGTGGACATGGTCTGATAATGTCTGATAGATCAGCAATAGCATTGTTTCTGAGGCTGCAGAATGTTCAGCCGTTGTGTATATAAATTTGGTTGCACCTCCATCGTCTTTCCACATCGAAAATGGTTAACGGTTAACATACGTATGTTAACGTCAGAACAAAACATGTTGGGACTGTGATCATGATTTCAGGACTGGGGCTTCAATCTCGGCCCTGATATTAAGCCACTGAAGTACCAGCCATGCGGCTAGTGGCTAGTGACTAGTGAGAAAGACATTGACTATTTAAGGAGGTCCGACCTATTAGCATGGTGAACTGCGTGCAATTGGCACACAGATGCCAATTTCAAATAGATAACAGATAACGAGAGTGCTTGCATCGTGTTCATGGCCTTTGTGGATTGGAATCCAATCAAGTCATGGCTTGGGTCAGGAGCTGATGAGATTGTTGTTTTTTTGCCAATGCAATGCATCAACTTGGATAATGAGCCAAGAGGATTGGAGAAGGCTTCCTGGTGAATGTCCAGATTTTTTTCAGAGATGATGGCATCCCGGCACGATACACAGGCAAGCCAGGCAAGCAGAGCGTGACGATTCAGACCCAGTGAATGGAGGGAAATCTGCAAAATCCACCAGGTCCGTTTCAGGATGTTTCAGCTTTTGCCTTGGAGATGTCCCATGTTTGATTGCAGAAGACTAGGATGTACCGCCTCTTGTTCACCCGCTTTTGAGGCTATACCCAAGCTCCTAGATTCCTAGATTATGTCTTATTGATCTGCTAATGAGGCGGTTCAAGCTTATGGAGGTTTGGCAATGTGGAATCAAATGTTGGCCACTTTGCCTGCAGCCGTTACGAGATGTACACTGGATCAGACTCAAATGGAAATCCAACACACTGCACAATAAGCAACACATTAGGGCACCGATTTATCAATCATAAACTTGGAATCTGAGTTGAATCTGTGGCTACATCAAGATGCAGCAGTGGTAGTTCGCAGAGACATTTGTGAAAATGAATTGGCATGTTAGGTTGCAAAGGTGCAATTTGTGGAGCCACCATGATCAGTTTCGCCTACTGCTTCCGGATATCCTGTTGTGGCTGTTTCTGCGAAGAGGATTGTGATCCAGAGGAGTTTTAAAAATGTTACTCTTCTTCAGCTATTCTACAGTTTGCCACAATGTGGTAAATCCTCAACGAACGAGCAATCCCCAATGACGTACATACAAATGGGTGGAAATTCAACAGTCAATGGTTATGATCACCTCTAAAGACGCCATGCTCGCGATGCTCGCGCTTTGAGTCGCCATGGCCCTTCGGCTAGCCTTCACAAGGCCGCTCCTTGGAGTCATTTGGAGTCGCCAAGTCCTGCTACGTAAATGAATCATGCACTAGCGAACTCGCTACTGTACTATAAGCCCTGAAGATCCAGCTTAAAGTAAGGTGAGTGCAACTTAACTGCGTGTCAGAGGGCGAATAAGACAGGTAAGAAATGATGAAATATGACAAGAAGATACAAGAAGGGGTTTTTTAGCATCCAACAAGTCACAAGAATTCCTTTGCAACACACTGCCACCGACTCATTCTCAGTGACCAACCAGGCGTCACTTGCTCCGTGGCCGTCGAGTTACAGGCCGTCGGAACCTCTCTTTTGACCTATAGAATCTATACGACCAGCGTATGAAAAGAACCGTGGTATCCTTGGCAAATCCACTGGAATGGGGAATCCTATGGAATCCTTAAATTCGGCTTCAATGGATTTGGTCGAAATCAATTTTCTCTGGCTGGTGCTGTATGAAATATGTGGTGTGTGAATGAGCACATTCTTGCGCGGTTGTTGAATATCATAATGCAGAATAGAACTACTATGAACATCTATGAACTACTCATACCAAGTGATATGTTTTGATAATCTTTGATAAGTATATTTGATTTTCCCATTTGCCATTTCCTAGATGCATCAAGCTACGGGGAAGTTGCGGGGCTGACGCTCAGGCAGGCATCAGGCTGGTGGGATGTTGGTTGACGGAGTTGATGGTTCATACATTGTGGGTGGTGCTTCAAGAAGTTTCATTAATGGTCTTCAACATTCTTACAAAACACTGGTTTCATTGAGCTTTATCTCATTGTATATGATATTATATGACTATATAATATAAAATATATATATATATGTATTATATAAAGATTACTATATATATATATATACGTATGTATGATTCATATGATACGTATGCAGTATGTATGATTCATATGATATCCTAATGTTAATATGTCGAGAATCTCAATTTATGTACACCAAGCCATGACATCCCAGGCTGCGATCGGAGCCCGTTCGCGGAGCTTCTCCGACTTCATCACAGCCTCGGATGAAGGAGCCCGGCGATGGGAGCTTCTCCCGGGTTGACATGTGATTCATGTCAAAAAAACGCCTTTAGTTGGCAGATCATATAAATTCATACAATATATTTAATATATTTGTCAAAATTCTTTACTTCAAATACTTTCAAGAGGTATAGATGCTTTCATGTTGTGAAAATTAAAAATACTTTTATGGGCCATGTTTGATTGACATGATTACCAGGGGGTAGCAACTTGGGTATAATATATATATAATATAATATATAATATAATATTATATTATATTATATATAATATTATTATATTATATATAATATTATATTATATTATATATAATATTATATTATATTATATATAATATTATATTATATTATTTTATTTTATTTATATATATACTTCGATAATTCCCACCCTCTTTTTTGGTTGTAACCTATCCATTGGCTGTGGATCCAAAGGTAGATGGCATCTTGTCCATGTCTAGGACTCGGCCGACTCAAGTTGTCCTTTGCAGCTGCTTGCCTCCCTCACCCTGACAAGGCGCGAAAACTGAAGCGACAAAAGCAGAAAACATGTCATCCATGGATTCATAAAAACTGGTGAGGGAATTTGGAGGCAACCCTAAAGCCCTAAAGTGTCATGAGCTACCTACTATGGATGGGCCAGCGAAATCCTGCACATCCGCTAATAGATGGTAAACATCCCATTATTTACGGGGTTTCAAGCATCCCAAATTGCTGGTGCAGGATTCCAGGATTTCGCAACCATCCACAGTAGCATCGATGATACCCTCTATGAAAGCAGGTGGACAAAGGTGGTGAAGATGGATACTTCGCCACTTGGGGCGATCGTCACTTGGGGAGGACATGAAGATGAGGAAAAAGGGGCAGATGATTAGATAATAACAAATCTGTGTACATTGGAAAAATCAGATTCAATGTATATATTTACTATTGTATTATATCATATCTTTGTATATTGGAACGATGAGATGTGTCAATGTATTTCACAGTTGCCAACTATGTTAAATCTATTTCACTGTTGCCATGCGTCTCAGTCTGAGCCCTCGAGACATTCTGCACCAACTAAGCTGGCAATTTTCCGTCGTGGTGGTAAAGGGCTTTGGGTCACTTCACCGAATGGTACTGCTCTTGACCAATCCCTAAGAATCCAATATGCTTTTGATGTTCTCACTTTTGAAAAATAGACCAACATGGCAATTTTGGTGTGTTCATGGGAAAACCCATGGGAATACGGGAATATCACCGAAAAAAATGGAGGTTTCTAGAGAGAATCCACTATAAATGGAGGTTTTTGCCTGGGAAATCCCCTTTTTTCCCGGGGGAATCCGGGGAAATCCACGGGCATCTGAGGCGTGTCCATCGAGTCGCTCCTTTGGAGTGGCCGATGGTGTCGGAGGTTGGGCAGACAGTGGCTGGGGCACCTGGGGCACCGCTTAGCACCGGAGATGTTGATCGTATCAATCCACAAAGGCTGCACAAAGTCTCTGATATTTTCATATGTTTTATACCCTCTGGTTATTTAACATAGCCATGGAATAGATGGCCCATTTATAGATGATGTTCCTATTAAAACCTCCATTTATAAGGGATGTTCCATGGCTATGTTAAATAACCAGATGGTATATGTACCACAATCATATGTTAAAAGTCTCTGAATATTTTTTTCTACCATAACATGTCAAGATATTCTACCATTTAAACCCATTTATTTTTATGCTATAGACCATTGCTTATTTTTTGACCATAGCTGGTCATTGGTGAGGCAAACATCCACTCACTGAGGCGTAGACCCCGGGCTGTTTGCTCGGCGGCTCATGCGCCTCTGCCTTGAGGCGTGGCCTTCGGGCCGGGAACAGTGGATTAGGCAGGGGGATGAAAGTCATGAGTTCAATGAAAAGGTTGGAAAAAACAATCACTGTTTATCATGATGAACCGATGTCATTATCATGGTTCAATGAAGGTAAGGTGTTTGTGAAACATGACAAAAACACACAATCATGACCAGCAACATGGGAATCATGTTCGACATCGTGGTCTCAACAATAGTGATGACAGTGTAAACAAACATGTCGGGGATGATACTTGGAGAAACATGATGATAAACCAATGCTTTGGTTGGTCGCTTCAAACATGTTGATGTTCTAACATTGTCCATCCATGACCCTGGGAGGATTGAACAAGGGAACATGCATGGCTCAGCTAAAACGCTCGAGTCAGTTCTTTCTAAATGACCAGATGAGGATACTTAATACATCTTAATACATGTTGTTGGAGGGCACAAAGCACCATACAAATGATATCAGCCACAGTCAGATCCTTTTGAGTTATTTTGACCATATATGTTGGCCCATTTGTCTCCACTGGGGCCACGGAGAAAGTCTTGACCAAAACTTGCGACGTTCAAACTACAATGGACGAGCCAATGTTAAGTCACCTTCTGCATAAAGTTTCAATCATCAAGAACTATACTCATTAGCATCATAATCATAATACTAAAATAATAATAATAATAGTATATAATGATAGACAGAATCATAATCATATCCATCATCTATCATCCATCATCATCTATCATCCATCATCATCAATCATCATCATCCATCATTATTCATCATCATCCATCATCATTCATCATTCATCATCCATCATCCATCATCTTCATTACCATCATCTTCATTACCATCATCTTCATTACCACCACCACCACAATCATCATCATCATCAACAACAACATCAACATCAACATCAACATCATCCATCCATCCATCCATCCATCCACCCATCCATCCATCCATCCACCCATCCATCCATCCATCCATCCACCCATCCATCCATCCATCCATCCATCCATCCATCATCATCATTTTCCCCGAATCTGTTGCCATATTATAGATATATATATAATTATATAAACATAAACCATTATGGACCATGGCATTTTCCATGGAAGATCACCCTCCAAGATTTCAGCATCGGCGCGTCTCTCGTCGCGACCAGGGCATCGGGGATGATGAAAGCGACCTCCAAGAGGTACGGCAACGCTGCAGGGCAGTCTCCTTTGGGGACGATCAATGACTGCAATCTGCGGAAAAAAAAATGTGCTTCATAGATGTTATTAATTAGTTGTTAATAGAGATTAAGTAGCTGGTTCATAGTGATCAAGTAGCTGGTTAATAGTTAATAGATGTTAATAGATGTTAATAGATGTTAATAGATGTTAATAGATGTTAATAGATGTTAATAGATGTTAATAGATGTTAATAGATGTTAATAGTGAATTTATAATGATTCATATTGGTTTAGAGTGATTTGTAGTCAATAGTAATGTTCAATAGTGATTAAGTAGCTGGCTAATGGCGTTTCATAGTGAGTGATTAATACTAGTGGTGAAGTAGCTGGGTTAATAGTACGGGCGAATCGCTGGTTACGAATATTTGGTGATGGTAATAGTGGTTAATGGTGCTTAATAGTGCGAAAGGGGTATTGATCAACACAAAAACATTGCCAATTCCATCCGAATAAAAAAACATGGCGGATGAGTGTAAATCATCCACAAAGACCTTTTGCAAATAAGCAATGATGAGGTTGATGCCAAACCAATGTTAATTCGGAAAGGTGGTGAGTCTTGGGTAGATAAGAGGGACTGCCAAACAGATATGATGGATTAGATAAACCCATTAAATGTATCAATCTACCTATGCCGTCCGACAACTGAATGATTCTTTGGACAACAGAAAGAACTGGCAATCCTTCTATTAACACTCGGGATGCCAATCAAGGGATACATCTAACACACGGTGATAGAAACAACAACAAGCGTGATTGTGTTAAGCCATTGTCGATTTCCCTGACATGGATGGTCCCCCCCTGTTATAGATAGACCACAAGATCAGATGAATTGGTTATTCCTTGCGGCTTTCCCCAAGCTTTGGACATACCGAATAGTTAATCCTAAGCTTGCCGGAGGCGCTCTTGAAGGCGACCCAACGGATTCTAAAGGAAAAATTGGAAGGGGGTTCAACAGCCCACAGCCCAGCACACTGCTGCCAGAGTTGACTGAATTGTAGTTCGTGTGTTCCAGACCTTTTCGTGAGCAAGGCTGTTTGTTCGTCATTGTTGCTTCATGAAAGAGGTGAGATGATATGAGATGATGGTGATATTCTACGCATGACATACAAGATACGTACTTCTTTCCAAATCATTTAGTTTGGACTGGCCGTGCTTTCTGAGCCTTTGGCGTGCAGAAACTTAAACGGCTGATGTTTTCGATCTGAGGCGCTGTTGGGGCAGCTCAACGGCACAACAATGGCCATTTTGAACTTGGGCGACTCAGGCGCGACGGTTTGGTACACGATGCCTACGATGTTGTCAGTTGAACTGGTAATTGATAGGGGCCTCAGATATTCAGAACCTTAAGATGTGTTGTGACTTGTGTTATTTCCAGCTCACATTCAAAAAAACGTGAAATGTACGGGTACAATACAATCAATACACTGATTACGGAATATATTAGCCTCTAGGACTCTAGGATCCTCTAGGTAATTTGATACAACCATATGGAGCATTACCCATTTGATCCCATTTGTAGATGATATACCCCCTGGTAGTCAATCATGGAGGTTGATGAACCATGTATAATCGGTTATATACGAATTACATTAAGTAACGATATACCTATGATGATGTATATCGATATAATGATTATAACTTCGTATCAATGTATTTTTTTTGTCTCTATGATGATCAAGGGCTTATACTACTATGATATATATATATAACTTAATACACATATGATATTCCTACGACATACCTTCGGATATACCGAAGATTCGTCCCCTTTCGAAATGGCGCCTTTGTGAAGGCGCCATGCTCCTCCGCCCAGCGCTGCGAACGCCTCCGGGCTCCGATCAGCCGCTGCTGTTTCCGCGCGTGGTCTTCAGGCGAGCCATGTGGAGCCTGGGGAGTTCCATGGGAAATCCGAAAATCCGATGGAATCTTTGGGAATATCATAGGATTTACTAGGATTTAATGGGACATCCTATGAAATCTATGGGTTTCATGGGGGATTGAATAGGATTTAATGGGACTTAATGGGACTTAATATAGGATTTGATGGGATTTATGTGATTTCATTGGATCTTAATGTGAATATCAATAATGGGAATAAAATCAAAATATCATGGAATTTACCATCTGGTCATTTTCCCACAGTTTCCTATGTAAGACATTGCCCATTTCGTTCGATGATTTACTTACTAAAAATTGTGATTGTTTGATTGCCTATTTAGTTTACCAGAGGGTACTTGATTTAGTGAGGAGTATGAACAAACCACTACTGGGAATACCTATCAAGCATTAGAATGGGATAGGATAGCGGTATTTTCGATGTCTCATGTGGGTTGGGGGTGTCGGAATGAGGGATGGGCCTCAATCTGTGGTCATCAACTACTGGGAATTCGGAAAATGATTTTCTAAAACATGCGGCGGAACGCGATGCCAATGCTTGAAACATCTCCATGTGCCTATGGCACTGGAAGGACATAAGGATATGAATGATAGTCATGGCCAATGACCAGCTGGAATCAGGCCAACGTAACCCTAAAAATCTGGGGTATTTCTGTGGCACCCTCCGGCAATCAAACGTGATATTGGAGCGTCCACCATTGGTAATTTTCACAGCTATAACAAACCTCTATTTACAGATGATTTGCCAGAAAGCCACGTTTGATGACTCCAGAGGGTAATCCCATTAGTCATCATATGCAATCATTAATCACCACTATAAACACCAAATATAATAATCGTGGTAAACACCAAAACTTTAATCCCATTAGCAAATCATCCCATTAGTAATCATTTATATACATTTATAGGGTTTTTCGCGGGGTAATACCATACTGTACCTTCATTGTCGCCATCAGCGAGCGGAACTGAGATCGTGTGACCAGACGCACTACTTCAATTGCCCCTACCAGTTGGGCAGTGGCAATGCTCCTGTAGAGGCGGGACCCCAGGGTATGTCTCAGTTGTGTGGTATACCAGGGCGGTGTCCGGTTGTGTGTATCTCATTGTATGTCTACTAATATATTATATATTACTATATATCATATATTGTAATTATATGTAATTATAATCTATGTGATCGATTTATCCTCTTGAGATGATATACAACTTACTTTATGATACGTTGTGGTAGAATATGTATTGTATATTATAGGATACCAAACCGTAGGAGGCCTTCATCCCCAACTTTCTAGGCTCCAGATTTTATCCGAGTGCGTGTGCGGACTGGAGATCTGGTGCGGGGCCTTAGGACAAATTCTGTTTGTTGAAACTACCTTTGTAAACATTGGGATAGCCTGATCTAACCAGGCCGGTGGGATTTTTCACCGCGGACGAACCTAGGTGGTGGCAGCCACTGATGGAGTCTTTGACAATCTTTTTGATCACCAGGCCTTCGTCAGCCAAAAAAATGGGAGATCCCTGGGAAAGCCAAAGGAAATCCCTGGAGGTTTGGATATCGCTGGCTGCGAATGTGATTAATCCATTTATTCATGTGGGATTTTCCTGGTTGCTACGTTTGATTACCAGCGGGTAACAATGAGGTACTCTGGACTCCTGAATGAACGAATGCCTGTGTGATTTTTTTAGGTTTTTTGTTAACCATGATTATCAAATCATCCACTTTTTGGGGGACGAGAATTTTGACGCTTGCCCACCAAAATTTCCATCATAAATGGCCAACTTGGCTTTGTTCAGACATGGAGGCGCCAATTTTAGCCGTTTCAATGTTTCAATGGGCAAAATGGTCTCGCTTGGACTCGGGGACATCTTCAGATGGTTGGGAATCGTAGCCCCAATATCTCCCAATCATCACCTTTAGATGGTGGAATAGGCCAGGTGTTACGGGTATAACTATGGGATTCTAACCTCGATGTTTGTTGGGATCTGGGACCCTTACAACTATGGTGAACTATGAGGCACTGATTCGTGGAACTGCAACTCCAAGTAGCCGAGTAGCCCTCCAACGGTTGATCGCAAGCCTTGGCCTTGTACGCTTCGACGAAGGTGCAAGCGATTGTGGCACAGCAACTGGGGAAAGCCTGGAGTAAAGGAGCCCCGGCGACTGGGCTTGTCTTGCCATGATTTGGCTGGGTTGAGGCACTGTATGACCCTCACAAAAACGGGAAAGCCAAACAACGATCTATGTATCTTGTATGAAAGAAGAATATGACCTCATATAATACTCAACTTCTTACGCCTTTGTTCAACTAGGTGAATCACAATGAAGCGACCTGTAGTTGGAGGATGGTGTTGTCTCCAAGTAAACAGTGGCTTCTGAATTTGTGGTTGCGAACCATTTGAGTGCTGGGGTAAAAGGGTCAGATATTGGAATTTTCCCAGACATGACAGGAACCACTCCTATTCAAGCTATTATCATTGTTCGTTATTTATTTGTTCTGAATCTATGCAATGTATAACTGGTTGGTGGTTTGGAACATGTTTTATTTTTCCATACATTGGGAATATCCCAACTGACTAATATTTTTCAGAGGGGGTGAAATCACCAACCAGATAATCAAGTTTGGGCGGATGAATCATGGGGTGATTGTTGGGATTGTTTCTTTGAATCCACTCGCACCCCGACATCCAGTGGGTATGTCAACCAGGATTGTAGTTGTCAGGGGGAAGTTAGATGCAGTGCTTGGGAGTGCAGTTTTAGTTTCAAATTGTGTATATATATATATTCTATATATATTCTATATTATTTTATATTATATTATGTTATATTGTATTATATTATAATAAATTATAGTGCACTATATTATATAATATTATATTATATCATATCATATCATGTTTTATATTATATATCATATATTATATATTATATATTTTATATTTTATATTATATATAATATTAAATATTATATATAATATTAAATATTATATATAATATTATATATTATATATTATATATTGTATAGTATATATTGTATATTATATATTATATATTATATATTATATATTATATATTATATATTATATATTATATATTATATAGTATATATTAAATATTATATATTATATAATATATATTATGTATTATATGTATTATATATATTATATATTATATATTATATATTATATATTATATATTATATATTATATATTATATATATATTATATATATTATATATTATATATATTATATATATTATATATTATATATTATTTATTATATTTTATATATTATATATTATATTTTATATATTATATTTTATATATTATATATTATATAGTATATTTTATATATTATATTTTATATATTATATATTGTACATTATAATATATATATACATGATATTTTATAATATACACATATCATGGTAATAGAGGCCCCATATCCAAATGTATGGGGTCACCACGGTTGTACCCACAAAAAAGACCGGCCTGCATCCCCAAGTCCCAAGTGTGTCCTAAGGTGACTCCGCATTTGAGTGGTTTGGCAACCAGTATCGCCAAACAGGCTTCATGAGCATGGATGATTGGATGATTTTTGGTGTCAGAAAACGCGCGCAAGGTTTGCTGTCATTTCGATCAACTATACTGCCACTTGTTTCGACTCGAACTACCGGTAACTACCCATTGACCCGTATCCCAGAAATGGTTTAAGGGAAAGTTCTACAGGAGAACTTTTCTTTGACTGGCAAACTGTTTTTTTGTCTCCTGGAGATTTCCCTTTGACCAAGCCAATGAACGTTTAACATCCACCCTCTTGCAATTTAACTTTATATAGCTATGGTATGCTATGGTTAAAATCAATGAAAATACCAAATATATCACGATGTACTGGTTCGGGATATCATCCAAAAGCGCTTCATTTCCCATGGCCATGTCATGCCATGTCATGCCATGTCATCAAGATCATCCCCTACCCCGGTCAGGCTCAAAGAATTGGGCAGCAAGAGGACCACAAGGCGCAAGTTGGTATATAACCATAGGACAATTGAGATTTATATAATGGGATTTCATATAGGATTTTTAATGGGATATGACCAACATGGACTAACCAACTGAGTGCATAATATGACGAAACTGTTCAGGTTGGTGAATTATTCTAGATTGTCAATTTGGATACCAACCAGGTATGACGGGGTGGGATAGTGGTATTTGTTCATGGCTCATTTATAGATGAGTTCCCAATTGGAAACGGGATTGCGGTTATCCCATCGTTAGCTTCATGTTTATCCCCGAAAAACGATTCCATCCTTGGCCTGAATTCTTGACCCATAATTACCTAGAACCCCAGTCTTAACCAGAAATGGCCATGGTTGTTTCGCTATCGTCATGAAGAATCCCTTCAGAACACATGGTTGTTTGGGGTTTCCCCACCATTCATTTTTGGTCCAAACTGGGGTTCCAGGTAGATACATACCCAGCACTGATGACGAGATCTCGGCAGGACATCATTACGCCCTTTGCGTTGGCTGCGCATTCCGAGGGCCTCTCCTTCAGGGGTGGAAAGTTAGATGATACCACTGTGGTGGTGGGATTGGTTACTTGGACTTCTTCATTTGGGTTTGTTTGGCAATGGTTTGCCCGGCTCACTGGTTAAGCATTAATTCTCCCTATTAAAAGGATGGCTATTGATTTTAGGAAATATGTTTGATGAGGTTTAGGTATTGTTGTTGGATTCCTGTGTTTCTTCTGTTGCTGCTTCTATGCTTTTCTGTTTCTCTGCTTTTCTGCTTCTCCGCTTTTTGATGTTCCTGCTTCTCTGCTTTTCCTGCTTCTTTGCTTTTCCTGCTTCTTTGCTTTTCTGTTTCTTTGCTTTTCCTGCTTCTCTGCTTTTCTTCCTGCTCCTTTGCTTCGTTGCTTCCTTTCTTTACTATCTCTCTGCTCTTCCTTTTCTTTTGCTTTATTCTATCCTGTTTGTATCCTCAATGAAACCCCAGAGAAACCCTAAATGAAACCCAAAGTCACCCTGAAGAAATCCCAAAAAGAAACCCTAAATGAAACCCTACAGATACCCTAATGACACCCTAAAGAGACCCTAAATGAAACCCTACTGCGAATGACACCCAAAAGGATCCTTCATGAAACCCTAATGAAATCCTAAAGATAACCTAAATTACAGCCCAAAGAAACACCAAACAAAAGCCTAAAGATACCCCAAATGACACCTCAAACAAACCCGAAATACAACCCTACAATACTCTACATGAAATCCTAAAGAAACCCTAGATGAACCCCTAAAGAAACCCTGAATAAAACCCTCTAAATGAGACCCGAAAGAAAGCCTAAATGAAACCCTAAAGATACCCTAAAGATACACTAAATGACACCTTAGAGAAGCCCAAATTGACACCCTAAATGACACATTAAATGAAACCCTTAAAAAACCGTAAGTAAAACCCTAAAGAAACCCTAAATGAAACCCTAAAGATACCAAGATACTCCAGATCCCCAACAAACCCACATGAACGTTTGAACATGTTTGAACTACTGTACCAACATGTAGCACCAGAAATGAGAGGTTGAAGTGCCAAAGATAAAGCAAATACGGTGCAAAATGGAAGGTGAAGCCAAAATGTAGCAAATGCCCTTCAAAATGACAGGTTCTAGTTCATCTAGTTCCAAACTGTTGCAAATACAAGGCAAATGTCAGCAGGAAAGAAATCCTACCCAAAAAAAAAACGTCAAAAACAAATTCCTAAAATTAATGTTCACCGGTATTAAAATGGTAATATGGAGGGTATACCGTATACCCCAATTTCAGACACACTCTGTGTTTAAAAGGAACCAGTGAAACGGAACTGGCATTGTGAACATCGGAAAAATCCTGTTGTGTCCCTTATAGCTATGAAGAATAGTCAGTTTATAGATTATTTACCTATGGAACATGGTAATGTTGAATAGCTAACTGTTAAATTACCATGAAGGTTGCACAAATTGCTCGGCAGCAGCTTGAGAAACGCCCAAAAAACCTGCGAGTTTCGCCAGATTTAGGAGCTATCAATGTGTCAACAAAGGTATCAAACAACAACAAACGGTCCACATTTAAGAGATTGTTTGTTCCGAAATCCCTATATATATATTATATTCATGGTAAACACATGTAGAATACAAAGGGGTTCCGATATATGTTCCCAAAAAATAAACCCATTAGTCAACAAACAAGATGTCAAACTGTCAGCGAGCCGAGGTTTGTAATGACTCAGATGCAGGACAGCATTGACTGCATGAGATTGGGTCATGTGTTTTTTTCCAACGGCAATGAAATGTGGAAAAGCCAACGGCATAAAACCAACCATTTGGTGGCCATTTTAAATCATCCCAAAAGGAAGTACACCCAATTGCATAAACCTCTATTGGGGATGGCTTTTTTTTAATTGTTACCCATGTGTATCCTATATCTTTACCGATTTGTGCTGTTGTTGTTGTTGTTGTTGTTGTTGTGGTTGTGTGCTGGTAACACAAACGCACCATCGATAGCCCGAAATCGTGCTGTTTCACATGCTGGAGCCATCTGGGGTTGATCAGCCACCAGGAGATTCTACGCTTCTGCACAACTTCTGACAGCGAAGTGACGGAAGTGACATGTATCACCCGGATGGGACAAAAATTTAAACTCTAAAGCGGCCGATTGGCTGGTTGTCTCAAGATTTGTTTTATCCATCTTGACCAAATAAGCTCGCTTCATTCACAATGCTCAAAAGGAAAACAAATGCTGTGGTTGAGTGTGAAGGCTACTGTGGTTGAGGGGCTTCAAGTCGCTTTGCAGTGCGGCATTGTCATGTAGGACTTTCAGAGGGGATTCTTGCGCAGAGCAGGAGGATTTTCCACGAACCGATGTTGCAAGGCCGCAAGGCCGCAAGGCCTTTTACCCAACTAGACTTCAAACAAACGTGGCCATGTGGCTCAGTACAGCCAAACTCACCGTGCCTGTGCCATTCGCACCATTCGCTGCTGTGGCGAAGATTGAGGGCTCGATGAGCTTCGAAGAATTGTGGCCGGAGTATGAGGCGAAGATGAAGGCTGGTGGAAAGGAAAGTGCCAGCGATGCAGCCATCAGCGCCTTCAAGTACAACTTCAAGGCGCCACCTGGCAAGGGCTAGGCCACAAGTGGTGCGATGAGAAGTACTCGCACAGCAAGCGGTAGATGCATGAGCTGAGTGTAGATCTAAATGTCTAGACAGTATTGTTGTGTAGGGACAAGTGCAAGACACATCAAGACACCCATGAGAAGAATCTGGGCCAATGGATTGTACCATTATATCCATTATATAACCGCCAGCATATCATGGTGATTGCCACGTTTGGCCACCCAAAGTTGTTGTTTCCAAGAGCAGATCTATACTTAGGACCCCTGGAAAAAATCCTCTAAATATGTACAGATCACTGCCGTTGTTTCCGAAAGTATCTTTAAATGATCTTGAACCATCTTGAACCATATTAACCCAGTCTAAACCAACTTAAACCATCTTAAACCCTCTTGAACCATCTTGTACCAGCTTGAACCGTCTTAAACCATATTGAACCATTTTCATCTCAAACCATCTTAAACCATCTTGAACCATCTTGTCTTGAACCAGCTTGACCCATCTTAAACCATCTTGAACCATCTTGAACCATCTTGTACCATCTTGAACCATCTTGTCTTGAACTATCTCATACCATATTGAACTATTTTAAACCGTCTTGAATCATCTTAAAACATCTTGAGCCACCTTAAACTGGTTTCAACTATCTTAAAACATATTGAATCATCTTACAACATCTTGAACAAACTAAGTCAAATCCTTTCCTGGTTGCCAGCTCTTTCCCTGAATTCGTTGCAGGTCTTGGCCTCGGGTGCCAGCACGATGATCCCGGAGTCTCAACTGGAGCCTGTGGCCGCGTTGCCAGACTTGGAGGCATTTCCATGGACTCGCTCACCCTGGAGATGATGGTTAGGGTTTCCATAGTCATGGCGGTACCCCTAACCATAAATGGATGGTTTATAAGGGAAAATCCCTATCCATCTATCCATAAATGATGGAAAATCCTAAATCATATGATTAATATGGGATAATAGTGTTTATTATGGGATATATTGATATATCCCTATCATATTTGGGGTTTCCAAAGTCATGGGCCTACCCCATTTCATCATCCAGCTATTTGTTTGGGATTTTCCCATCCAAAAACCATCCGATGCGATTTCAAGGGGTACCCTCTGGTAAACTAACATAACTATGGAAGATCACCATTTTATAGCTGGGTAAATCCACTATTTCTATGGCCATTTTCAATAGCTTTTTGTATGTTTACCAGAGGGTACCCCCATGACTATGGAAAGCTCCATGACTCATGTTATGGAAAACATGGCTGGGACATCCTCGAGCCACGGAGATTGGGGAACCGCGAAAATCTTTGAACAAACCATGGGGGATTACCCTCTGGTAAACTAACATAACTATGGAAAATCACCATGTTTAATGGGAAAATCCACTATAAATGGCAATAGCTCTAGAACATCGCTAATTGTTTGATAGGTGAACACAGGTTTTTTTCATCCGTTTTTGTGGACCATTTTCCATAGCGAACTCTTAAATAATTAGAATTCATTAACTAAGACTACTGCACTAGTACAGATGTTGTTGAAAGGTGTACTATCTTGACTATAGTTTGAGGATACAATCAACACTTATATAACTTCGTACCACGACCTTCGAGAGGTTGTGAAGCTAAAATTTCGTCTCTGCCAGTTGCCTCATTGGAAAATATTCTGGGACATCGCTCATGCGAAGACTGGACAGCAGAAACTTCCACCTCAAAATCATGGCTGGAAAATTCCCCATTGGCTTCGATGATCTTCTCATATCGATGACCAGCAATTCCGGGATGTCCCAGCTATAGGCCATTGTTTGATGGCTAACAAAAGCCTATAAGGGCCCAAAAAAAAATGATCTCCCCATGTCCTGATGTTATCCCGATATCCCGATGATATTCCCATGTTATCCCCACGATTCACGGTGACAGGCCCTGAACATCTCAGTGGATCCAGCACTGCTCAAAGAGACGGTGGTGTTAAAACTGAATGGCGGCTTGGGCACCAGCATGGGCCTCGATAAGGTGGGAAAGCCTCCATCGATCAATGGATGAAGCTGTCGTTGAAATCTGGAAACAGCTCGCTTTAACTGAGAAAATGGATGAAAATGGATGAAAATTGCATGACACTTGGATCAGTTTGCATGTGGATGATGTGTCAACATCTGCATTTTTGTTTGCTCCTGCTGAATGGTGAGGCCAAGTCACTTTTGCATGTGACCGACGGAAATACCTTCTTGGATCTCATAGCAAAGCAGGCCCCTTTGCAATGTGGTTGGCTGTTAGTGGCTGGCAATGTGGCTGGATCAAGTCAGTTTAGTCGCCAACCTGCGGTTTAGATGGCTGATTCCAGGCGATGTGATCACCTGTGCTATGTTTGATAGATTCTCAAAGGGCCACCCAGCGAACTGTTGGGTCAAGCTCCAAAAGACATCCGCAGATGTGGATGTGTCTGAAAATGAAGTGTATCCCCTTGGGCCCCAAGTCAATGCGATCAATCAGTGGATTTTTCACAAAGAGTCCCCTTTTTTTCATAGAAACCCATCCATCATATTGTTGGGCATATATCCGATTCTATCTCCATGAAATCCCAAAAAATCACCCATGTTTATCGGTCAAGGCCCAATATAATCACACGATAATATATTATTATCCCATAGAATCGCTGTGAAAACAGGTGGATTGGATGAAGAAGAAATACAGCATGCCAGACCTGAAGTTCATGCTCATGACTCTTGCTTTGGCGCAGATGCAGGAGGCGGCGAAAGACACGCCCAAGAGGGAAAAACCAGAAAGCTAAGTGGGCACTGATCGAGTCTTAAAGACACCAAACCATCCAAACCTATAGGTTTTGTTGTGTTCAAACACATGAAATGGTCGAGAATAAGCAAAAAGATATCACGAAACTCGTGATTCTTCTGCTTGTTGAATCGCCGCGTCCTTGGGAATCCGTAGGAATCCTTGGGCTACTCAAACTACATCAAATTACTCTCGCGTGATCCATCTCAACATCTGGGTCTGAGAATGGGGTACCACCGGGCATCCTATGGTCTCGTGAGTTCCTCCGTTATGAAATGCATCTTTTGGCGTATACGGTACATGGCATACCACATTGCCAGACACACCCAACAGAAATATTCAGTTGGTTATCCATCTCATTGAAATACAATATATATATATATTATTATATATATTTATATATATCCCATTTTAAGCGCACTTAAGATATATTCCATTCTTTGTTGGTTACATCGTGTTATATCATGAAATCCCCACATCTCAACCCCCCTGGCAACGTCTGAGGAATTCCTTCTCCACCTCGGCAGATACACTGCAGGCCTTGTCGAAATATCCCGACCTTGGCGGCGAAGATTTGGAGTTCGTCCAAAACAAAGCGCCCAAGGTGGGAAACAGCTGGTTTTATAGCTTGGTGGCCCCAGTAAATGAATGTAAATGAATGTAAATGAATGTAAATGAATGTAAATGGGTTAAGTAATGTTAAGTATAATGTTAAGTATACCCCAGTTAGATGATGATTCATGGAACATCCCTATAACCATCTATAACTTATAGATGGGATTATGTGCAACTTCCAAGCAACGGCACGAGAAAGATTCACATGCCCCGGAAAAATATGCAACTTTATAAGTCATGGGGTCATCCATGACTTAGTACAGGTAAACCCATCTGGTGACGACTGGGGATCGCCCATGACTTTAAAAAAACCCAAGTGGGTTGATGTTGAAAGATATGGTTCCTGAAAGATTCCGAGATATTTGGAGTCATTTGCCGTTTAGGTGGCTTTCTTCGTGCTGTTTCCACATCAGTTGATCAGCGTTTTGCACTGGAATACCAGCATGAATTTCCCAATATTTCACTACATTGTTCTGGGATATTCTGGATAAATTATAGTGACCTCACGTCGTGACCTCACTGCAATCATGGTGAATGTATAGGGGAATCATCCTTTCAATGATTGAACTTTTCAGGGTGAGTAAAATATTACAATTTACCCAGATTATTTGATTCGTCTTCCTGGCAACCAATATTGGACCTCCGCCCTGCTCCAGAAATCAATCTGCTGCCCGCGACATCGCAACATCGGTCAGGTGGCAGCCGAAAACTTGAAGCCAGTGGTGTGGCCCGCCGATCCAGGCCACGAGTGGTGCCGCTCAGCGAGGAAAAAGGATCTGTTTGTTGGTCCAAAAGTTGGAATTTCGCCCAGTTTGGGCTACAAAAAGACGGGGAAAACATGTTTTAATGGTTGATTTTCATGTTTTTTTCATTGCCATGTTTTGATTAGCAGAGAGTATATCTGAATATCTGCTGGTGCAGGTATTCTTCCCATTTGCGCAACAATGTAGGTGAATTACTCCGAACTCTAGGCAAGCTGGCACGGGTTTGCCTCCTGCCCTTATCAGTGAAAGCTGCAATTTGGGCAAAGTATGCTAGAAATTTTCCAGCCATTGAACCATTTTTTACCGCAGATGGGTCTAATTTTTGCCAGTGAAGCCATGGTGAACGGGAACCGAGGTCCCCCTGGCCATGGAGATCTCTATCCAGCCATGTTAGGAAGTGGGGCCCTGGACAAGCTCCTGGCGCAAGCGGCTCGAACGCCAGGGTTTTGGACGTGTCCCCCCAGAAGGATGGTGATTTTCGCAGATTTGAGCGGTAAAAATGGATAAAAATGGTGGATTTAATCGGATTTAATCTGATTCAATCGGATTCAATCTGATTCAATCTCATTTAATGGAAGTTTGTGTTTATGGATGGGAATGCTAGATATATCGCATTCATGGGGTTTGGAAAGCAAACATGTTTTATTGGGGGTGTACCACCTTGCAGGCATTTTGGGGAGTTTCTAACCAGAACCTGGGGTAAAATGGGGAAGGAAATGGAAGGTGGATCAAATGTAATTTTGGCATGGGGATATTTTACTAAATAGAATGGGGATATAACTCTACGACACAACTGCTCACTGAGTACGTATAACATCGTACAACTACATATATAACATTTTTTAAAACTGATGTAACATGAAGCGGTAAAGCATGTTTTTCGGTGGTTAATGAGAGGATGATGTCGACTGGACCGTCCCTGTGAGCAGGTGATTCACACAGAACCATGTATGGCTTGTCTGTGTCCCCAACTTGGTCTATCTTCAAGTACGGATTATAGATGATTATAGTAACCTCCAAAATGAACCTAGTAAACTCAAACTAAATGAGTGATAGATATCCAGTGATAGATTAGACTGTTCTATCTTTTGGGGGGATTTGCTCTAAATCCACCAACCAAACTCACCACCAGGCCACGAAAACCCCTGCTGTTTGATGCGCAGGGAGTGAAGTACATGTTCGTGTCCAACTCAGACAATTTGGGCGCCACACTGGACCTGAAGCTCTTGACCCACTTCGCACAGTCAGGCAGTGGGACTGGTTTCAGCGGCACTTGGGGCTGAAACGCTGATGTTGGATGCGTGTCATGCGAAGTGTATACTATATATATATATAATGGTTTGATATAATATCAGGTAGTATAATGTCAAACAATATGATAATATGATGACATATATATATATATGATAACATGTGATGATATATATGTTAATATCTGTGGTAATATATATGTATATGTAATAATAATAATAATTAATAATAATAATAATAGTATATGGTAATATATGATAACATATGATTATATATATATATGACAATGTATGATAACATATGACGATATATATATATAATACAATAATATATGAAAACACATGATGAAATATGATAACATATGATAATATATGATGATATACAACACATGTAAGAACCAGTATGATCTAAAGTGAAGCAACAATACTATCCTTCTATAGACAGATAGTGGTTTGGCTTGGATCGAGGGCCAATTTTGTCGGGCAGGTGCACCTTTTCTGATGGAAGTTGCTGCGCGCACAGATGCGGATAAAAAAGGAGGACGATTCGACAGGGATGGGACTAAAGACACTGTAAATTTCACGGAATTATACTGGGATAAACATTGATAAACCATCTACCAACTGGTGCAGGTTTCTTCCATCCACAGTAACTTTTTTGGGGGACGCATTCCAATTAGTAACTTGGGTGAAAAAAGCAGTTAGACTAATGGAATATCCCTATTTATGGGATGAAATATGGGTTATCTATGGATTATATATAAACCACGGATCCTAAGTGGGATGCACATCCAAGTATGGCACCACAGATTTTAGTATAGCACAAAGCATCTAATTGAATTAATTTAATCGGGGTACCCAATTTTGACCTATACCCAAGTCGTTGCAGCAGAATATCTTAGACTCAGACGATGTTACATTTGCTGTCCAGACTTGTAGTTACCTTAGAACAAGAGACAATTACTGTTGAAACTTGTGAATCCCACTTGCAGAGCCACACTTGATTTGCATATATGCGCATCTTCCTCACGATTCTCAAAGCGGAAATACTTTTTGAATCACAAAGTTCAGCTGTTTTTGGTTTGTTCCGGCTGTGTGGCCTGCAGGACATCTGGCTGTACTGAAGGGCGGCGGTCTGACGCTTCGAGAATCCGCGCAGTGCCCAAAGGAGGATGAAAAGGCCTTCCAGGACTAGGGGAACAGTGAAAGCTAAGCAGCTAAGCCACTTGCATCGCAAGATCCATTTCTATGTGTATTTGTATATGTTATTTATATGTTTATATGATTGAATTGCGCACAATTCAATGATATTGTTACCGTGATTGCCAAAATGAAGACTCCGCGACCCCGTTGTAGCAGGATGTCTCCAAGTATGCCTACTTCAATACCAACAATCTTTGGGTTCATTTGGGCAAACTCAAAGAGCTGTTTGACAAGAGCGGTGGAGCACTGCCATTGCCGGTCGCTGGGCATTTTCGGATTTGAAATGTTTCCAAAGTAAGAGACTCCTGAAGACCTACAAACGAAATGCCGAAGAACCAAGACTCAAGACATTGCAGATCATATTTCGCAGCAACTTGGTTGTCGTTCCATGAGTTCTAAGAATTGCTGCTATGTATATATATATATAGTATCCCGGGGGGACAAATGTTCTGCAAAGAACGTGTTCTTTTATTTGCAGTTTGTTCTCAAGTTTGCTCGGAAGCGGGATGGGAAAGTAGTTCGTGGCCAAGCTCAGGTGATGAAGAACGACAAGACAGTGGATCCGAGAGACAAGAAATCGACCAAAGTCATTCAGCTCGAAACTGCCATGGGTGCAGCCATTTCCTGCTTCGAAGGAGCGAGGGTCATGGCATGATCCAGTAGCTGTTGAAGAAAAACATGGGGGCACCGGAGGCACCCAGCCCCAGAGATGTCCCCATTTTTCCAGTTTCAACATCACTTTTTCATGGTAAAAAAAAGTGGTTCCAAGCCACCTGACTCTTTAAATTTGACGCGATGAAATCCGGAGAAACCTCTGCCGCGCAGCCTGTGGTCTGGGCATTTTTCCATGAGTTCACCAATGGCAGGAGCCCAGGCCATTCGAATCCCAAGATCACGTTTCGCACCAGTGAAAAAGTGCGATGATTTGTTGGCCCTGCGATCAGATGCCTACAAGTTGACGGAGGAGACGGCCGGAGGAAAAAACATGGACATGAGGTGTTGGGGATTCGGCGTGAGGATAGAAGCACCAAGAAAAAAGTATATGGTCACAATCATTCAGAGCGTGTCAGATTGTTGTGAAGCGAATCCAGAAATGGGACAAAATGGTTTGCAGTCGGCATTTCTTGCAGCGACCTTGAGCCGTTCATTCGGTCCATATGCGCAGCTCGTACCAGTCGAGACACACAACTTTGGTTGTTATCATGTGTATAAATTTCACCATGTTTTTTACCAATCATTTTGACCCATATTTATCCATATTTACCATATTCCCAATGGACTGATTGAAAGGAAATATCCCCATGATTTTTTTGAGGGGTCCTCCAAAATCTCCTTTAATCCATTTCAGCGAATTCCAGGCACTAGGTACTACACCATCGGAGTTTTATATATATATATATATGTGTATATATATACATATACACATGTATTATTATGTATATATATATATGTATTATGATATACTCTGTACATATAATATTATATACCATGAATTCCTATGTTACCTTCACTGGTCCAACGAGAGCGTAGCTCCACCTTTGGAGGACTTCCGCATCGAGTTGATCCCCGAACGCCAAGGGGTGCCGCCCATTGTGAAACTGGACGACCTCTACAAATTTGTGGATGGTTTGGAGAAGTTGATCCCCAATGGTGTGCCCAGTTTGAAGGATTGCACCTCACTGAAAGTAGAAGGTCCCATGGAATTTGCACCTGGTGTCATCATCCGGGGCAAAGTGGTCTTCAAGAACTCATTTTGCCCATTCAGCTCGGAGAAGAAAGTGATAGCCGCAAGAGTTTATCAGAACGAGGTCGTCGAACTGTCATGACTAATGACGCGACTGTAGACTCACAATGTTTTTTTGATGGTGGTTTCAAGCATTTGTTATGTCCTTTTTGGGGATGATAAAGTTAATTGACCGTTGTGTAAACGGGGTTGAAACCACCTCTTTTATTCAACACTTCTAGGATGATTGTTTTCATATCATGCCGTTAGCATGATCTCGTTTCACCTTGGTGTGGCCAATGTGCCTCTGAGATCGCAGCCGCTTGCCAGCGCTGATAAAGTGCAAGGTGTTACTTGCCACAAGCATATTCGAAAATAATCCGTGCTCATGATCGCTTGACTCAAAAGTTTGGTCTGACTGCTACTCCGATCTTTCATGTGCATGGACATTAGGAACTTGAGTGTTATTTTCTGTTCATGGCGGACCTCCGGAAAAAGAAAGAGCGAAGCAGAAGGAAAGAGTGAAGCAGAAGACTATGTCTGCTAAGTGACACCAAATTCAGAAACCAAGTTGGACCATTTTGAAGATCCAGTGCTTCTAAATTCTGTTTGCCAGCTCAAGACAGCAAACATGCATCCAGACAAGCAAGGACATATGAGGAAACTATGCAGTATCCTTTGATATGGGACCCATGTTTCTTAGCCAATAAGGTGGATTCTTGCCGCTCACATGCTGACAGCTAGAGGTGCTTCTCCAGTTTTCCTGATGGATTTCTCGTAAAGCTCTACCATCAATATTATGAGATATTCTGCCGATGCCCTATGGCCCTATTGATCCAAATATATATGCGCATATCCAAATGCTTCCGAACAGAAGCTACTTGCAGTAATCCCCTAAATCATACCCTTGAATGACCAGATTTCTGGTATTAAAGCCTCCAAACATGAAGGCTTATGGCATTGGCTAGAGCCACATTATGGTAGCAAATTTCTCAGGAAAACGTAGGTGACTAATGGTAACTATGCTATGCCATCGATGACGCTGGGCTGTTGGAATCGACCCTAGTGGCCCTGTGGCATCACTTTTTCGTCTTCATTCTTGGACATGACTATTATGCATACTAGCTTTAAGTACATGTAGGTATACATACCATACATGCCCCAAGAAGTAGTAGACTCTATATATATATACAAATACATACAATAATAATCATAATATCCATATTATATATATATATATATTGATGATGTATATTAATTATATATACAGTACTATAATGACCACCCTCCTTGCCCAGTGTGCCATGCCGCGTCCTTCGCCATGGCCAAGTCCGAGTCCGAGCCGGGCGAGCCCGGGGAGCCGGGCGAGCCGGAGCCGACGGAAGCCGAAGTCAAGCTGCAGGCGCAACGACAGGTTTTTGTTCAAAGTGGTTGTGGTCTTGGGATTTAGCCATCAAGAATCAGGATTGAATGGGGAGATAGTAGTATATGAGTATATATGTCAGCTGCAGCTGCACGGTAGAGCCGACAGCTTGGAATTTAGGTGCAGGCCGCCGCGTCGAGTTACGCATCTGTGTGCCAGAGCCAAAAAAAATATATATAAGGTGATGGAGAAATTCTATTGCTAGAAGCAATTGTCGATGTTTGGTGCATCTAGTGTTTTTTTTTTGGTGCCTGTCAATGTTTTGTGAGGTCAGAGTCACCAAACCTGCACAGGCACCAAAAAAGCCAAAAAAAACAAACCACTAGATGCACCAAACCTGCACAGGCACCAAAAAAAACAAAAAAACTAAAATTTCCAGGAACTATAGGTCCACTTTACTTTTGAGTAGTTGCTGGATTTTTTGTTTTTTTTATGCCTGTCGATGTTTGGTGCATCTGGTGGTTTGTTTTTGTTTTGTTTTTTTTGGTGCCTGTCAATGTTTTTGTATATCTCATGTCAAAATCATGATGAAAAAAGTGTGTTTTACTAGGGTTTTAGACCCTCCAAATGCATAAAACATAGGTATTTACAGTGTTTTATCATCAGTTTTAATGAAAATTCACTCCCCCACGGGGTGCCGCCCTCTTTGAGAGGGGGGTATTTGACGACAAACCCAAACATCCCAGGAAAATTGGTTTGGTACTACAGAAGAAAGAAATTCTCTTGGGGATCTCACTTGTTCGTATCATGATGTTTGGTCTAGATCCGTTAGATCGAAAGGGACGCTCTGAAGTCCTATGCTGTTGAGATTGGCACCAGGAGTTCACTCCGCCACCCCTCAAGAGGTCCTTGGACACAGGCTGGGAATGTGCGGGAATTGCCCGCGCCGGCTGGGACTAGGACGCTCGCCCCGCAAATGGTAAGACGCTCGCGGCGCGAATGCCGGGATGATTTAAAGGAAATTGATTCTTTTGCTCCAGAAAATTTGAGTATCAGAGGATGTGGTACGTAGGACATATGGATACACAAACTGTGCTGATTGGGATATTTCGATGAAGATACCCCAGTTACTCATAAACCAAGTGTGTTTCAATGTTCACTACACAAGGCCAAAGAGTGAAGTCTGGAAAAGTTAGCTCTAAATAGATGCACATAGTCATTATTATGGTCAGCCCGAGTCAGTCCTAATACTATAATGGTAATCTGAATTATGGTCATTGTCCATTATTGTCCATTGTTGTTACCCATGACCGGTGATAATGATGGACGTTCCACTATCTATCATGCATGTTTATGCAGTATCATCCATGTTTATCCATTATTCAGTGCTATCCATGATATCCATTATTATTCATAATGGACTTGGGTTTTGCCAATGATTTACGTATTAATTTCCCACCAATTCTATTGGTAAGAAAGTCCGATTGGTGGTTGGGTTAACCGGTTAACCTCACTTCCGGCTTGTCAATGGGTACTTAATGGTGGTAGTGTTCCCATTATCTAATGATAATACGTTTCCCAATTCGTTTCCTCCGTTGGTTTTTCATGATGATGTGTTATTTATGTTATCTAATGATGATATTATTTCTAATGATCAGAACTGGTACTAAATCATATTCAGAAAATTAACCACTATACCAAGTATGATTCATGATTGCTGAATTTATCTTCACATAATTTTGAAATCCACCATTTATATATAGTTTAGTTACATAAATATCAATGGATTGGTTTAAAGGAAAATCTTAACCGGAATCCATTGATTTTCTCATGAAGATCATGGGGCTTTCCTGCATTTTTTTCCTTAAACCAATCCATTGTAAATATGGAAAACACATCACCATCTATAATAGGTAAATCAACTATCAATAGGCAACAGGCCATGTTTAATAGCCATGTTAAATAACCAAAGGGTACATAAATATGGAGTTTTCCTAAATAGGGGTACTCCCAAATCATCCATTGATAGATGGATTGTCCATGAAATAAACCATCCAGCTATTGAGGTACCCCCATGACTTAGGAAACCCTAAATATGATTAGAACCTTCATTTAGCTCGGGGATTTCCCAGCAATGTTTGACCCACCAGGCTATGCAGGTGCCGTGACGCCATTTCCACGACCAGCGCCGCCACAAGAGGCGCGTTGTTTTGAACCGGAAAGACCGGGTAAAACATGGTAAACAACAGGTAAAACATGGTGATAAACCATGGTAGAACCTTGATTTTAAGTGTCTATAGATTGTTTTTTTTGAATGTTTGTGGTTAAGTTTTTTGAGATGTAAACATGGGGGGGTAAAACCAATGAAACCACGATGGGGGTAGCAATCGGAAAATGGAGGTGTCACATTGTGAGGTGTGTCAAGAGGTAAGATAGATATCCCTGAACAAATAAATGCGAAGAAACTAAGCACAATATGCTGGAGTATAAAGGGAACAAACATGTGGAACATCCTGTGGGAAGGACGAGGTTATAACATTTTAGATATCAAAGATGTTGGGGATGATGGCACTGGTACTATTATAGAGTGTGTTGGTCAAACATTAATATGTCTCCATTCCTAGAGTGTGAGATGACTATGTTTGCTTAATACAAGTACTGATTACACTTGCTTAGTGGTTACAGAATTCAACAATTCTTTCATTGGTCAAGGAAAAATTATGAATACTTATTGGTTTCCATGGCAAGAACACTAATTGCTTCCATTATCCTCTGGTCAATTAACAGTTGGACCCTGAAGTTATAGCATAAATTTCAAATGGAACCAATCTTCCAACAGGGTCTCTCTTAATTTACCAGGTATTGCTTACACGACCCGTTAAGGCTTGGAACTGGAGGCCCCAGGATCCCCATGGGCCCCATGGCAGGCAGTGGAGCACATGCTGCCTGGTTAAAGTTTTCGCTGAGCGCGGGGAAACGCTTTGCCATGATAAATGGGATAGTAAATGGTTTGGAAATGGTGGAAAACCATGGTGGTTAGGAAATGGTTAGCAACTCTTGTTTCAAACCATGGGATAATCCACGATTCGTGAGGACTTACAAAGCACGGTTTTTCACCACTTATGATTCGTGGAATGTGTGGCAGGTGCGGTCCGTCAGATTTTAGATTATATGTCTGCAGTTCAAAAATTCCATTGCCAGGCGTTCTTTATATTTTATGCTGGAAGATCAGATATCTTAGGGGGAGCACGAATCCGTATGCTACTGAAGCACCATTTTTCCCACTGCTACTGCTACCAAGAAACATAGCCCATGTTGGCAATCCAGGCCTGCATTTGGGTATAGAACTGGCACAAATACCGAAAAACTGCGGCAGTGAAGCTTGCGAAATCCTTCTCGACTCGCAATTTTCCCAAGTTGTTTCAAGATTTTTTCCCAGGAGACTGGTGGAAGGAGAAACTTCTTTGAGCATCCTCTGTTGTGGAGATTTGTGCGGCCAAGTGGACCTGCTACATAGCAAGTTGCTGGAATTGAGGTGGGGCCAACCGGCCATCCCTTCAGATTGTGTGAAACCCTCCAGAATCTGCCCTGGTTGATGGGATTTTCATAGGGGGGCCCATGATCTAAGGGAAATTCATCTGAGAGTGATGGGATTAATTCATAATTATTAATTCAAGCTGGTTGTCAAGCTGGTTCTTTTGTTGCTACTATGGTGTTGTGATTTTGGGTGTAGATGTTGCTGAGATGGTTCTGGGCAGTCTATCTTTGGGACATGTCATTCTTTCTTGTCTCAGGATGCCCCAACTTGGGATATGCTTATCATGGGAAGAACATGCCGAAATTACAAGAAAGTCATAGGTCAAACCATAGAATTTGGCATGATACCCAACGATAGAAATTACATGTTGCCCAACATATGTTTTTTTCAATCCCAAAATTACAGGAAAAACTTAACGATACCCAAATTCTCCGGGATTCGTCGGATCCAGAATTCATGATGCTGAGCCTGTGGCTTCACTGACACTGTGATTCATCCCGTTGAATTTTTTGTGGTTGACTCAAAAATATCGGCTTCATTCACGTCATAGATATAATTATACATATAACTATATATATAATGATACATATTCTATATATATACGTACATATATTTATACATAATAGTAATTCTTGGTATATGTCGTATATGTCGGTATATCACATTCATCCCACCTTTCTGGTACCTCTGGATCCGCTTGAGGCCGGGTGAGGTGGACTTCGTCCTGGCCGTGGGATGTTTCTTTCCACCGCACGAACACATCGGTCGCCTGGGTCTCTATGTGGGTCGGGAAAGTCGCAAGCTGCCAGTCCCGGTCTATTTCATTGATAACAATTCGGAGTCTTGGATTGAATTTAGTTGATTTTAGTTGATTTGTATTGATTTTAGTTGATTTTTAATTGATGTTAGTTGATGTTTATTGATTTTAGTTGATTTTCAGTTGATTTTTTCCAATTGACACTAACTTGGATCGTGTTGTGATGATGTTTTTTCTCCAATTGATACAAATTCAGAGTCCTGGCTTCACTTGGATCGATTTTTGTCGGCAAGTTTTGTGGATTTTGCCAGCAAGCAGATGGGGAGATGGGGATGTTTTCTGGGATCTCTAACCAACTTGATATATTTAAATATAATGTTGTGTTTGTCTGTTTTAACCGCGTAACGCTGCACACCATATGTTACCCTCTGGTAATTTAACATAGCTATTGAAAATGGCCATTTATAGTGGATTTTCCCACTAAAAATGGTGATTTGCCATAGTTATGTTAGTTTACCAGAGGGTATAAATGGCCATGTTTATTGGGAAAATAATACTCGCAGTAATAACTAACGATAACAATCCATTGGCATCCCTCTTTTCAGACGCCAATTTACAATGTTCAGCATGCGGATGGTGATCAACCTCCGCAAAAAAAAAAACAAGTTTAGATCGACAGTCGTACCCTTGCACCACGCACAAGCGTTTGTGGTTTGCTGAACTGCAAGTGAATTGGCGCATCTAAATTGCAATGTGTCCAGTCCTCTGGAACAAAACAGGGTGAAGGTCGCCCGTCCCAACCCTGTTTGCAATAGATACCATGGTGACTTCAGGAGGTGTACAAACCGTCACACTAGAAACGTGTGTATTTTTGGACGCAGGGCACAGCCTGTCTAAGGAAGTCTTCATTGGCAAAGTGGAAGAAACCAGGCGCCCTATCCTTTTGCAGGACTCCGTGCGCTCTTTGACAAGTTACTTTTGGCACAAGCAACAGTGCCAAAAATGTCTTTGTTGATTGCCTGTGCCTAATTGGAAGATGACATTCTCTGTGCAATGAATTAGATTTCTGAGTATGGAGCAGTTGCGTGCAGTATTGCTTTGCATGTTTGGAATGTGCCAAGTGGATTGCTGGGCAGCCTCCCTTTTTCATCTACAAGGTCTAGCAATGACATCAAATTCTGTGGTGGTTTCGAAAAGAAACTATATGTTCCATCCTGTAGATGAATGATGATCCTCAAGTGACCCCTAGTAAATCCTAGTAAATCTTAAGGGATTGATTTTTTTGGAGGTTACCTCCATTGTTTTCATCCCAGGAGAATTTGAGTTTCCTGGGCTCCTGTGGCATCGCTGAGATCCAGGGATTGAATGTGGCCTTCCTCTCCGGACGCTTTGATCCCGTGACCTACAAAGACAAGTGGGGCCGTCGCTTGTCCAACGGCGGCGTGGCCTTGTCCCAGCCTAGAGTTAGAGAATTAAGAACTGACATAGCCTCTGGTAAACTAACATAGCGAACTGGAAAATCACCACCTTTAATAGGTAAATCAACTATAAATGGGCGATTTTCAATAGCTGTACGTAAAATTACCAGAGGGTGACCCCCTAGTTCCCAGCATTTCACAACCAATTGGTCCACTTCAGAACGGTTACCCTCCGATCCAATTTGTATGTAAAAAAGTAATTTGCCTTTATTGAGAGTTTCCGGCACATTGGGTTACCACGGGGATATGTACTCTACCCAAGTTTGACCCTAAGTTTGACCAACACCCACTTACCCCTAGAATTCATTGGGTTCACAACACCATTTTCATCAGACTAATTTCCCCGGGATTTGTTCAATAATTAGATAGTATACCCACCGTTAAACTGCTGTTGCAGTTTCGATCCTCAGTGTTGCGT